GGCCAACCAAACCTCTCGCGCGGCCGCACCTCATCCGGAGCCAAGATGAAGATGCCGACGGACTGACAACACGGAGGGCCTGTTGGTTCGGCCACGTCGAAAGTATACTCGGCCGTCAAACACCGGGCCGTGGTGACTTGGCCGAACAGGGCGCGTATGTAAGTCGTTGCTCTTCTCAGACCAACAGGCAGACACAGAGCTTCGGTTACACAAACATAGTACCGCGCATATCAACACCTCGCTCGCTCGCCTGTGGCTGATGCTTACCGGAGATAATCAACTGCAACAAGTCGTGCATGCCATTCCCCTCAACCTCCCAAGAGCGGATAGATCAAGTGTCGGGTTACAATGGATTCCGTGCATCAGGGTCCTTTGTGGCCGGGCGATCGCTGGAATCCCCGCGTTCTGTACCGAGGGGGGTAATACAAGACCGCGGGATGGATGAAGGACTGGAGAACGATAGCCCGTAGACCGTGATGGAGGGGGGCGTGCTCGGTGTGCTTCGGCGCCATTTGACCGCCAGTGGCCTCCCTTCCGGCCAGACTCCGTGAATGTATCTCCAAGGTACGCAGGGCATTTCCGCAGAGGCTCGGAACGTGAAGGAGGGGGGGAAACTTGACCGTTTATCCCGCAACGTTCCGTTTGTTCCTGGCCAAGCCAACCGTATTTTCGACCAATCTTTTTCCACGAGACGCCAGGGTCTAAAGTGTAAGTGACTGACTCTTGATGGTTGAGCACGTACGTGATCGTCTCAACTTTGCCATCACTTCCACGCGGTCGACAACGTTTAGACAGCAGTAGGGCGATGCCTATCCGTACCCGACTCGGGCATTACCGACAATTCGCCCTAAGCCGACTCATTCGACCACATTGCACCATCCCGTATGAAACGGCCTGAATCAGTCACCGCCGGATCTTCAACAAAGCATCAAGCGCCCCTGGGACTGTGCTTCGGCTTGACTCCGTGTAAAGTGTGTGTTCGTCATGTCTACAGCTTTACTTTTCCCTTCCGCTTCTTCGGCTCGGTAGCTACGACAAGGAAAAGCTTCTTCGAGGCCACCGCGGTTGAACGTTTTTCATCAGGGAATATTGTCGGCTTGGAGAGTTTTGAGTCATCGAATATTTCCTCGGGCCACTCCCGGCATTAGCTTGGCGTTTCTTCGAGGGCGTTTCTAGAATGGATGTGATTGCGCGGTTGGTCGACTGAATGTCTCGCCGTCGTCCCTTGGCGTGGGAGTTCTTTTCCTCTGCCCCCCCGCACAAGAAAGGGCCAGACGCAGAATTTTGCATTCCGAGGGAGAAACGATTGAGACCTTAGGGCACATGCCGCCGCTTGTCCGGTCATTTGTCCCCTTGCCGGCGGCGCTTGTCAAGGTGCGACTGTGGGCGGCACCGCCTTTTTGCAACGGGCCGCGCCTGACGACGCAGGTAAACCTGTCGGTGTAGCCCGGAGGCCCTAAGGTTGGGTTGCAGATTTACCCTACAGCTCGCGGGGAAAGCAGGGTCGCACATGTCGAGAGATCTCGATTGAGGCTTATCGCCTTGAATCACCTGGCCTCCTCGAGGTGACCAATCTTCGGTGAGGGAGCTGGGATCAGGGATTCCTCGATTCCCGTGGACGGTCACGAGGCCACAGCCTCGCTGGCTTGCACGCAAATAGACGACACATGTCGACGATATAGTGAGCGATATCAGCAAGGCGGGATTATCTCAGAATCACGGTCAGTGCTTCTCGTTGGTCAAGGCTGAACGGTCGCAGTTGTGGCATGCCCGCATGACATCGCTTTGCCGGCCGGCAGCGATATGTGACCAGTTCCTTGCTCGACTCACCTAAACGTTAAAAATGCTGTTCAGTGATTCGTGTCTGATACTCTGTTACGGATGACACCTGCACTAGAAACAATTGTTGGGGCACTTGTTTTATGCAATTCTTCCGCCAGCGCCGCCGGCGGCGATAAGACCTGGGAAACAAGTTGCGGCGAAATATTCACCTCGGCAGCAGCCTTCCATTCCTCGCGACGGCTGCGACCGAGCGACGATCTTACACCGTTCGAAGGAAAACTCTCCGCAAAGTCCCAAGATCTACAGAGGGGGGTGAGTAGCAAAGGCAACACCAAGCGCTGACTGCTCTCAGCTCAACCTAGACCCCTGGTTGCCGCCCGCAAGGCGTTCACTTTAAGCAGTTAAGCCGCGTCCATCACTACGTAACTGAGTAACTGGGCGTGGAAACCAGACTGAGCCAAGTGCCACATTGCAAGGCACAGCATGCATGACGGAGCCGCTCCGGCGAGCGAATGACGTGCGGAGGGTGAGATTCGAGCGCCGTCCCGCCGTCCGTCGCGAGTCGGTCCCGCGGATGGCGATGCGACGCGGCGAATTGTCGACGGAGCTTGCGGAGCTGCTTGGCTTGCCCTACGAGGCTTACTCAGGGGACGTTTGGATGCGTAGACCAAAGTATCATTACGGAGGTTTATTCACGACAAGGTCTAAAGCAAAACGGTACCAGGGGGCATTTAGAATTGTGACAGTTCGCCACGAAAGGGTTAAACAAGTTGTCGCTTGTCTTGTCAGAGACGCGGCGCAAAGCCCGGCGTCGTGGCCATGACGTCAATGTGCTGGGTCCTTGGTGATGGAGGTAGCGGCACAGCAAAACAACCCCGCCATGCCACCATGCGATGATGGATCCCCTGTGCGCCGCGGGCCGGGAGGGCATCATTGACGGCATGCGTTTCTTTGGTTCCCGCTTCCAAGGCGACGTTTTCAGGGTTTACCGGGAGGGGGATTTGGACAACTTGCTGAACGTAAATGGCGGAGATGGCGGGTAATGACATCAGCGCGAGGAATTTTGGAACCGTGGATTGTCGACCAACAGCTTTGTTCCGGCGAACGTGTCAGTCGAACGCAGCGGGATGCGAGGATCCCGGATTTCTGGTAAAGTTCAACGGGTACGGGGCGAGTTTGTTTAGTGATTACATTCTCGAGTACACGTATCTCAACTGTAAGAGCTATCTGCGCAGTTGTACTACTTTCTGCGTTCCTGACGTGATTCACATTGGTGGTAATGTATGCCACATGGTTCTAATTGTTTGCGGAAGGGTTCCGTTGATGATGCCCCCACGTCACCGACGCTGATCATGCTACTTGAGCTTGACTCCTGCGGAATACGCTAGAAGAGAGTACTTGGACGGCACTGCTAAAACTGAAGCTGTCGCCTCGGGCGGCAATACTACGGTTTACTAGAGTAGGAAGCCCCGTCTCGTGATGATTATGGCGGTGGGCGGTGCTGGTCCTGGTGCTGATGTTAATGCTGATGCCGATGCTGATCGGAGCGTATTCCGGCAACGAATGAGGCATTGCTGCGAGAAGAGGGGGTTTCGACTTCGTCATCTTGGAATCAGTTGTTGGATCGCGGACCGCATCACAAAGCTGCGACGAACTCGGACCATGTGCTCCGTCAATGGCCGGGAGATATGGGATTCATGCATTCTTCAGGTTCGTCTGCAGCGCAACAGGCGGTGGTAACCCCGAGGCCGTGCCGTGCTGCTTGAAACGCCAGAACGTTCTGTGGAATCTGTGCCAGATCTAATCGGCGAGATCGAAGATTTGACTCTTCGATGCAAGGCGGGAAAAACGGTAAAGTGGAGTCTTTGATATTGCCAAGGAAGAATGTATTGTGGAATCTTTCTAATTCCTTGATTTTTTTTCAGACCGGAAAGTTCGGTCGGCGAATATTATGCAAAAAACTTGAAATTGGTCGGCGAGCCTTCCGGGCGTGACGGATGTGGATCCGGCGAACGGAATTGTCGGATCGGAGGGGTGGGGCCGGTCGGCGGAGGTGTACCCGCTTCTGCCGTGGGAGGAAACAGCAGGCAGGAGGTGCAGAGCAACGTCCTCGACTTGAATGTCATTATCGAAATTGGGTTACCTGACGAATTCTTTGCTCTATTTGATTCCGAGGGGTTGTCGTGCCGTTTTCTCAATGCAATGCCACGACGGATGTCCGGTGCTTGGACGCGCTCTTGCCAGTCCAAGACCTGTCATTGTTTCGCCTTGCCCAACATCAGCCGCGCGCCAGCTGCACAATCCGGGGTAAGTCTACAGAGGAAATATCAAGAGCCGTTTGTTTAAGCCAACGGTGAGGTCTCTGATTACCAATTCCGGGAGCTAGTCCGTTGCTGAAACTTCCTACTACGCGCTTTTCCATCCTCGAAGGGGCTAGATGGAACCGATCAAATTGACAGCTCTATTTGGTATAGGGCCCAAGTTGAGCTTGTTATTTTCTTGATCTCACGTTCGCTTGTAGGTCTGACCTATTTCAGAACACGCTATATATCGTTTCGACTTTCGGAGTTCATGTCCCACTAGAACTACCGGCTGTTCGTTCCTCCGTGTCCCTCTCCCTGGCTTTCGCTCGTTGTCTCTTATCTAAACCGTTCAGATTGTCCCTTTTTGAGATTCTGAATCACGTCTTTGGCATTATATTGACTCTACCAATGATTTCTAGAGTCGCTCTCCAGCTTGACGACATGTCTGTACAGTGAAGCTGCTAGTGCCACCTCAAGTCCATCCGCTTACTCCTGTACGGGTCATTCTGTTCTGTTTACAAATACAAGAACCTTGTAGTTCTCGATACTATTGGCCGTTGTTGTCGTTGGCTCTGTGGTGTTGATCGTCGTTCCGAGCAATGCTCGTTCGCCCATCTGCCTACATGTAGCTTTTGGACGTTCCTCTGGCATCACCATACATCTTTTTACTTGATCTAGAATGGCTCAAAGGTTTGTATCTATGGAATGATGTTAGGTACTGACTGGCAATGTCTTTTGACCTCTGCAGTGTACTTTTCGCCTTCGAGCTTACATTTACTTCTTGATCAGGGGCAATCGGTATCTCTCGCAGAATGCAAACCGTAGTGTTTGTATTTCTATGACACGGTCGTGTCCTATTCTCCATATTCCCTGCTCAGTAATCGACCTTTGTATTTGGGCCATAAAACTCATGTTCTAATAGCCGATCTTCTGGCTATCGGATCCATAATGGGAGACTAGGTTCTTGCGTGAGGACGGATAAGGCCCCGATCTCAAACGCCGACGCTCAAAGTCTTTCTCGGACGAATATAACGGGCCTGGCTTCTTCCTCGCCTCATCCGTTGCACTGATATAGGTATTCCAGGCCATCACGCTGAGCTGCAAGTGGTCGTCAAAAAGATGTCCGGGTTCGAACCACTCGTCTTCCCACCATGCCGAATCATCTCCGTGTTCGTAAGGCGTGTTTACGAGAGCGTCAGGCATTTCTACGCAGCCGCTGGACTCCAGCTCGAACTGAAGATACGCTTTCCTCCACTCCCAGCACGCGGGTATGCCGTGCAGAAAATCCAGGTTTTCCGGGATCTCGAGGTCGACATCCCATTCAGCAGCGCGTCGCTCAATGTTTTCCCGGTAGTGGGCGTTGGGGCTTTGACAAGCAACCTCCCACTGTCGCCGGCTCGGCTCGGCCTTGAGCTCATCAAAGACCTCTTGGTAGTTTGCCACGATGCAAGCTATCGCCACGTGGTCCTTCAGGTCGGGGCGACGCCAAGCCAGTTCTCGGATTGTGTTTTGATGAGGAAAGTGAGGCCACCAGAAGACCAATGGTAGGTCAGAGCCCGATACTTCTCCGTGAATGCGAGAGAGGTCGTTGCTCATGATGAATCGGGCGTGAATGGCTTGTCGGAGTACCTTCCACTCGTGACCATAAAACAGCTCCTTCAGGTGCGTTTCGACCCAACGCGCAAACGGAGTGTGGTGGTATATACCTCGGATCACCGCTGATATCTCATTGGCGATCCGGAAGGGGCGTCGAAGTCTTAAGTAGCGGTCGATGTTGCCCTCCCAGGCAGCCATGATTATCAGGACGTCCTTGTTGGTAGTAGGCAAGTCGTTTGGGAGTGGTGAGTAAAAAAGAGAAATGTGCTCATCCTCCAACGTTTGATGTAGGCTAGGGTCGCTAGGTTCGCCGACTCTGGCGTCTTCCTGGATATCAAAGTAGTGCTCGTAACGGCGACACAAGTCTGGCTTGTAAACACCAGACAAGGTAGAACACACAGCGGTGTCGCCGTTTAGATGCACTCCGGCTTCAGGATCTTCGAGGTTCGCAGTCCTCATGTAATCATTCAAAATCTTGTACCTTACAGGCTGGCTGATGATGTGTTCGAAGATGGATGTACCGCCCTCCTTATTATCCCGCGCCTCTTCAGCAATGGACACTTCTGGGAGTAGGTTGAGGTCCTCGTACAGCGAGGTATAGCCCGCAGCTGCACAAGCACGACCAACATGATACCGCAGGTCGGGGTATCGTAGAGCAAGCTCCCGATAGGTATCTTCACTGGCCAAGTCGGGATACCAGATGCAGTAGGGTTTATGCTCGTCGTGGGTCATATCGGGAATATTATTGCTCATAATGAGACGGGCGTTGCGCGCCCTAACGAAGATATCGTTTCCTTCTTTCGAGCAGAGAGTCGAGACCTCAGGTGACATCGCAAAGTCGAGATCACGACGGATCTTCCGGATGGTAGGGTAAGCGAACTTCCTCCACTCTTCATAACGATTAAGGAGGACTGGTCGCATCCTGAAGGATTCGAGTAGTTGCTTCGAGAATTCCGATAACTCAACAGGGTTCGGCCTAGGCGTAGGGTCCCAATTTGTTGCGTCATCCGCTGACCGACTGCTTGAGGTGGACATTCGCCTTCGACCGCAAGACTGGAATGGAGCCCGACGCAAACCTGCTGTTGCGGCGGGAGTAGTCGTACTGATGAGAAACAGAAAAGTGATACGACGCGTGCTGTAGGAGAATCGACATGACCGAGTGAGACTGGCTGTGTGCAGATGGTGCCGCAGGCGCAGAGGCCGGCAAACGGCGAAAGCCATTGCGTTCATTCGATCCGCAATGAAGAAAAAGGCAATGAAGAAGGATGAGAGAGCCCGGGATTTCCGGCGCAAAGTGAGGTATCTTAAGATCCAAGGTGGGTGGTTTGCGGAACTGCGTAGCAATGTCAGTCCAGACGCACCGAGAAAGAGTCTATCGCCTGCTATGGGGCGGGGGCGGGGCGGGCAGGGGACAAAATAAAAGAGAGAAACTCGTACCATGCAACACTTTGAGGGATAACTTTGAGCCAAAGTTCAGCTGCAAGGTGGCGGCACAGTAAGACTTTGCCAGGACGGCTCAGACGCATGACATGGAATATCGTTAACTTCAGTCTTCCTACGGATGTTGTAGTTATCACGGGATCATATTCCTAACCACGAATCGCATTCCCGAGTTCCATGTCCTCGTTCCATTCCGGCTTCAGGTCACCATCCGTTATGATTCCAGACATGCAAATGTCTGCAATTTTCGACGACTTTCTTGGTGGCCTGAACCACATCGTTGAGAACTACGCTGACATCGAAGACCGAGTTGAAGAAGTGGTCTACGACGAGAGACTCGACGGACGAAAGATTCGTAACATCGTCGTGACGGCATCCAAACTTGAGTAATCTCTTTCGAAGACCGCTTTCCAATGTCAACGCTTCAAACGTTGCTTCAACATTCAGAGGCAGAGGTATGCTGACACTCAGCAGAAGATTGTCAAGTAGTCCTATGTGTCGCGAAGGCTGTTTGGGGTTTCTTCCGTGGAGATACTTCATGTTCCCTTTGCCTTCCTAGCTAGTTTGCCATCGTTTGGCAACATGGCATGAACCGATACAATTAGTTTCGCCATGAACGAGCCAGCGGCTGGAACTTCAGAGCCTCAACCAGGGCTCCTGCACTGATTTCTGGAACTTACCAGACGATGTACTCGGGCATACAGTTTGCAGCATAGACGTGAATTGTTGGCACATTTGGGGCATCATAGTCTCATTTCTCATTCTCGTGATGATATAAAAAGCACAGGTGCCACCTCCAACCGCTGACTTTCGCCCAAGACAGACGCCACCCCAGAGCTTCCGCCATGACATCTCACCGGACTCGGATTCCTCAGGACGCCCCTCCAAGTTTGGTGGCGAAGACCTAGTTGAATCCCAAAGCTTGGTTGAAGGTAGTCGCGGCCGATGCGTCCTTCGTTCCAGCAGACTGGACCTGAGCCTTGGCCTGCTGGCATAGGTCCTTGGCGGCCTGGTTGGCCTCGCAAACGTTGGTGAGTTGATCGCAGATTCGGTTGGTGATGATGCCGGGGTTCAGAGCGTCTTGTTGACCCTTTGCAACGAGAGGATCAGTCGGCAGGAAAGTTCCCTGGTCGGCTTTACGTCCAGGACGGCCCAGCTGGAAGTCCATCGTGGGAGTACATTTGCCGAAGTCGGCTCCGCCGGTGGCCTGGCGCTTGATGGTAGCGGCTGAGGTGCTGACGGCTCCGAGGAGGACAACAAGTGCGAATTTGGCCTGCATGTTGACTGAAAGAACGGATGAAAGATATAGATGGCTTCGGATGAAGGTCTGTGACTTTGGCTAAAGAGCGGTAAAACGGTAAAAGCGACAGTTTAGAAGAGATAGTGGGTATTAAAATCGACAAAGTTCACAGAACTTGGGAGGAATTTGAGTTCAACTCAAATCGGCAACGATAATGAAAGACTTTGGGATGAATTGAATCGTATTCTGTGCCAAGTGCCAGGCGACTTGTGCACCTTTTGTAAGTGCGCGGAACGAGACGACGAAGTCGCGAGGCACTGACTGCTTCCCCCAAAGCTCAGACTGCTCTGAGGCAGAACGTCGATCATCGCATCGGATTCGGCACTTCGGGCGAAGACGAGTTCAGACGGCAGCGTTTGAGGTTGGACCTTGAAGATTCAAGCGTGCAAAGCAAAAAGAGGCCACTTAACGCAATGATTGGACCATAAGATCTGCGAAGCGCGGTGGAGATCAGGGCCTCCTTGCGATAATCAGACGGCATGACATAAGATGAAGCATTTGGGGGGGAAGCTGAGGCGCGGAATGACAGCAGCGTCAGAACCGAGAAGCGGTTCCATTGACTCGAGGAACAACAAAAAAGGGCCAACACTCATTCCAGAAGGCATTGAATTACTCCGAGAGTTGCCCAAACTGATCAAAAAAGGAGAGCTCGGCTTCGAATAGTGACGATCAGGACCGGCTTCTGCACCGCCGTAAAGCTTGTTGAGGAGTACATTAATGGTAACCTCTTCTGAGGCTGAAGTTGTGTAGTCGTTGAAATGGCAAAATTTGGCTCTGCCATTTCTCTACTGAATTCTTTCCCGAGACTAGCAATTCGCTATAGCGTCCCGGATTCTCCGAGTGCGGCCTTCCTGTCTTGACCGGTGCCGATTGCCGGTACGTCAGCCCCGGCGTGGCGTCCGCAACGGGGCCGAAACCACCCAAGTTTGGGGTTGGCGATGCCATGAGCGAGATTCCTCAGCGAAATCAACATGCAAGTGTCTCGTAGAACCAACTCAATCATTCATTGGCCAATGAATTTTGCCGCGCTGAAATACGAGCATCCATCGACTTCCCTGAAGTCACCCGATACCCTCGGGACACTGATGTTTGCTCAAGGTGACCTGCGGGGTTGATGAAAGCTGGACGCTAAGCGAAAACGCCATCTCCAGTCTGTTGCGACAGATGGCAGTGTGTGAAGTATTTTGAGCCTCTGTCAGATGCATGTAACGTCTCAAGCTCTGTTCAGTCGTTCCATCGCACCTTGCGACATTTTTTCCTGGAATCAAACAGATGAATCATGAGAACCAGGTCCCGTACAGTCCTCTTTCTTGTAGCTACTTTTCACAGCCTCTATCACTGCTCTTGCTCCCCATTGCCTCCAGCAATGATCTTCTTATCCGTCGTCACCATTCCAGTATTCGGTCAATAATAATAAATGCAGAGTGATGTATGCACCTGTCTCCCATTTTTCAGCCGGCCAATGACTATTACCGAAGCTCATTGCGCCAGATAGTTTGTCCTTTCAGCAACCTCTTTTCTGAAAAGCATCATGTCGATCTTGTCTTTCACCTGACTCCCAGCTGCAACCTTGGCATCAATAATCATATGGGCAACCGACAACTTTTGGAATCCACCAATAAGGGGCCAATTGATTCACCTCATTGAGCGAGTTCGGAATCTGGCGATCTGGCGACTCAACCAACAAATGGATGGCGACCTCAGCCATATTGAGCAACGGCACTGCGTATTCAAGACGGCGTTCCTTGGTGGAATACGATGAATCGCGAAGTCCTTCCACCCTTTCATGCACTTTCATGTCCTTTGTATTGCACGGAATGACGGTGCCAGCGACCCTACGCGAGTATTCGTACACGCTGATTTCCCACCCACGCGTAGCCGAATATTTCCATTTACACTCAGTTCGTCTTACCGAAGCGCTCGCCAAGTCAATATTGATTGTTTGGCTGCGTCAAGTTAACGAAGTCAGTCAACTTACAAAGTGTTGACCAATAATTCGCAGCCCCTATTTGGCCCTCAACCGGGGCTCTACACCAGCAAGGGGCGCATGCACGGCGCTGTGAGTCGTGACCCTGTGGCTAAGCGCTCCTCTGTGAATTTCGCCTCGCGCGGCCGGTACTGCGGTTGCAATTCATCTCATCGACGAGAGCTATTGGCTCATTCGCTTAGAATGAGGGTCATTGGAAGCAATAAAGAGAGCTCTGGACTTTTGATTAAGGCGCAGCAGCAAGTGTAGCCGAGGTGGAGCGAGTTCTGAAACTTGAAAATCCGACCGAGAGTTAGCGCTAACGAGGAACCCAATGTCAATATAATTTCGGGGATTGGAGGTGACGGTTATGCTTATTTGCAAGCACAAATTAAAACCCTCGGCCTCCGTGGAGACGTCCGACGATGGTCTTTGAACTTCACCAGCAGTTGCCATCAAATTGCAGAGCAGTCATGGAGCCTGGAGGCGGCAATGGACAGACATGACTCTCTCACTTCACCGTCCTGGCGTGATAGTGACCGTACAGGCCGTACTCCCAGGACGAGTGAGCCCGGCTTGGCGCTCCAAACATTGGGGACCTGACAGGTGTCACGATGAAGCCAACGTCTTGCCCAAGCCAAAGTTCCATGTCGGCGCTTCAGCCCTACCAAGTCGAGACATTTGCCCACCGAGTTGTAGTTCAAGCAGTTAGGTGCTCAACGTTGCAGTTCCTCATAGGCTGAGGTTCTGAGCTGCTGCGATGGTAATGGGAAACGCCGGACTCTTCAAAGTTGAGTCCTGACTCCTGGGCCCTGTCGTGCAACGGCGAATCGCCCAAAGGTAAGATGACATGAGCCAGGGGCCAAGAGTCTGGAACCGCTGGATTTTATCCAGATCAGGACGGGGAGTTGCCAAGTCGGATTTCCTTGCCTGGATTATGTAACGTCATCAGATTCCATTTTCGTGAACCATGCAGCATGCTAGCCGGGAAATACCAGGTTTCTGGATAGCAGCGTCCCCCAATTTAATCGCCTGTTTCACCATCACTCGCTTTCGCTTCCCTTGAAACACATTCTCTGCATGTTTTTCGTCCCTCTTCTCGTGAAATGTTGGTGCCGGATGATCGTCCCGAGAAAACACAACCTTCAGGCCACCCGCGGTTCTTAAGATCGGAGCTATCAGAATTTGGATGATGACTTCGAATGGCGATGGATCGGATGCAACATAGAACACCATGTTCCTCCCACCCCATGAACAACGCATCAACGGGAGATAACTGAGGCTCCTCGTGCTATACCCCCCTGGAGACCGCATATGCGCCTTTCCCCGGATTTACCAAGCCCTTCTGCGCTCTACGCCAGAATTTGCTTGTCACGCAAAAATTGTCCGTTCAGCCTTGGCGTCATTTATATCCGGCCAAACCATTCAGGATAGGAAGTCATCCCATCACGCCCCTCTCCGTGCCGTAGGATTTGTTCCCCAACTTGGACAGCCAACGCCACCCTTACAGCGGTCCCTAATCTATCATCGTCCCATGAGTCTCCGCAAACGCATTCTCCCGCCAATGGATCCTGCGATGAGAAGAACGATTCTTTCTGCATACGGAGGTTTAGGGGGGACAGAAGCAACAACATGGCAACGTTGAAGTCTTGGCCAATTCTGCCAACACGGCAGATACCCAGGCTAGTGCAATATGCCCGACTGGTTGGTGGAGATGCTGACATCTTGGGCCCGTCAATACGATATACGATAATGATGCTGGACAAGATTGGTCTCTGTATATATCTCGACTGGGTCGCTCCGCGTCTAGACTTCCCCTCTGTCTTTCCAATTCACCTTCGTTCGGTCCCTAGCACCAACTCCGTTGTCCTGTCATTCATTCCTCACCGTCTTCACTTCTTTTCTGTAAATCTTTTTGTTGTCCACTCCTTCCACCATGCGTTTCACTGCCACTTCCGCCGCCGCAGCCTTGGTGCTCGCGGCTTCTGCCCAGGCCAAGGGCGTCACGAGCGAGACTTCCGACCTTGACGGTTCCGTATGGCAGGCCATCACTCCCGTCAACGCCCGCAACCCGCTCGAGATGGCCCGTAACCGCCCTACCAAGAGACAGTCCGGCTGGAGCCCCCCTTCCAACATCGCCACTCCCCTGAAGGAGGTCTGGGACCACTGCAAGAGCACCTACTCCAACTTCTTCGGCTTCAAGAACTACGGCTGGGACCAGGTCATGGCCACCAAGGGCACCGTCAACGTCTGCGTTCGCTGGGAGTCCAGCGCCTCCGTCACCGAGGCCCAGCGCAAGTCCGTCGCCACCGCCCTAAACAACGCTCACCAGGGCTGGTACAAGTGGCTCTACGGCTACGACAACTTCCCCTACTCCGACATCAAGGTCAACGTTGTCGGCTGGGCCGTCAAGGACAAGAGCCTCCTCCAGGGCTCCACCGACGGCATCCAGGTCTACACCGATACTGATGCCGAGGGTATCCCTCAGTGCGCCGAGTCTTGCGGCCGCTTCTTCAACCAGAACGGCGACTACAGCAAGTGCGCCGCTGGTGCTGACAGACACTACGACCAGTCTCTCTGGCTCACTGACGGCATGTCCGGTGGTGCCGGTGGTGACTGGGGCCAGCGTATCGGCCGTGAGTACTTCATGGGTGCTCTGACTGGCAACGCCCACATCCTCATGCACGAGATCGGCCACACCTACGGCCTGGATGACTGTAAGTGACCACCCACTCCCTTGAACTTGTGATCATAAACTCACGTACTCCTTTGCAGTCTACGACTGGACCCCCACCGGCGTCTCCAGCTTCATCATGCTTGCTGGCTCCGCTGCCGAGATCACCGACTTCGACGGATGGATGCTCCGCAACTGGTGGTACGAGCTCTCCCGCGAGCGTGGCTGGCAGTCCGGTTCCACCTCCGGCTCCGGCTCCGGCTCTGCTTCTCCCGCTTCCTCCGCCGCTGCCACCCCCACCGCCGTCCAGGCCGCCGAGGAGGATGCCCCTGCTGCTTCCTCTGCCCCTGCCGCCCCTGTCGCCGAGCCCACCGAGCCCGCCAGCTCTGGCTCCGGTGCTGCCGCTGCCGGTCCCTGGGGCCAGTGTGGTGGCTCTGGCTGGACTGGTGCTACCGCCTGCCAGTCCGGTTTCAAGTGCACCAAGAACAACGAGTGGTACTCTCAGTGCACCGCTGCTTAAAGGCAGTCCACGAACAACAAAAAGTTTCCCTGGCATAAAGTAACGATCGATCTTTGGAAGAGCAGTCCGCTGTACATATCGACGCCTTCAAGGATAGGTCTTACTTTGCCTAGGCACCTCACCCTTTCTGAGGACAACTTCCTGTCTATAACAATTTGACCCAAGTGGTCTCTCTTTCTCCCGTATATAATAACATCACTCTCCGATGAGTTCACAAACTCTGTTGTATCTGATCAAACGTCGTGCATGGTGACTTCGATAACTTCGGTCTGCGATATGTTGTGGAATTGCGTCTTTGTGAGGACTGTATGTTGCGTATAGCGGCCTCCGGCACCGATGTATATGTGTAAGCCATTGTAGACATCAGAAAGAGCTTGAACTTTTGAGAATGGCTTCCTACGATCAGGGAAGACGAGTGATCAGAAGCGGATCGTAGTAGTATTCCCCGATCACCCGGCTTTACGATAGCCTGGGTGACCTGGCCTTCTTATACCTTTCATTGACCTTCTAAGGACCTTGATGGTTGCCGGAGGTTCGGCACCAAATGCATAGTATCTCCGTGGGGTGGCTGGCGTCATCTACCCTGATGTCCCAGATTGTGAGCCAACCTAGCCAAAGAGTAAACACAATCTAGACAAGGAGACGGCAGGGATGCAATGGATATTGTAACATATTGTCTGAATGGACGAAGATAGAACTTCGTAGTGGTCTATGCTGTCTTTTGGCATGCACTTGGGCCGATCCTACTTGTGAGGTGGTCTACTGTGATCCCTCATCCATAGACAATCAACTCAAGGGTGCGGTGCGAGGAGCTTGTCAAAATTTTCCTCCGCGTGCTTCTCAGCGTCAAACTCCAGTATCCAGTCCTCTCTCGGCAGAGCAATGCTCTCCGGGTTTTCTTTTACCTTGGCCCAGTCTGTCTTGTGCCAGAGTTCGCGTGTGGATAGCCCAGTCTGCTGCACAGCTCTCACGCGGTCGTACCTACGCCGCGACAGTGAGACTTGGAACAAATAAAGAGAACCTGTAGATCACTCACCGAAGATTTTGATATGCTTTGAGGGCCGTTGGAACGTTGCCTTTACCAGCCCGCCTCAAGCATATAGCAAGGGTGACGCCGTCCTCCATGGCTTGAGTGGCCCCTTGGACACTCGTGGGCAGAAATGGATGAACCGCATCTCCCAGTAGCCCAATTCTGCCGCCTTTGCTGATCCAGTTTGGCAGGGCGTCGCGATAAACAAGCTTCCAGTCCACTAAAGACGGCGTCTTCTCAACAATCATTTTACAAAGAGGATCCCAGCCCTCGAGGGCTTGGTAGACGTCCTCAAGTTTGCCCGGCAGAGACCAGGACTCGTCGATGTCATATTCGTCTTTGTGTGTAAGCACCCATGAGCAGTCCTGGCCCCCTTTGATAGTGGAAAAGAGGAAGTGAGCATCGGGCCCAATCCAGCCGTTGAAAGTATCTCCATTCTCGCAGAATTCTTTCGTCCGAGGATCTTCCAAGAGGGCTTGAGCGGGAAACCTGTGTTGTTTGAATCAGCAGAGCAACTTTCGATCTCAGCTGTGCACTGCTATCCTACCATGCTCTCCATATCGCATAGCCGCTACTGACTGGTTTGTCTTTGTGCCCAAGGACCAGCTCTCTTGCCTTGGAGCGAACCCCGTCTGCGGCGATGACGACATCTGCCTCAATCTTTTCACGTAGTCAACAAGAAGAATCGCACAAGTCAAGTTCTAGAGGTTATCAAAACCGACCTTTGTCCCATCGGGCAGCTGAACCCCAGACTTGCTTTGGTCCTCAAAATAGTCAACGACTGGTTGGCCCAAATGAATAGGAATTCCCAGATCGTCTTTCGCATATTTAAAGATGACTTCGTGCAGCTCTCCTCGGTGACCATTGAAGACCGGGGCCTCGGGGTCAGATGGCGGTCTTCTTTGCGTCAACACAACCTCCCCAGTGTCCCATTTATGGATCCTGAAACCGTAGTTTTCAAGATCGATGCTCAGCGGTCGTAACCTGGAAACAACGTCACCGTTGGCCCATCGATGAAAGATTCGGCCAGCGTTTGGCCCGAAGGAGATGATATCTCCCAGTTGCTTCAGTTCAGGAAACGATTCATATACCTCCACGTCGTGTCCTTGTCTGTGACATTCGATTGCAGCCGTTAGGCCACCAAAGCCAGCACCGACGATGATGATTTTGATTCCTGTACTGGGCGCTGGGGAGGTCATATTGAAGGTGTTAAAGCAAATGCAACGTTTTGGTCTGGAAGTGAAGTCAATTGGTGTCTGCCTCTTGCGTTCTCAGCATGTTCGGCAGGTTTTGAGAGTCGTGGTGGTCTGTGAAGAACGAGAAGCCGAGGGAAGGTTGATCATCTGCCGCGAAACACGATTGATTCTCATACATCTGCCGTGGGGTTCGACCTCGAGACGCTGCACCCCACGTTTAACAATTACCCCACATTCACACGCTGGTAATGTCTTCCGGTCGTTCTTGAATGGTTTTCCACATCGTCTGATGTAGGAATTATGCCGTTGGGGCTTTCCAGCTGCGAGTTGCCGAGTGGCGCTTGGCTGTACCAATACTCTCGTCGCCATGGATACGCTTGTGAGTGATACAACATCACCATTTGATCCACCGATCCCTACCCTTCTTCCACACTTCCCCTCGTGCTCTGCAGCCACCATGTTACCCTCCGCATCTTTTAAGCCTCTGAATAAGCCAGTGTCAGCAGTCATTGCACTAGGCCCCGGCAGACAAGCCAGAATACCACATGACATGCAAGAATGAATCTTTATTGTGCCGTCCGGCCGTTTCATAAGCTGCGTTAACGCCCGTGGAATTCACTTTTGGCAGCGACTTGCTTTAGCCACATGGTTCTACTTGGTTTATCTCTGACGGCTTCCATAAACCATCTTTTCAAAATCCTGGGACTTCTAAAAGATGAGAGAACGAAGCATAGATGGCATGCGTGCCAATTGGAGATGCTTCGCGGCCTGTGGCATAGTCGTCTTGTCTCCTTTCCAGTACGGAGTGGACTTTGGGATCATAGGTGGCCTACAGGCCATGCCGGGCTTTCTTCATGTCTGTGGCCCATCCCTTCATGAGTTTCTTCAACATTCTTGGCAATACCAGTCACTAACTTGCTTTCTTCCATGATAGGTCTACGGGTACGAGGATTCATATACGACTATCGGATGGAACATCTCCACCACACGTCAGCAACTGATCTCCTCACTCATGACACTTGGAGCTTTCATAAGCTCTATGCTTGCTGGAGCGATTGCATCGAAACTAGGTCGCAAGATGTGCTTGTGGCTCTCTTGCTTTCTCTGCGTGGGAGCCAACATTATCATGATGACAACGACGCACATCGGAGCGCTGTATGTTGGTCGGCTGCTCATCGGCTTAGGGAACGGGGGCTTCATGACGTTCTCGCAGTTGTACATTCAAGAGACAAGCCCGGCAAAATATCGCGGACTCTTCTTGACAGGGTTCCAGTTTTGCGTCACCATCGTTCGTGATCCGTCTTTACAGCTTTCACGTGTGGGTTCGGGCCAATGCTGACTTGAAAACTGTTGAAGGGCACGCTACTCGGAACAATCATTGACTGGGCAACAGCTCAGCGTCCGGATAGATCGGCTTATTTGATTCCTTTAGGAATTATTTATGCCGTGCCTTTATTCATTACTGCGAGCCTGTTCTTCATACCGGAGTCGCCTCGCTGGCTGATCATGAGAGGTCGCATCGATGATGGGAGAAAAGCTCTCAAATGGCTGAGGCCAGAGGGTGCCCAGGTTGAAGACGAGGTCGAAGAGATACAAGCCGCAGTTCTCGAAGATGCTGAAACAAAGAAGTCGACAGCATTTTGGGATATGTTTAGAGACCCAGTGGACAGGAGACGTACCGTGATCTCTGTATGCGCAGTATGCTTACAAGGGGCTTCAGGTTCCATGTTCATCATCGGCAAGCACTTCCCTTAGGCTCCAGTCTGTTGACATCAAGAAATCACGGCTAACGCAACATACACAGCGTACAAAGCATACTTCTTCACCATCGCCAGAGTTGAGCATCCTTTTGCTATGACCAATGTCCTATCAACCGCTGGTTTGTTGGCTATCATGGCGAATGCCTTGGTCGTTGTGCGCTATGGCCGCCGTCGCGTATTCCTGATAACCGGGCTCGTGTTGTCGGGCTGCTTCCAACTCATCATGGCAATCACATTTGACAAGCATCCCAATACCGTTAAAACGGGCAATGTTCTCGTTGCGATCTCGTGTCTATTCATGATCTCTTATAACGTGAGTCCTAGTAAGCCTGGATCGAATCCTTCGTCTCCTAATGCATTTCCTCCCTAGGGCATGATTGCACCATACTCCTGGATGGTTGCCGGCGAGGCTCCCTCCCAGCGTCTTCGCAGCTACACTCTCGGAGTCGCATCGGCAGCTGGATATCTCCTGGCATGGCTGATCACGTTCACGGCGCCGTACTTTATCAACCCGAGCGCTCTCAACTGGGGTCCCAGATACGGTTACATCTGGTTCCCCTCTTGCATCATTTCCGCTGTTTGGACATATTTCTTTCTTCCGGAACTCAAAGGGCGTACTTTGGAAGAAATCAACCAAATGGCAAGTTTTCTTCATGGGAAGTTTGTTTCGACATGTACTGACTTTCGCTCTGTTAGTTTCATGCGCGTCTCTCAGCCAGGCACTTCCACAAGTTTCGAGACAATGTCACTCTTTCCAGGAAAGATAGCCGTTCGAAGGAAGATGCCAATGCAGTCAATATCGAAGTGGCTGATCGAGCTTGACACATGGGCTTGGCCGTGGTTGGCGAGAAGAAGAAGGCAATTTTGATAGAAGACTGGGCAAGGCAGTGAGTGGCTCTTGATAGTGAGGTGGACTATGTATCAAGGAAGAATCATTGGCTTGCCAACTCCCTATTACTGTTGTCAATTGTGCATTACTCTTAGAAGCACGGCCGCTGCCACTGTCAGAACGGTAATAACAAGCAAGAAGCGACGTGATTCTGAGAAAGAAAAGGCAGTGACGAGCAATGAGCTTCATAAAGGATGACTGGGCAAGATTCTTTTTTGGTTTGATGCCAGACATGGTTACCAAACGCCCCGAAGCTTTTCAAGCATATGATGACGAGCATGGGCACTCGGCCTGTCTCAGCTGCGCACCCACTTGCTGCAGAAAGCAATCCATGAACCTCATATGATACATATATATATGCACGGAATGCGATGAATTCATAGTTCGAGGGCCGTTGAGACATTTAAAACAATTGTGCGATGACAGCGACTTGCAAAACCGGCCGAGCTTGGAACCTTCATTTTTCCACGACGCAGTAGTTGCATTGAGCGTGAATAAATGCACTTACTGAGGAACTTCATATGTACGAAGCATGCGATCTGACGGTTCATGGCCGACGAGCAGAGCGGCGACCGTCGAAGTCCGATGTAAGACAGATGGTCACCCAGCGCAATGCGGCCTCCAATTTCGCCTGAGCCGAGCACATGTGGGGGAGCGACCTCATGCGATGGCGAACGTCGCCTTTTATGATCCGGGCTCATACGAGAACGAACCTCACTTTTTATGAGTTAAGCTCATTTACTAGCGGACCTTTCCTATGACCGGAGCTCGAACGAGCCTCAGCTTCGCCGCAATGCGACTCGAGCTCAACCGATAGCGAACTTTGCTCTCCCACAGCAAACCACTGGTCCAGTATCTTGGGCAGGATCAAATAAAGCGGCTCAGAAACAGTGCATTTAGAACAATTTTCCAGTTTCCATTACTCATTGAAAAGCAGCAGACGGGGCTCTGGCCTTGTAAGTTGGACTTTACCCCGGTGCTTTTACGGCCGGCGCCGACGTCCGCTGGACACCGGTGGGTGTTTTGCTGCTAGGAAAAAAAATTCTCTGTGTTTTGAGCAGCCCGGACCGCCAATGACAGCGGCTAAGTGCACCACGCCATCTCGAAGCAGCCGGGAACCGTCGGCGTGAGTCACGGACAGAAATCCTTCGGAGATTTTGGCAGCGGGGCGGCCAAGTCTCGACAGGACTTCGGAGGTTTAAGATCCAGGGGTAGACTGCAAGAGAATGTTGCTGCGGAATATTAAAGAAGAGCACCGATCGCGCAAGAGAACGTTAGATCACGTCTTGCAAGGTCAGGCCACAAATTTCACCGTCGTAATCCGTATAAGACCCCTTGGGAGCCCTTCAACAGGGAAATCACCAGGCGGTTATGCTGTTTGGCTTTCCAGATTCAATTGGTCAGCTCGCTGACACTACGGGTATTATTTACTACTACTACTTGTCTTCTCTCTTTGGCCGCAACCGGGCGCTCGTCAACATCGTACACACATCTCTGGTCTTTTTTCTTCTTTACTCATATTCTACTCATCTCGTCGACGACAGCGCGGACATGTCGCCTCTCACACCGGCCCATTCCGGCTCGCAGCTTAGACCAGGTTGGTCGTCTGGTGGGTGATGACAAGACCGGCAACAGCGGCGGAAGTCAACGTCGACATGACACCGGAGATGAGGGCAGAGATGGCCATGGCACTGACATCACCACCACGGCTGGGAGCAAGCTGGCCCAGGATACCAATCTGGATACCCAGAGAACCAATGTTACCGAAACCGCAGAGGGCGTAGGTGGCAATGAGCTGAGAGCGAGGGGAGAGGTCGGCGTATTCCGGCTCCTTCATCGCGGAGAAGGCAACGTACTCGTTCTGTCACGATCTGGATCAGTACCTGAAAGAGTGTAAAGTCAATGTCTGGTGTTGCACTTACAGCGATGACCTTCATGGCGATCAGGCGGGCGACCTTGAGCAGATCCTCGTCGCGGGGAACACCCAAGAGGAACGCGATCGGGTAGAAGATGTAGCCGGTGATGAGGTTGAGCGTCAGAGGAGGCGAGTTGATGTTGAGGTAGCTTCCCCACCAGCTCAAGAGACCGTCAACCAGACCAATGAAGGCCAGAATGCAGAGAATCGAGGCAACGATGGTACCGGCGATCTTGATACCCAACCAGGCACCGTTGGCAAAGGCGTGGATGGCGTTCTTGGCCTCGTGCTCGTCGTCATCGGGAATAACGACCTTTCCGGCGGTCAAGGTCTCCTCCTTCTCGGGGTAGCGCAGCTTGGAGATGGCGATCGAGGCGGGGATGGACATGACGCAAGACGACACCATGGCCTGGGCGTTCAGACCCAGGTTGATGTAGGCGACGAGAGTGGAACCAGAGATGGTCGCGAAACCGCAGGTCATGATCTGGTGAATCTCGGCCTTGGTCATGTGAGGAACGAAAGGACGAACCAACATGGCAGACTCGCCCTGGCCGATGAAGGGAGTGGCGGCAGCGACGACAGCCTCGGCACCGGACACGCGAAGAGCCCAGAAAACGAAGGTGGCGAACTTGCCGATGAACCATTGCAGGAAGCCAATGAAGTAGAGCACCTGGACAATGGCCACGAAGAAGATGATGGGAGGAATGACGCCGGTGATGAACCAGTGGAGGTCAATGACGCTGTCGGCAGTCAGGAAAGCAGTTCCCTGGTTCGCAAAGCCAAGCAAGTCACCAGCGCGGTCCGCGATGAACTTGAAAATGTCGTATCCGACGCCGGTACGGAGGACGAAGAGCGCAATGATGTACTGCGAGAGCATACCGCCGATAACCGGGCGCCAGTTGACGCGCTTACGGTCATTGGAAGTGACCCAGAAGGCGAAAAGGATGACGATCAGACCAAAGATGGACACGGCGCGGTTCTCACGGTTGTTGTCGGCAGATTCCTCCGAGACGAACGAACCAACGAGGACGACGGCGATAGTCACGGCGGCGCCCGCGAGAGTGCGGAACTTGGCGGGGATAGCGTTGTAAATGTAAATCGCCGAGTGCTGCCAGACGAACTTGATCGGGCGCGAGATGTACGTGCTGGGAACGTAGAAGAAAACCAGGCGGAGCATGATACCGAGCCAGACGAGGAAAGGAATGACCCAGTTCTTGTCATTGCGGTGCAAAACGAGCGAGGCAATCCACCAGCCGGTGAAAAGGGCGAAGAGGAAGAAGACCCAAAGGTGCCGCTTGTTCTTGACGACAAACTTTTTAATGGGACCAAAGAGTGAGTCGTAACTGGGAGGGGGAGGCTGTTCCTGAGACTCGCGCTCACTCGGGGTCTGGATACCGCCCTTCTCGCCGTCGTACTGGGGAGGAGAGTTCAGCTTCTCCGGGTGACCCTTCTCGATGTCGTGCGGCTCGCCATGGTTGTGTAGGTGACTCTGGTGGGGAACAGTCGACTCGCCCGTCGTTGTGTAGGTGACATTGTCGGCATGGCCCTTTGCAATCACATTGTCGGAGTGGTACAAGTGTTGATGCTGGTGCTGGTTGGAGGGTTCCAGCGCCGGGTCCGAGTTGCGGCGGATCGGCGCATCGGCCGTGCCGTGGTTGTCGGGGGTCTTGTTGACCTCGGTGTCGGTGACCTGGGAAGCCATGGTTGCGGAATAGGGTTTCGGAGCGCACCGACGGGCGTTTGCCAGGAGAGACGGGATGGGAGTCGGACGAAGGGAAGCGTTGAGCTTGAGCTCACTCGGAGAAAGAACACCAAGAGAATTTTTTCCTCGACGAGTATTGGCAGTTGGTGGGATGATGGTGGACCACGGGCTAGCACGGTTGAAGGCTTGCCTGGGTATATTATCCAAAAGTTCAAAAAGAAACTTGGCCACCGATCAGACGGGCTCTGCGCAGAGAGGGAGGGTTGGGAGCTGCTGCTGGCTTGCTGCACGAAACAGACGAGAACCTCATGAGGGGACCACGGATCGACGCGTCTGAGGGGAAGCCCTTTTTAAAAATTCCCAGTGCGATGATCAAGGAATCCGAAAGTAGTGCCGAGGCTAGGCTAGGACACAATGATCCTCGACATAGCTTATCAGCAACCTGGGAGCCAGGCCGGGTCCAGGTTCAACTCGGGCAGGCAATCCCAATGGTGGGATCGGATGGGTGAACAAGGATGGAGCAAGAGTTCGCCGCCCTTGGAGCTGGTCGCGCGCGCAGACGAGCGCGCATCCGTCTGCTGCTCGCCAGAGTGTGGAGGAAGGGAAGAGCCCTCATGCGGTTCGGGGCCCATTTCGGTGGATTGACCCAGATTCTGTACATCTCGCAGCCAACGAGGATGCGGGTTGGACGGGCGACAGGGTTATCGGGTGTAGGATTGACAAAATTTGGTGGTATGGGAGATACAAGATGGCCAGGGTAGTACGTGTAGCTAGGGCGAAATGGACGTTTAGGAGGGGACTTTCAGTCACGGTAAGACGATATCTCGGAGGGGCCTTGCCACCGTCGGTCAGTCTTCAGATTCCGTGTCGGATGTCCCTTGATTCCAGTATCTTATCTCTAGTTGTCAAGACTCTTTGCGACTATTGAGACTTTGAGAGAATGTTGGTGAGTTGAAGGATCCAAAGATGGCAGACTCGACCGGACTCCAACGGATTCCAACGGTCGTCCGGCGAATTTGTCGCGAATTGAGATAGCAGACCGAAACTTTTTGACCTGGACCCTACTCGACCGCGATAAGGATGGAATTTTTTTCTGCAGTTCGCGGGTGGCATGACAAGGATCGTGGGAGGGCCGAAGCAGCACAGACTTCGCGCAGAGCCGGACCAAGCCAATTAGCTCTGCAATGTGAGTGGCAAAGCCAACGGCGCGCTTCCGCTTCTGGAAGGTTGATGGAACGATGGAGACAAGCGGTGGAGTAGACTGAGATTGGAGAGATGAGACTGGCTGTTGGATGGTCTTGGACACTTTGGAAGAGGAGGCCGGCTAGCAAAAGGACAGGGCTAATTGCGGCCGGGTTCGTTGGATATGTCTCTCATCGGATTGGACTGGCTTAGGGACGACGGGAGATGCATATCCAGTCGGACAAGACGCACGAATCATGGCCCCGAGACCTGTTTTTCAGTCTTCTTCCGTTGAACCATTCCTCTCTCTGTGAGCGAGCTGTGAGACCGATGAGAGGCTTGACAGTCAGACAGAGAGACACATGCACGCACACCAAACGAGTCGGACTCCGGAGCCGCCAATGAACTTCGGGCAATCGTTCCCGGAGACGGCGGCGGCGACGGTCATCGACTGCCTCTTGATAGGCTCAATACCGGCCTTGGCCTGCACGATGTAGCGTGTGGCAGATCCTTCCGCTCTCCTGGGCGTAACTAGACATTTTGATGGCTGCTAGGGGCCGAGACCCCAAGACACGCCGGCGCATTGCGACCCCCAAATTCACTGCCAGGGCACGAAGGAGACATGCGGAGAATCGGGACTGGTTGGAGATAGCTGCATCAGCCGCCCCGGCGCCACTAGCTCCTTGGATCGAGGGGAAGAGAGGGAAGAGCAAGAAGAGCAAGACGACACGCTCAAGCTGATTTGTCCCGTCTATCATGAGGTTCGCAAAAGGCATCCTGACTGTAATATGCTCACTAAGAGCGTTTGCATCTAAAAGTCCTGTATAGCTGAGTGAGGCGTACCTCAGTGCCTATGTAGTATGTGGCTGCTCACCACAAAATTGTGATGAGATCGGCGATAAGAGTTGATTCAGCTCTGTGATATCAAAGTGTAGCGGCCAGCGCCGGCCTGAAGCCGTGAGTCGTAACTCGGGGAACCCCCATCAAAATCTCAGTGAGACGAGATGAACGCTTTAGATTAGCGAGCTAGCCCCCGTCAACAAGTGCTCAGTGCGGAATGGAATGCCTTGACAATAAACAAGAACTGTGTTGTGTCTCATTTGTCTTATGCGAGTCTTCCGCAGAATCGGGTAGTAACTTATGAGAACGCAGCGTCGTTCGGCCATGATAGTAATCACCGTATTTCTCAAAGCAACATCCCTTTCCCCTTGTCTTGTGGTAGGCCCCCTCCGCCGGCTTGGGCCGGGACACTAGCAAACTGTCACTTGTCGACCATCTAGTCTATCCGTACCGTAGATACTCCAGACATCCCCGTTCCAGAAGCAACAACAACAAGAAGTGTCAGAGAGAGGCACCGACGCAGACGCAGACGCAGACACCTTGCTGCTGCATCTGCCACCCCAGTCTCCCCATCTTCCACCTACCAAAACCAGGTCTTAGGGGCACACGCTACGCGGAACATAGGTGTGGGAGGCCCCACGTCTACCCGGGGAAGAGAATCAGATGGGAGAGCCAGACAAGGTTCCTGAGCCTCTGACAGATTGCAACCATTCAACTTGCAGGGTGAGCGTCGTATCTCTCTCCCCAATTCAGTCAATGACCGCGTGCGCTCACCGATTACAGATTGGTCAGAGACAAAAGTGCCATGCTTCCCACGCACTGAGTGGGAATTTGGCTTTCCAGCTTCGGCCGGCTCCGCTTCTCGAACGGGTCCGTTGGTGGTCAATTCGCCGTGTAATCCAAGACACGTGAAGGCTTTGGTGATAAGCTGAAGGTGAGCTCCGGGCTGACTTCTTCTCGACTATGTCGCTAGCCTCCGACCGCCAAACCCATCACCCTGCATCTATCAAACGCGTGCTCAGCGGAAGGACTTGTCTTTAGGTCCAGATCTAGAAGCCCTCGTGTCCTGATTACGCGATGACTTGGTCCAGACAAAGTCGGAACCGTCGTTTTGGTGAGGAGATAAAGTGAGAGCCCGGTCGCAACGCGTCCTACTCATCGTCTGGCATGTCGAACGCCAACGCCATGGATTCAGAGACGCTACCACGTGTGCATGTCCCGTCTCCGCCCCCGGATCCAGCAACACGGTGTGACAGCAGCCTTGCGCATCTTCTCGGCCGACTGCGACTCCGCTCGCCGGCGTCGGGTGCGTCTGCGGTCGGAGACGCATATGTTCAGGCTGGTCCTGGTCTTTGGGTGCATAGATAACGATGTCTCTCGTCCCTCACAGCCTGCACCGCGGGCCGAATCTTGATTGAGGTTGGGATGAATGACCACCATACGCCACGTGTATAGCCAGCGATCTTTCGCTGATCTTTCGCGCCTTTCTTGCAGCAAGATGGTTCCAGCCGTCTATCGTCGTATCATGGACTTCTGGTCAAGCCAGTAATCCTCCAGGCATCTTGTTACTTGTCCTAGCATTTCAGAGTCCTTCGACGAGCCATCGTTCCACTGCTGACTGCATTTCCGTCCAATGAGGGATTCCTCGTTGGGTCCGAGTTGCGCACCTACTAACGGTACTGCTTCCGTTATCGGCGACTGGATCTTGCGATGGCCTCATCAGCTCAGACACGTGAGGACGACAAGAAAACAAGGCATAGTGCGCTCTTATGATGGCGAGGAAGAAAATCACAATGGTATCAATTAAACGTCAACAACCCGCTGCCTTGTAACACGGTGCGCCTGGACTCTTCCGGCGCCTTCGGCTCAACACCACACTATATCCTTTTGACGGAACTCAAACTAATTGTCGCGTGGGGTTTAAATACCCTCTGCGACCGCTCTCTCGGCCTTCTCTTGTACTTCCGTCTTGTAACCCTTGAACTGCCGGGCTGGCACCTTCTTGATGAACAGTTCGTCAAGCTCCTCGTACGATCGGCCAGCCACTTCCGGTTGGAAGAACCAGAGATATACCGTAGACAAGATTGACATGGCGCCGAAGATGAACGCGACTTTGGCTCCAAGGTTCGCTTGATCGGGGTTAAACCTGTGTTGTACGATGAGTTTCTCTACACAAAGGTACTGGGGTATCAGAGGAGTTACTTACAGGAACGGAATGACAAAAGCCCACATAGTCTATGAGATGGTTAGCCTAAGTGGAACCAAGAGGCGTGAAGGGGAGCAATCTTACGAAGAGGGCGTTCTGAAGAGCCAGAGCCATCGAGGCAGTCTTGGCACGGAGACGAGAAGTCGCAATCTCGGTCAAGAGAGAATAGGCAGTGGCACCGATGGTGACGTTGTAGAAGAAGCAGTAGATCAGGAGCAGGGCAACTGTTCCCTTGACAGCCCCGGGAGTGCCCGCAACTGCAAGACCACCGGTAACCATCAGAAGAGTCGTCAGGATGCACATGCCGTAGAGTGTCAGACCACGACGACCGACTCTGTCGATGAGGAACCAAGAAACTATGTTGCCAATCATGGACATGACTTGCTGAACAATAGCCAAGATGAAACTCTCCTTAACGGAATAACCAGCAATTTGTTGGTAGTAGGTGCTGTATGATGAGACGAAGAAGACTCCGCATAGGGCTTGAATGCTCAGAGGAGCGACGGAGATGATGGTACGACGTAGGTTGGACTTGCGGAAGCACTCGGCAAACGTCACGCCATCGGTCTCCTTGCGCACTTCGGCAAGTGTGTTGGTGATGACGGAGAGCCTCTTCTCGACCTGGATGGCATCATATCCAAGACGACCGAGGGACCTCGCGGCCTTTTGCATCTGGTCCTTGTTGACGAGCCACCAAGGAGACTCCGGCATGAAGAATAACATGATGGCACCCAATCCGCTGATTCCGTACTGTGAAACGAAAACAGCGCGGTATGCCCAGCGATCTTCTCTGGTTCCCGTCGAGTTGACGACGAGTGACACGATGAAGGGGCCGATGGTAAAGGCAATGGCGGCGGCGGCGGTCATGATGCCTCGAAGTGCCAGGGGTGCGACCTCGCCGATGTATGTCATGCTAACAGTGATAAAAGCACCGATGGGGAATCCGGCGATGAACTTGCCAGCGAAGAAGATTTCGTTCGTTGTGCTGATGACTTCGAGAGTGATGCCGACAAAGATGAAGATGTAGCTGATGAAGTAAGTCCACTTGCGTCCGATAAGATCGGCTATGTAGCCGGCACCGATAGATCCGACAACAGCACTATGAGAAGAAATGTCAGTCCCTGAGTTCGTGCCACATTCGAGTTCGTGTATGACTTACGATGCCACTGGTGCTCCGCTGTAGGCAGACTGCCACTTAGCGGGGAGGACATAGTCGCCGTTGTATGGCGAACCAAAATCCTTGCGGAACTCCCTGATGCCCAGAATGCTACCACCGGCCTGGTTGTCGAAACTGGTCAGGACGAGGACGTAGATGGCGTACAGGCACCAAGCGAACGCCCATGGCTGGTTCTTGATGGCCTGGAGGGGGGTTTCTTCGGCGTCTTCAGCGATGGCGGCGTGTCCGATTTCCTCAACATGCTCGCCCTTGGCCGCGGCGATGTCGTCCTTTTCGGCGACGATGGGCGTATTGGACGCCTCGAGATTGTTGTGAGCCATGGCCGACGCCTGTGCTTATGTTCGTACCACAGAATCTTTGAAAATAGATGGCGCGAAAGATTCCCCGGCGGAAGGATCCAATGTTTTGAAGGATTCTGGGGAAGGTCACCGACGATCTGGGGAAGCTGAGGAGGCGAGTCTGGGGAACTGGGGCTCAAAGTTGCAATGATGCCGGGAACGTCCCCGGTTCTTATTGTCAGGCACAGTTCACGAAGCGTCCTCGGGGAGGAAATTGTAGGCACTTCTTCGGCTCAAAGTCGCCTCAATGATTGACCGAAAAGAGCCAATTGTTGTGGTCTCTTGCTGCTGGAGAAGCCGAGTTCATGGCCAAGCGTGAACGCCATCGCTGCCATCTACCCAACCACGCGGTTAACTTCTTGCGGGGGAGGGGCCGGTCTACACCCACGTCGGTTGGTGATCGCATGATGCTATTGAGTTTCAGCAATGGTTCGGTCTTGTGGCCGGCAGAACATTTAGCAAGGAACAAGAGTCAATGGCATGCCTGGTAGTCGGTGGTCACTGAGTCAGTCTGTATTCCGAAGAAACTCCCTCAGTCGCGTGGTTGGCTGACTTGGACGTTGTCTAACCTGTTTTGGATCATTGATAGAATCATTGAGATGAACTTGGTCGCGGCCCCGGTTACTAACAATGGAATAGTATGATGAATGGTCGCGGCCAAGCTGTCAATGACCCATCTTCTCGGTCCTAATCTGGGGACCCCACGACCAGGGGCAACTCCCGAATGAATGTTGTGGAGAAAGTACCACGAGGACGCGGGGTTTGACCCGGGCTGTTGGCTGTTGGGTTAACTGTCACACTGGTCCGCATTTTCGGTATTGAGAGTCTCGTTGAAGAATGGACATTGATCTTGATTGGTTACATAGAGAGAAATCACTAGCAAGTCATATCGATGTTTTTGACACTTGAACTAAATCCCGAAGGATTGAATTGACTCCTGAAGGATGGAATTAGAGCAATGGAGATGGGACACCGAGGAATTGTGCCGGTAATTCGGCATTAAGCGGGAGACCCTCTTTCATCTCGAGACGTTCTAGCTTCAACGTAATGACAACGCCAAGGGCAAGAAATTGCAAGAAAAACCTGAACTAAGTCTGGAAACAACCTTGAAATGACCTAGCCTCCCCGCAGCTTCACCGCGGTTTTACCGCAGTTGAGCCCTCCTGACCTCGGGTTTCCTCGTAGATACTGGGTTCCAGACGCTGCTCGATGCAGACTTGCCGATTCCCCGCAGTAACAGACCAGGATCTCTCCTCGTGGACGACATTGACATGGCATGGCGGGCCTAATTGAGCAATCAGAAGCGTCAGCTACCCTCCTCCACTTGCCGAGCGAGTGCGTTGGATTGCCCTTCTCGGGGCGTTGTCACACCGAGGTGTTTACGACTTCTGTTTGAGATCGTGGCGTGTTAAAAACACCATCGGCCAACCTCAATTCATGCTCTCAGCTGAAGCCTAGACTCTCAGCCCTAACCTCCTTGTCAAACTAGCATAACTCTCAATTTGTACTTCACCCCTACCAACATGTCTGACGCACCCGAGGACATGGTCGAGAGCATTCTGCCGACGAGATGGAATCGGAACTTTGAGAAGCTTGCCAACGACCTCTGTCCAACCTTGCACCGATGGACTCGCACGCCTCAACGCGTCGTCAAGTTCGACAAAGATGGGAGCCAGTACTTTGGTGTTCGAGCCACGCCGGCGGACTACCCTATTGATCAGCTATCACCGAAGTCCTGGGGCAAGGGGGACGACTTCATCCTCGATTTCGGCATCCATATGGTGGGATACGTCTCGTTCCGCCTCGAGTCCCGGGGATCACACATGGACGCCCCTTGCAGGTTGCGCCTCACCTTTGGCGAGTCCCCTTTGGACGTGACGCTTGGCATGGACAATGTCAAGACGTGGATCAGTACCAGCTGGCTCCCTGACGAGATCATCAACATCGACATGTGCCCTGAGCTGGTCACGTTGCGGCGCCGCTATTCCTTCCGCTTCTTACGCGTCGAGGTCATCGATACCTCGCCCAAGTTCAAAGTCGCCTTCTCAGAAGTCCAATGCGAGTGCGTCAGCGCCATCAGTCAGGGACATTCTCTGGAAGCGCTTCAGTTCAAGGATAAGCTCATCCAGAACATCGACCACGTGAGCATCTCCACACTGAGAGATTGCATGCAAACAGTCTTCGAGGACGGTCCTCGGCGAGACCGTCGACTATGGAGCGGAGATTTGCGTCTGCAAGCCTTAGCCAACTACAGCACGTTCAAGGATTTCAACTTGGTCAAACGCTGCATCTTTCAGTTCGCTGCCGTAGTCCGCGAAGACGACTCTGTGCCCGCTTGCATCTTCGAGCAACCGCAGCTTACCCCCTCTTCCGATTACATCGTTGACTACGACGCTCTATTTGCTGCCATCGTCAATGACTACGTTGTCGCGTCTGGAGATACATCATCTGGTCATGCCTTGTGGCCGACTGTCCTAGGCTGCGTGAAGCGAGCCATCACACACCTTGATCCTGAAACTCATGCCTTTGACGAAGCCAAAGGAGAGGGCTGGAACTTCCTGGATTGGCAACCGGGTTTGGAACACAGCGCAGGGGAGCACGGAGTTCTACTCTACTGCCTCAAAGCAGCCAACGCCCTGTCCCAGGTTCTTGGGAAAGAGGCCCCTTTTGTGGACCTCGCTGCACAAATGACCCAGGCAGCGAAGGTGTTTATCTCGCCAGACAATGTCTTCATATCTGGTCCTAAGGCTCAAGTGAGTTACGCCTCAGCATCCTGGCTCGTCTTGGCCGGTGCATTCCCAAAGGATGTGGCACAGAGAGCCTTGCTCAACACCCTCGCCCACCCTGATGCTCTGAAGCCTCTCACACCCTACCTTTGGCATCACGTATGTGACGCGCTTGCAACTGTGGGGTTGTATGAAAAGTGTGTCGAGATCATGTCCGATTACTGGGGAGGGATGGTGCGGGCCGGTGCAGATACATTTTGGGAGTGTTACAACCCGGAAGATCCGCAGGCCAGTCCCTACGGTGATGTACGGAATAACAGTTTCTGTCACGCATGGAGTTGTACCCCAACATACTTGCTGAGAGAGAAGTTGAAGGAGTTTGTCGGTGTTAACGGCACGAGATCAGTGACGGTGGGCGAGCTGGACGAGTACTGGATCAAGTCTCGGCTAAGCTCTTGAGATAATCAACCTCAAATAGATACCACACGATCATGAATACATCACGAGATGGAGATGCTTAGTGAGAGACGGCAGACTGGTGGAGAAAGTTGAAATCATTTCCCGAATGATATGTGCAGCTTGGCTTTTGCAAATAAAATATGTACAGTAAAGGTTGATCGGCTCAAGAGAGACTTGAGCTTTGCGAGAGGCTTTCAGACATCATCGAACTGCTTAGGCAGAGCCAAGCAGAGCAGTCTTGGGCTTCTGGCCAGGGAAGAAGGTGGTGGGCACAGCCGGGATCGGGATGGAAGCCGTGAGACCCAAGCCGGCAGTGATCTGGCCAGGCATGGTGGTAGCCTCGTAGCCGGCGACAGTCTTGGTGGTCGCAGTGCTGGTGTAGGTGCCAGAGCCAGTACGGAGGCAGTGACCCTTGCCGAATGCGTTGCTGCACTTGTCAACGATGGAGGAACCGGCGTCGGTCCAGATGTTGATGCCGGAGACGTCGATGTTCTCGCAGGGGACCGCGGCCGCGCAGAGAACGACAACAGGGCCGCGGGAGGCGCCGTTGGCAGCAGTACCCTTCCAGTTGGAGAAAGTCAGGTTCTTGTACTCCACACCGTTGCCGGAGACCTTGCTCTGGCCAGCCCAGGCGGAGTCGATCTTGAGGGAGTAAGCGTTGCCGTGGCCGATGAAGTTCTCAAAGCGGGAGTTCTGGAAGACACCGTCACCGCCGTTGTTCTTGATCATCATCATCTGGTTCGAGTTGACGGTGTAGATGTTGCGGTAGGTGATGTCGGAGATGGCTACGAGGGACATGAGTTGAGATCAAGTAATTATGGTGAGTACTTCACGTACCAGTGTCGGCGCCCAGGGAACCGATGGCACAGCCACCAGACCAGTTGCAGAAAATGTCCTCGACGAGAACGTGGCTAGACTTGTTCTTGACGGTGACACTAAGGATGTTGTTAGTCGAGTATTCGCACACGTAAAATGCCGAACTTGAGGCCGGTTTCTGAGCTGCCGACCGGGAACAGTGGGGCCGACAGAGGTCCCCGAGAACTCTTGAGATGACCATGGATGGGGATGAACTCACCATTCATCCTTGTTGGTGACCTCAATGTCATGAACGTGCACGTTGGTGGCAGCCATCAGGTCGAGGCCATCGAGACCTCCCTCGTTTCCTCCACGAATGATCATGTTGTAAACATCGCCGTTCTTGCAGCTGTCCAGGATGATGTGGAAAGCGGGGGAATCGACGAGAGCAATGTCGTGGACGCTGAAGTCGGTGACAGAGACGAATCTCAGGAGTCGGGGTCTGGTGAATGTTAGAGCTGCATCGGTGCAAGGCGTTGATTCCCAAAGCTGTTCTCACCCGTAGACACCCTTGCCCTCTGCAAAAATGGTCAGCACAATCCCTTTCTCAACGGAGACGTTCTCGAGAATATTGCTTACGCTTATGGAACTCATAGCCATAGCCCTGCATGGCACCCTTGGAGTTGCCGCTGTAGAATTCAACATCGGTAGACTTCTGGACGATGATCATGTGGCCGCCAGCAGTACCGGTGCGGTAGATGGTGCCCTCGAGGTTGATCGAGACGCCAGTACCTCCCGAGAGCGTCTGCCATGTGCCAAGACCCCATTCTCCCTCCGGGATCACGATCTCTCCGCCAGTCTTGCAGGCATCCCACGCGGACTTGAGAGCGGCGCCAATGTCGCCGGTGGCACCGGTCTTGGCGCCGTAGTCCGTGATCTTGCACGTTTTCTTGGCCGCCTTGGCTGCCCGAGTAGTGGTCGGTCCGACGCTGCCGGAGAGCTCGGCGTTGGCCCATTCCGGGAGAAGAGCGCCCAGCGCAAGGAGTGAAAGGGAAGCGAACTTCATGTTGATTTGTGAACGAATGAATAAGGACCAGGAGTCAAAAAATGAGAGACACGGAATGGGAAAGGGAGCGACGAGAACGCGAAAGAGAATGCAGATTCCTTCAACAGGAACGCTTTGGGTTGATAAACGCGGGATTGCAGCATTGCAGCGTCCTCCTTTTCCTCCGCTCATCTTTCCACCAAACAGGCCACCGATCTTAGCTCATTCTTCCTCCACGCCGCTTCCCATTTCCACCCGCTGTCCCCACGATCCGTCCATCGCTTGTGGGAAATTGAACGGAGAGCGCTGTTGAAACTGGCTGGTTGATCACAAACAGTCTCTCGAGCCGGGATTCTGGCGCCGTGTTAATTAAACGACCAACACAGACAGTGGACTTGTTGCGATTTCGCTTCGTCAAATGCCGTCCCAAATGGGGTCTGCGGGTGTGAAATAGAGTGAATGGTGGTGCTATCGGGGCCTGGCCACCGGACCATTCTTGTCATCCTGGTGTTTTCTTCAGGGGTACTGCTTGTCATGTTGTTCAACATCAGTATCCCTAGTCAGCAGCGCGCCCTGCAATTCGTGAAGTCAATCTTCATTGGAAGACTCGACGGGACCAGTACAAGGGCCTGCTGGGGGAGACTGGTGAAACAAAAAGAAACGATGCCGATGAGCCGCGTCATTGCTGCAGTTCATCCCGTCCTCGTCAGACCAAAAACATTAAACCCATCTGTTTGGCACACGCTGTCAGCCACGAAAAGATTGAAAGGGAGTCTGAGGCGCCATCATCAATCTTTTGAATGGCGATCTGTCCAGCGACACCCCGACTTGTAGAAAGATGGCAGCATGAGAAAGTGAAGGATGATTAGAGCAGATTATATCCGAGTACCGCGTCCCAACAAAATCGGCATCCCACAGCCAGAGCCCGGCCCCTGACAAAGCCCCTAGCTCCTCCATCTAAATTGCGGTGTCTATGGAACGGCCTTCTGCTTCCGGACACCAGAAAACTTCTAGCTGCCGTCCTCCCGTGCCCGTCTGCCAAGCACCGTGCCGCCGCGGGGGCGTGCCGTTGGCCAAGGCGGGAGAGAATGGGTTCTTGCACGGGGGCCGGCATCGGTGGCCAAGACACGTTGCTTTTCGCCTACTATTATTCTTTGGGTGTGCCGGCCATAGCTGGGACTCATAATAGGGAAACACTGTTGCAATTTCATTACGAGTGTGTCCTTCGAGAGCCATATTTGTCCACAAATAAAAGCCAAGCTTCTTTCGATCACTATTGGTGCTTGACTCGCGGCGAAAACGCCTCCCGCTGCTGCAACGCATCGGAGCTGAAGAGGTGAGCCTCTACTTGCAATTCGTACCATGTATGAATCATGTAGTAGATTACATAGCACAGCATGGCTGACACCACAGGTCAAGCGTGACAAGCACTTGGCTGAATGGTTGTTGAGTAGCTTCTTCGTCTCTGTTTTCATCTACTGACTGCTAGCCTGCTGTACATCTTCTTGTGGGAGCTCGGTGCTACTCGTGCTGCAGCTGTCGCCGAATTCACGGATTCGCCAGTGATATTCCCTGGGCTGAACAACATCAAATGAGCCTCCTCCACGCGAGCTATGCATCTTACTACGCAGCTAGCCTCGAACTTTCTCTTCCACTAAGATCTCGATAAGACGCATGTCTCCCCCAATTGCCGTCTGCCAAGAATAAGCTTACCATCCTTCCACCGCAGCTCCGAGAGCTCGGAACCTGCGCCCGATACTTCTCAGCCTACTCGAGGTCTGACATCACGACTGCGCCGCCGCCTCCGACTCGGCCCAGCTTGCCTCCGGCATCACCTTAGCCTAATGCAGCCTGGCAGCCGGTGTACATGCAAGCCAGCTCACAAATCAGCCCCAGAAGTCCTCGCAGCTTAGCCCAACAACGCTTATCGCGCTTGTTTTGCGAAGCTGACACAGACGCCTTGCGTGCAGCGTTGGGTATGTGAGCTTGCAGGAATCCTATTCGCTCCTTAGGCTTCGAACTCGGGGAACTATGAGAGGTTTGATAGCAGACAACCTAAACCGTGCTTCTGCCCGTTGAGTAGCCTATCTCAAAACTTCACCCTGTTGCGCTAGCCACAGACGACGCCAGGCTTGGAGGTTCAATTGCATAGGCGGTGCTACCGGCGCAGCCGGATGTCGGTCCCCTTATTGACTGACTTACACTAAATTTGTCCCGAGATGGATGACTTCGCGGCCACCATCCAAGTCAAGTGAGATGTCAAGCCGCAGCCTGCAGCGAAATCCTTCACCGGCTAGTTGAATCTAGGGTAGTGATGAAAATAGTTTCCTAATTCATGGTCCCTATGATATATCCTCATGAACGAGAGTCTATAAATGAAAAGCATCTCCTTGCTCTTCGTGCTCTTCTCCTTCCCTCTCATCATCATCACACATTCGAGACAACTCATCTACATCAACAATTTCCTTTTCTCTTTTTCCTTTGTGATTTCCTTATTTCCTTTATCGGTTTCTCTTTTCTTGGGATAATCCAGCAAATCAACAACCACATTTTCTCTTCCAACTTACTTTGGTCGACTTCAGCTCTATCTATATCTCAACATATCATATTCACAATGCATTCTTCTCTTATCTTCACCATTCTCGCCACTACCGCGACTCTCGCTGCTTCTGCTTCCGCCAACGGCCCGCAGGGAGACGACACCGTCTGCGCCCCCGGGACCGGGTTCTTCCAATCCTGCAGCAGCGGCTTCCGAGGTTGCTGCAAGGCTGACGCCTGCACTATTGGCTACTGCCCCGATGTGACCGGCACTACAGATAACACCCCTGTTGTCACGGTCACTCCCGCCGCCACCCCGAACTACAAGGCCCACTCGGAGCCGAAGACCGCCGTCGACCCCACCGTTTGCAAGCCCGGCACCGGCTTTTTCCAAAAGTGCGCCAACGGGTTTGAGGGATGCTGCAAACAGGACGCCTGTACCTTGGGATACTGTCCCTCTACCGACGAGAAGCGCGATGACCCCACGGTCTGCCCTCCCGGCACTGGGTTCTTTCAGTCATGCAGCAACGGTTTCCGCGGCTGCTGCAAGACTGACGCTTGCTCAAACACGATTGGATACTGCCCTACTGTGAACGTCAGGCGCGATGATCCTACCGCCTGCGCTCCTGGTACCGGCTTCTTCCAGTCCTGCTCCAACGGCTTCCGTGGTTGCTGCAAGCAGGATGCTTGCACCATTGGATATTGCCCCGATCTCAAGGTCCGCGAGTCCGCAGTGAAGCGCGATGATACCGTCTGTGCCCCTGGCACCGGCTTCTTCCAGTCCTGCTCCAACGGCTTCCGCGGCTGCTGCAAGCAGGATGCCTGCACCATCGGCTACTGCCCGGACGTCAAGGCCTTCGAGACTGTTACAAAGACCGGCCCTAAGACTACTGCTACTCCTAAGCCGAACCATGAGTGGCAGCCTGAGCCCAAGTCAACCGACCCAACGGTGTGCGCCCCTGGCACTGGTTTCTTCCAGTCTTGCAGCAACGGCTTCCGAGGCTGCTGCAAGAAGGATGCCTGCACTATTGGCTACTGCCCCTCCAACTAAATGGTTTCCGGCAAAGAATGGAGTAATGAGCCAAGTACTTTCGGTTGAGTTGTTGGTATATAGTATGGTATAGGGTGCATTGCATGGTTGGGAATTAGAACTTAGATCTGCATGTCGGCGAAACTTTTGGGTATCATTTTCTATGGCGTTCGGTTTGATATTGGTCATTTGCATAATACAACTACTACCTTCCTTCTGCGCCTTCTCAGAATTCCCGTTTGTGACGTAGAGCCTTGATTGTAAATCAACTACCTATCTATCTCTCGAGTCGGCTCTATCTGTTCATCGCCACCGTCATGCCTTCTGTTATGTAGCACGCTACTGATACCAACATGAAGTTTGATTGTAGAGCTTTGAACCTAGGGTAGCATTTGTTGTGAACGTTAGCGCATCTTGTAAACTCGTCATTGTCTCGCTCTAGGTCTGAACGGTTTTTATGACGTGACCTTTGCGTTCATGTGAAGTTGATGCTGCTCCTAGCCCGTGATGGCGTTTTCATCGTCGAACTCAATGCGCAATTTAATTCATGGACTCTTGAAGCTGCCTCCGAAGGAAGCTGCAGCGGTCGCGTGGCATAAGGATGTTCGGCACTGGTGTTGTAAGTTCCTACCTCGATCGACCTTGAAACCAGACTTCATGAGATGGCAGGTGTCCCCGCAAAACAAGATTGTCTAGTTTCAAGTTGATGGACGTCAAAAAGCTTAGTACTCTTTCCTCACGGCAATAGTCGAGCTAAAAGCTCAGACGCAAAGAACTCCTGAGCACATGCATTTGAACTGCATCACCACAGGAAGTACAGATACGCTCACTTGACGCCAGAACTTTGCATGGAGGTTTTGTTTTGATATTTGTCATTACATTATACTAGTTTATGCGTCGCATCGTATCATGACATGCGGTGTTCACTTGAAGAACACGTCGATTCCTCCTCTGAACTACCATCGGTACAGCAGAATCACCATTTAAGGCAGGTTCTGGGGAGCGTAGCTCTGGTCAGGGGTCACAGCCTGGCCGTTGACAAGCTGCTTGTCGGTGTAGGCGGGCCAGACGATGAGCTTCTGGTCGGTGACGGAGAAGGTAGTGAAGCCGGCGTCGGGGCCGAACTGGCCGCTCCAACCGGAGGTGACGGTGTAAGCGCCGCACTTGGCGTTGGAGGCGGCTCTGCTGGCGGGGGAGCCAGTGGTGGTGAACTTGCAAGCTGTGGCATCGGCAGTGTGGGTGTTGATGCTGAAGCTGTAGTCGCAAGAGGTGTCCTCGGCGTTGCAGGAGCGAGTGAACTTCTCAATGGTCCACTCGGGAACGGCGGCCATCATGGACTTGGACTCGCGCTTGGCGACGGGGGATGCGGAGACCACCGTGGCGGCCAGGGCAGAGAGGAAGATGTTGGTGATCTGCATTTTGAAGGTGGTTGAAGGTTGAAGGTTGTGATGGAGATTAAGTGGTATTAGAGATGTTATTGTAGATGGGATTGTCTTGATGATGAGATGAATTCAAAAGCCGGATATGAGGAGGAATCTCTTGCCTTTAAGTATTGCAATAGGTGTCAAGGATGTTGTCATCTCGATGCCAACACGTGCAGGTGTTGAATACACACAACTCGGCAGTCTGCGGACACGGCGAATACTCGAATCATCCGTAAAGCTCGTAAAGTGACGTTACCATCGTGTTCCAGTTTACATGCCGAGGGATCGTGGACTATCGAGTCGCTTAGCCACCCAGTCACCGCTCCTTCCGCCCCGTCGCTCCATTATGACAACAGTGACGATGTGGTATGACCTTGATGGTAAGTAACTATGCAATCATAAGGGCTACTTAGACTTGCCAGAAGCCTCGGTTAATTACGTATGGCTTTCATTTTGTCAGAAAGAACATCTAAACTGGGTCTTGAACACCGCTTAGAAACGACGGTTTCCATGTCACCCAGCCTCAAAAGTCCGTCTTACTGAATGGTGGCTGGTGAGACCTTGACAACAAACCCAGGGCTGATTCTCGTATTCAGGGTCGCATGCATTCTGATTTTTGGGGCGAGTGGACATCAACTCTAGGCGCATGACGTGCCGTGATGAGACCCCGAGATTAATACGAGCGCTAAGTGCCGGGGCCAATTAACCGTAACAAGGAAAGACTCCACGCGCCAGTCTTCTTCCGGGGCCCCGATCCCTCCGAGACATCATCGCCCTACCGTGCCGCCTCCGCTGATCTACCTTGATTTCGATTCATTCTCCCTAGCGTTTCTTCTAGAAAGCTATGTTTAGCGAACGGCTTGCCCGATCCGACGTTTTCCTTGGCCTTAAGCCGTTGGGCATTCGGTGAGACTGGATCCTTCGGATTCGCGGGGTAGATGTGCCCGCGAGGATCTCCAACAGGCAGCAGAATACCATGTTACTTGGGCATTGCCATCTAGATATTTTTCCCCTCAACTCTGGGCGCTCACTACTGAGACTGAATGAGATAGGCCACGGCGATCCGTGTCAACTAGACCACAACCAGTTGACACAAGTTGTGGAACCGCTGTCACTAGTACTGTTATTAGTTCGGAACGATCTGTCAGGTTCAGGTACCGTTCCTCCCTTCCAAGACCGGAGAAAGCGTCGCGAGGCAAGATGGACACGAGGAGGGGTCAGCTACGCAGGGGAGTTCTAGGCCAAAGACATATGCCAACTTGTCGATCTGGTTCAATGTCAACGTCTTACGAGGATGACGTGAGCAAATAGCCAACGCCTGGCTGAGTTTGATGTTGGAATATCATAAACGCCCATACTATTGAGTTGACGTCCAGTGACACCTCACCCCTCACATGTACATCGACTCGATCCAGAGACGTCACAATAAGTGCCATGTCTTTATGTCCATTTCAATTTTTTTTTTTTTCAAACATGTGTTAACACACGCAGTAAGTCATTGGCTGGGGGGATACTCCATGACTACATGTATGATTATGCTCAGGAGTCAGGACTGAGGGCGTCGAATGTTCAACGTTTCAACATCGAACAGCATGTACTTATACGTCGTTTGTTTCAGTAATACGTTAGGAAATTCCCTTCTCAGTCATGTTCAAGGGATGCATTCTCTTAATTATCCATTTTTGACTATTGACAAATCTCGAAATCGAACCATTATTGAGCTCGAAAGTTTGACGCAAGAGGCCCAAAGATACTTAAAAGCTTTGCTCTGATAATGAAAATGGACTGTACGGGGTGTGTCTGGAGGCTTATAGTTGATTGAGCGTGTACCTGTCCCAAGTTTCCAAGGTTCAAGTGTATTGGATCCGGACGAATGTTCGCACATCTGTTTGCATGCAAGTATTGGAGGAAATAACTCAGATTTCATAAAGAAAGTTGCAGAGAAAGTGAAACGAAAAGATCCTCATAACCGCTGCACATCTTCGCGGAGGGGTGGGGAAATACAGAAAAAGAAAACACTCAATCAAAGCATAAGTCAAAAAATATGCCCAGAGGCGGATTCGAACCGCCGTCAACACGGAACTGCTGCGTAACAAGACCACAACGTATCATCCTAACCAACTAGACGATCTGGGCAATGATCTGATTCGATGAAGACATTCGCGCTTGCTGGGGCCTACTGTGGTTGCTGCGAATCGTGAGCCCCGTCACGAAGAGACCTCATGCCAGTCAGTGGGGTGTGTGGATTCGCTAGTTTACTTCCAAGCCGCGGAAACGACTCAAAGACAAGTTTGCTATGGCTTGGAGGAAACGGCAAAATGGGTTGGTTAGATGCATCAAGTCAGGTTCTCTGGCGTCTATCAGTTACAACCACACGACAAGAAAGTAGAAATCTCGTGAGAAACTCAGCTTGCCTGACGAAAGTATCTCACGAACAAGTACGTTCACAACATTCAGCTGCTACAGCATATTTTTTTTAAATCCGAATTGTGGAAAACTTCGTCACAGTCCGGGCAACTCTGGAAAGTCTTCATGTTCTGTCTTACGTAGACGCTCTCTCATCAAACAGCCATGCTCTCCCGAGACACCCCAGATTACCTCACCCGCATCTTACTGGAATGATCAAGAGTCTTACCAACTTCCCAGTTAGAAAACCAGTGCCATAACGCCAGTGGAACGTACCATAGTAGTTGACCTATAGACATCAGACCACCCTACTGTCTTCTTACTATGATTCTGATGGCGGCTGAGAGGTCTCCGTGCCTAACTGTCCAGTCTCATAGCACATATCGCATCACATTCACGCGCAAACATCGCCATGCCTAGTTGCGTCGGGCCACATGATTAAAAATAGTTTCAGCGAGACCGACAAGCTCAAAGCGATGACAGATTCGCAACGACCATTCCCTGGATGGTGAAGTTTCCAGCCATAAGATCCTTGCGAGGTGTGTCTGTCTGAGCGCCACGCCAAATGCGCACTGTTGCGAGTAACAGATCACCTTCAAAGGCATTAAACGACATGTTGAAATACAGTGCAAATTCTGAAGAGTTTCATCGGGGCTGCCACACGTCATGAACTCTATTCGCCGACTCTAATATGACCTCCTCATTCTCACCTTCAATTTCTTCCCCTCGCACACATCTCTTGATCGGTCAGAGTCGCGTACGGCCGCGACAGGATGTGTTCTGTTTCTCCCCCTTGAAGGGCACCGCAGATGCTCTCATTTCTCCCAGTCGACGGCGACTGCGCTCAACCGCAACATGGACGCAACGTTCACTGACGACACCGTGCAGCTCGTGAAGAGGACCGAGCTGCCGGTCAGGATCGGACCCGACGAGACCGTCATCCATGCGAGCGCCGACGGTGGACCGGTCAAGGAAGAGCACTGGAAGAGTGAATCGTACCTGGGCAGCGGCGGAGTCGGGCTGGTCTTCCGTGAGAAGTGCATCGTGGGTCCGTCCTTTGGACAGCTGAGAGCAGTCAAGGAGATACCACGGCCCAGGAACAGGAATGATGACGATGTGGATATCGTGAACGAGCTCAAGGGGCTTTTAGTCTTTTCCCAGCCAGAGGTAAGACTTCCTCGCACTTGAAGGCCTGCGCGGATGCTGACTTTATTCGCAGTATGAAGCATATTTTGTTAGAACACTGGGATGGTATCAAATTCCTTCGAAAGTGTTCGTCGCCATGGAATTCCTGCCGCAAGGCAATCTGCACGCACACTTGATGAACCAAGGCCCTATTCCTGAGAACCACGGGAAACTCATCATCCGCCAAGTCCTCCGTGGATTGGCCTACATCCATCAGTTCGGCCTGGCTCATCGAGGGCTGAAGCCATCGGTACGATCTTCCTCTAGGCTAAGCTCGTTGACAGTTCTACTAACGCCGCATAGAACCTACTCATCCGCACTCAGCCGCCAGGTGGCGAGTGGTGGGTGAAGATTGCCGACTTCGGGATTAGCAAGCGACCCAAACGCACCATCAGCATGTCTATTGCTGTTGGAGACACTATCGGGTTCATGGCCCCGGAAGTTATAGGTCTTTCTTCCACGACAGATGATCTATCACCCGACATCGCAGCCCAGAAGGCCGACATGTGGGCTGCCGGAGAGACCCTCCATTTCATACTCACATGTGCTCATTCCTTCGGTGAAGGCCTCGAGGCCCTTCGGGAATATGCTCGGGATGCTCGATCTTTTCCAAATGAAAGGCTCCAGGGCCTAGGACTGCCGACCTCCTGCGTCACGTTCATCCAAGACCTGATGTGTTCTCACCCGAAACTACGTCCCGACGCCGAGCAAGCCCTCGATCACGTTTGGGCGCGAATGCCCAATCACTACGCAACATCCTTCTCTAGGGTTGCTTGCACGATCCGATGCCGAGGATTGGAAGCACCATCCGTCGTGTTCTCCCACACTGGGGAGCGTCTTCTTGTGGTCTCGCCAGAGAAGTTGTACCTCATCGAGTCTGCGAATGGCAATGTCATCAAAAGCTACGAGTCGTCCGAAAGAACATTCGCATCCGCTGCGATCTCCCCCGACGACAAATTCTTCATGGTGCTGGAGGACTCGGGTCGGCTCAGCCGATTTGACGCCAAGAAGTTAAAACTCCTCGAACAACGAGGCCCGTTCGGCAAGATGCCTGCCGGAGACTGCTTCGTGACGTACTCCCACGACGGGCGCTGCGTCGCGACTGCGCACACTGGCAACTTCGTCATCTGGAAGCTGAAGGGAGCTGCCTTACCAACGGCTGGTACGTGGCGGACAGGCAACTTCACGGTCAGGTCCATGCAGTTCACATCAGATGACAAGAATATCGTCCTAGCATTAGACAGGGCAGTCCATATCATGCCGCTTACGCCGGGCATCAACGGTGCTGGGTACAGGAGGGAGGAGGAGATGATCAATTACCCCGTCATAGGACCCGTGTCCGCCGTTGCTACCAACGGCCTCGATTACATGCATTGCGACGTCAACCACATCTACCTTTGGCGAGACGGCGCTCAGTGCTGGCGACGACAGTACTATCACTCAGTCCCTTTCCAAGACGCTGTCTATTCCCCGTCCGGCGCGACAGTTGCGACAACAGATGTTAGGGGAGGCGCCACGCTGTGGCGGGTGAGGAGTATGGGTGAGGTAGGATGTCTTAAGTTTCCGGAGGAGGGTGTTGCTCGAGTGGCAGTTTCACCACCGATGGGCAAGTACATTGCCATGGGTTTAATGGATCAAAAAGGACCAAGGGTTGTTGTGCGGGAGATTCTCAGTTATGTACCATGAGAGAACATCGAGTCAGCAGTTCGAACTCTGGATCGTGCCTCCAGCGAGGACAAAAAGAAACTGTGTTGCCTCATGCCTGAATCGAACAGGCGATCTCCTCATTACTAGTGAGGCGCTATACCACTTAGCCAATGAGGCGTCTAACAGCTTATGGTAAACGTCGAGCCTGTGAGAGCTCATGTCGGATCGCGATGGCGAGATTGTGCGTGTGTCCCACTAAGGGCAGGGGCTCACTATGGGTCATCTCAGGGTTGCTTGGTTTTGGTGCAGTGGATCTGTGATGACGGACAACGATGGGCCTTCAGATATTTAGCAAATGCCGTAAAACTAGAAAGAAATCGGACCAGACGATATGAACATGTCTTGAAATTTTTGGTGGCTCAGTTCGAATGGGTTGCAAGTTGACATTCTATTTGATCTGTATTTTTGTCTATGCTCGTGTCCAAGGGCCAAGCCGCCGCAGAGCTGGGGCTGCGGGGACGATTGTATCGAGAAGTGTTTCCCAGTTGTCAGTGCGGTAGATGCTTGCACTCCAGGAGCCTCCTTGTGTGATGTGGTCGACGACATCTTTACGCATCCAGAAAGTGGCCGTCCTGGTGTCCGTGACGAACTTGAAAGCTGTGACGAGGTGAATGCCCTTTTCTCGGAAGTTGGCCGCAGTGTCAGACGCATCTCCCTCCTCATCTTCCAGAAGAAGTTTCCGAAGGTCAGGCTGCGAGGCGTCAACCTTGGAATCGTCTACAAATGCCAGCGCGAAATGCATGACTCGACGTTGATATTCATGGAACTTGGGGAAGGTGATGGTGCACTCAATAATCTCCTCCGCTGGAACCAGCGTATGCTCGGGAACGATGACGCCGAAAGGCAATAGCCGGCGCCAGAGGCTGAGCAGTGTGGTGAACTCAGCCCTCCAAGGGCTCAGGCTCATCTTGCGCTGCGCATATTTCGTCAGGCTTTCCGGGTGCATAACGATTTCTCGAGGCGCGCGGGCAGTCGTCGTAATGTTGCCTTCGCAGACGGCGGACAGGATCCCCGAGAGCCAGTGCGCCGGGTATCCGACTTCGTGCATCCGGTTGACGATCCGCAGGAAGGCCGTCAAATTGAGCGGAGCGTGAACTGGGCGATCACTCCACGTAGGGCGAGGGTAAGGAAGGCATATCTTGAGAAGATGGCCGTAGAGCCAGTGTTCCAGACTAGATCGAGGCATCATCCTGTTCGAAGGAATCCGCTTTGTTCCAGAACGGGCCCAGACGAAGTAGTTCTCGGCCATGAATGTATTGCCCATTAACATCTTCATGAAGTCTTCGGGGACCGCAGGTGCATTAGCGTCCTTTTCGCGGACAAGCCCAAAGTGGTCTGAGACTTGCTTGGTGTCAGACATGAGCATGTACTCTGCGAGGAAATGATCGTGGCTGTCGAACATCGGAGGGTTGAGCAGGTTATTGAATCTCAGGTTAGAGGGTCGGTCCTCGCGAAGGACCGGTCCTCCGTACAATAGCGCGGCAAGTGGACCGCCGATGTAATCCCTGGGAAGTTAGCTTTCCAGCCCAGCCGGCCTTGACATCGTGATGTAACTTACGGGATGTTGCTCATGTGAATGCGATCGTACTGGCGGGGGAATTTGGTAGCGTCTAGCCCGTCCGGGCTGCTTGGCTTCTGCAAGCGATGCTCCAACTTATTGTATCGAATGCGGTCCAGCACGTCTGCCATTTCCCCAGAAATCACCTCAATATCCATGCGGTCGGTGAGTGACATTGTCGCGACACACAGGTAGTCGAAGAACTCCTCAAGGCTCTTGATCACATCATTCTTCTCTGCGTCCTTGACAGGAATCGACAGGTTGTGAATCAAGCTCGTGGGATCCCAGTCCAGTGTTGGGAGGAGCTCGTAGCTGGGTGCGCTGGGGTCGACTTCTTCGTGTCGCCTTGGTTCGTAGTCCATATCGAGGACCGTGGGATTCGTCTTCCAGTTAGCATCGATATGCTGCTCCAAGTTCTTCTTCGCTTCGGGGGCGCCGGAACGGAATGCCTCCAGCAGCGCGCCCAGCTCTGGCTCCCGGCGGCCGATGAAGACGTCGTTCGCAAAGACCACTCCGAATTCTTTGAAATCTCGCTGTCTTTCCTCGATTTCCTTCTGTTTGTCAACAGGATCCTCGCCAAACACCTTCTTCTTTTGCTCATCTGTCTTGTGAAAGTTGGCCAGCAGAGGTGCTCGGATCTTTTTGGGAGCGTACTGCTCACCAAGATCCTCAGTCCACTGCTTCAGCTTACGAATGACCTGGGCCCTGGTATCCTCAGGAACATAAATGAGACCCAGGACATCGCCGCCCTCCTCCAACCTGTCGATCAAAGTCCTGATGTGCTCCATCAGCTTCATGAGAACGAACGGCGGGATGAAAGCCGACGAGTAGACATAAGCCATGCACGTGAGCGCGTCCTCGATCCGCGGGAGTCTCTTGGCCTTGAGGATGATGTACTGGAAAATCATGTCGAACATGACGAGGGTCCTCGCAAGCGCCGCGGGATTGATATCGAGGATGGTGAAGTGCACTCTCCCGAATGACTGCTTGTCAACTCCGGGCCCTTGCTGGCGCATCATCTCGGTGAGACCCAGGTGGGCGATTGATGCAAATAAGTGACGAGCATCACCGCTACCGCAGAGAAGGAAAGATATATCATCCTTCGGCCCGACCGCGGACATGAGTGATGCATCAAACAGAGGTTCGGCCAAATCGTGGCCCATGGCGTAATACTCAGGAGCATCTTGCCTGTGGTACTGGTCAGTGTGGTCGTAGCGTTCGAGGCAAGGGAGGCAAACAGAGAGCCTTTGTACCGAGTGACTCGGTCCAACGTCTGCTTGCGCAGCTTGTCTTCGTCTGGTGCAGATTCCAAGAGCTTCTTCATGCCCTCCAGAGAGGCGCGCAGGCTATCGCTTGGTGCATCGCGGCTGAGATACTTTACGGCGTCCTCTGCGCTGTCGAGAGAATTGGAGTGCAGGTGGCACTTCACCATCCGGGTGTACAACTTCTGCTTCTTGGGTTCATCATCAGATTCTGAAGCAGTAAGGGACAACGCCTTTTCGATGTTCTTCAGAGAAGCCGAATAATCGCCCTGTTCGAACTTGATGGCCGAGATGTTGGACCACGGTGCGGGGTCTTCAGGGGCTAGCGACGCCGCTTCATTGTATGCCTTCTCCGCTACAAGGGGCTGTCAACATGGGATGGATGCGAGGTGTAGGTAGGGTCAATGGCTCGAAGACGGACCTTCAGCAAAGTTTCCCTTTCGATAAAAGTCATTGCCGCGTTCTCTAGCCGCGGCTGAGTCGGGTGATGCACTTGTAGACGCCATTTCGGAGGGTGCTCAGGCGTCGCGTCGCGTCACTTTGGAGAGTTCAATCGGTGTCGAGTTTCGCCCGAATTCTGCGCTTTTCCGCGTTGAGAAACTCTGACCCTAGCAAGGTGATGCATCGAACGGCGCAGGCCATTGACAATTTGACCCTTGAGTCTCTCTCTTTCTTAGTCATCATGTCGTCAGTCACTGCAGACGCAAGCCAGACGAAGCTTCATGATCACTTGCTCTAGAAGTTCATCTTTCTCCTGATAGATAGCCATAAGATGACTCAATTCTTTTGGTCCGCGGGCACCGGGAACCCTTGAAAGCCACCAAGGCCATAAGATGCCGATAAGCTCCTCGCGATGCCGCGTGTGACCCGGCAGACCTCATCATCTCCACTGTCCCTTGATTGAGATCCAGAGATATGATTGGCGGGTCGACCTGCCTGAAAGAGGTAAACGCTAGCATCTTGTACGACTTGACAGGATGAAGCCGTCTGAATTTCGCGGTGCGCAATGTGTTCCGTCTGCAGGTGATGTATAAAAGACGTCTGAAAAATGCAGATTCAGTTATTACCTCGGGTTTTCTTGGTGAAATACTTGCAACTTTCTTTGCTTGCTAAGCTTCAACATGTCTTCTGGATTGTCTTATGCGCACCCGCTCTCGCCCCTCAGCATCGACGAGACTACTTTAGCCTCGGATGTCATTAGAGGCTTGCACCCAAACACCATTCTTCACTTCCGTGTCATTTATTTGAGAGAGCCGGACAAGGCAGACTTGATCAGGTTCCTGGATCTTGAGCATGCTGGACAATTGACTCCGGAGACGCCGAGGCCGCCTCGCCTTGCTTCTGTGCACTATGTTGCCGTCGCCGATATGAAAGAGCCTCAATCCATAGAGGCCATCGTCGACTTGGGTAAACGTGAGCGTACATGGCAGAAAATCGTGCAGACGGATGTACATCCCAGCTTCACTCTGTGCGTGTCCCATGGTTCACTTGTCTGATGTGATCCTTGCCAGGCATAGGCTGACGTATTCCACAGGCATGAACTCCAAGAGACAGTGAGAATCTGCCAGGAGTCATCTTTGCTCAAGTCCAAGATCGAGGCATTGTCACTTCCTGAAGGATTCGAAGCTGTGATTGAGCCCTGGCCGTACGGCGGTCTCGACACTCACGATGAAAACCGGCGATACTTCCAGGCCCTAGTGTTTGCAATTGACACCCGGAAGAAGAATCCGGATGCAAACTTCTACAGCTACCCTCTCCCCCGTATCCCGGTGGTAGATTGGGTCAACCAAGAGGTTGTTCGCATCGACGAGCTGGCCACCGGAGGCGAATATGACTCTCATCTCCCCCAGCCCCGACAGAAGGGTGTCATCGACCATTGCCAACCTTCGGAATATGTTCCCGAGCTTCTTGACACGAAAATGCGGCAAGATTTGAGGGAACTCAACGTTCTCCAGCCGAATGGTCCCAGCTTTAGCGTCAAGGACGAGAGTTTGGTCGAGTGGCAGAAATGGAGGATGCGCGTCAGTTTCAACCCGCGGGAGGGCGCCGTTATCCATGACGTTCTGTACGATGGGAGAAGCGTACTCTATCGTCTGTCTATCAGCGACATGACGGTTCCGTATGCCGACCCTCGCAGCCCATTCCACCGCAAGCAGGCTTTTGACTTTGGTGATGGAGGAATTGGGCATTGTGCCAATAACCTTGAACTCGGATGCGATTGTCTCGGAGTCATCAAGGTAAGTCACCATTATGTCGGCAAACATGAAGGCTTTTCAGCTCACTGATTGTAGTATTTCGATGGTGTTCTGAATCGGCCTGACGGATCAGCTCACGTTTCGAACAACGTCATCTGCCTCCATGAGCAGGACAACGGCATTGGTTGGAAGCACACAAACTGGAGAACTAACCGGGCTGTTGTGACTCGTCGACGAGAACTTGTAATTCAGTTCATTTTGACGGTGGCCAACTACGAATACGTTTTCAACGTGAGTCCAAAACTTTCAACTCTCAATGACTGCGCAGATCATTTCACTGATGTTTCGTGCAAGTACAAATTCGACCAAGCTGGAGGGATCACAGTCGAAACTCGTGCCACTGGAATCTTGTCTGCCGTGAACATTGATGCCGGCAAAACAGCACCCTGGGGTAACATAGTTTCGCCTGGGGTCCTTGCCCAGAACCATCAGCACATCTTTTGTGTGCGAATCGATCCAGCCATTGATGGTCACGAAAACACTCTTATTCAGCAGGAATCACTCCCCGTCCAGATGGATGTCAGGACCAACCCCAACGGCAACGCATACAACGTCCAGGAAACGCAAATCACCACTTCTATTGGCCTTGATGCTGCCCCTCACAATGCCCGACTATTCAAGATTCAAAATCTCAGCAAGAAGAACCCCGTCAGCGGAAAGCCGGTTGGATACAAAATCGTTCCTCCACCCACCCAGCTTCTACTGGCAGATCCGCGAAGTCGCCAGGCACAGAGAGCGCTTTTCGCCCAGCATCATATGTGGGTGACAAAGTACAAGGACGACGAACTTTACGCCGGCGGTCGATACACGCTTCAAAGTACTATTGAGGAAGAAGGCGTGGCGGACGCAGCTGCGCGATGTGACGACGTCTTGCAGAGCGATATCGTCATCTGGAGTGTGTTCGGTCTCACGCACAATCCTAGAGTTGAAGACTGGCCCGTGATGTAAGTTACACGCCTCACAATTTTCCTCTTGTAAGAATCGCCTATTGACTGACCTCCTTCATAGGCCCGTGGAGACCATTCAGCTGCATATAAACCCCGTTGATTTCTTTACTTCCAATCCAGCCCTAGATGTTCCTTCAAATCGCAATCTGACGTCAAAGTATGCGGGTGACAAGACCGAATTGCCTGTAAACGCAAAGGAATCGGGATCATCTTGCTGCAACTGATCATCAGGGTCATCTGGTTTTCAAGGGGGTCTCCGTGCTCTGGTCAATCTGCCGGTTTTCATAGTCTGGGTCCATTAAAACTTCCATTAAATGAAATCATTATGATCATTATCGTGGAGGCTCGCTAGAAGACTGCGAGCTCAACGCCCCGACTACGCGCGGCGTTCTCAATGTCAAACGTATCCGTGCCCTCTTTCCACGCCTCCTCGAGAACTTCGTCAACCATTTTCATGGCATGGAAAGAATCCTTTCTGAGAAAGGAACCCCGAACGTCGTCCAAAACTTGTTTCCACTCCGGATGCGCAACAAGTAGTGGTACTTCTAAGCTAGCTATGACCAGAGGATAAATCAATCCGTTGTGAACAAGAAGGTGGTGATTCGCCGGCATTTCGACCGCTCGGAATAGGGAGTATATGGATGCCATGAGACGGCACATGATAAGTTCCGTTGGTGGTGATAATAGCTCATCTGCCGCATCAGTCTTGACCCTCTTCCGCCTCTCGATCCTTCTTGCATCCAAGACTGCCGTGTATCGCCAGCAGTCCCAGAGAATGCATTGGGCATGTACACCCATCTCGCCCGGCCATGCCCAGAGGCGGGCTTCTATGTCTTTCCGCTCACTGTCCACAAGGTCAGCCAGGATATCTAGGAATGACCTCGGTAGCCCCGAGACCACCTCTACGCCGCCCAATCTACCTCCTTCCCAGCTGTCTTGCAACTTTCTTAATTGGCGCCAGACACCCATGCTCGGACTGATCCTTCCAATTACGGAGGTCTGCAAATCCATTACTGATAAGACCTCAATAGAGTGACGTGTTGCGAAGTCATGGTCGGCAGAAGGCACCAGCATGTGTAGTTTCGTGTCCAAGTGGTAAAGGTCTGCCATCAACTGAAGGTACATGGTCCAGGGTCGCGCTTGTAGTAACTGGGTGGCCAAAGTTAGTTCGTCCCGTTCAAAATGCGGTCAGCTGCTCAATATGAATACTATGGCAACGTGTGCAGCAGTGATGGGGCTTGAAGCTTGATAATGCTTACACATAGAGTGCATAGGAGAATGCCGGCAGACATCGTCGAGACATCTAACGAGCCATGCCGACCTTCCAGTTCCGCTCGGAATGTTTGCAAGGCATGGTCCACATGCTCCATGGCAGTTACAGAAAAGCCGCCGTCTAGGTATGCCTGGATCGCAGTGCAGACAACAAAAAAGGCTTGGCTTCTCTTTGCCATGTCTTCAAAGTGTGACTGGAGCCAATTGTGACTCTCTGTCGTATACAGTCGATGCAAGCCGGCGGAGAGGACTCGAGGTACAAGTCAGTATCTTCGGAACGAGATCACGGGGTTGCAGCTACTTACACTTCTTGAAGAGCTGCCGTTTTGGGTCATTGTTTGCGCTGGGGGATGGCGCCGAGGGAGAAACAACCCCAGACTCGGAGGCGGAGCCGGCCTGCGTCATGACTTCGGCTCCGGGTGGGCCGGGGCTATCTGTGCTCGGCAAATGGTTTGAGAGATTGCTTGCTTCGGAGCTCGTGCTGCAAAGAGTAACGTCAGGGATAGCAGCACCAGCAAAGCGACCGCGCGAGGCTATGCCGTTGGTCCATTTCAGAGGTGTGTTGTAGCCTTCGCACTGGATCCCGCGGTGTTGACATGCCCGGCAATCTGGACGGGTCTCGTCACACTTCCGCTTCCGCCGCTTGCAGTTGGAGCAACCTCCCCTGGAACGAACCATGGTTGGCAGATCGCTCTTGTTGAGTGGACACTGATGCCGCGGGCGGTGGGCGTACTCGTATTCTTGGACTGATCCCGTACGTTGCTTTCTTCGGTGGACTGGAGACACCCGATGACCGGTGGGAGTATCTATCCAAGATGCAGGGCAGGATCTTTTAGGAGATAAGCTATTCCGAAGAGGCAGAAGAAACCGAGGCGCATATATATACCGGAAGGGGCATGGCTCGGACTCTCGATCCAGGGGCCAAAGCACGCCTGTTGCACGTTGATAAAATGCGGGGAGGCATACGCTAAGACGAATAAAGTTCCCGGTTGTCATGCTGAAGCTGCTTGGAAACGGGGCTTGATGGGGTTTCTGACAAGCTGCTGCAGGGATGGCCGGTGAACTTGTGAAGGGGTGTGGTATCAAGGTTGCGATGTTCACGCGGCGGCTATCCAAACATATCTCCAAACCACGCGGGAACGCAGCCCAACCCCGGTATCAAATGCAACAGAGCCAAATGATTGTATGGTGTTATCTTGCATTTTGACAGGCTGTGAGAGCTGGGCTGCGGATGATCGCCAATTGGAGTCTAACATGCCCAAAGGGGGTAAACCCGGACGCATGGCTTATCGCCGCACAAGCCAGAAGTGATGGGATGTGAGAAGTCGGTAGTTGCAACTACACAAGCAGGTTTGTTCAAGATATATCGAAAGGTTTCCTGCCTGCTTTCACGATGCTGTTCTGGCCTCTCACGACTCAACAATAGGCTAGGCTGGTCCCTAGTATCAAAACATTCGACTCACACTGGAAATTCCAGCGGTTTTCTATCTTATCGTGACTTTTCTCAAGACCAGACCATCATATGGATGTCTCCGCATCGGCAGGTGCTCCCAGCACCACTCTTCCACCTGGAACCGTTCAATTGATAAGCTGTAAGACAAATTCTTCGTCCTCGCTGGCTTCATGTTGACCAAAACTTAGATGAACAAGCCACAGAATCATCCAGTTTCATTCTTTCGCCCGTCCCGTCTTCGGACCCGAACGACCCCCTGGTACGTCGATTTAAATGCCGGGCAACGCATCTTGTTACTTGGCTGATGACCTTGAACTCAGAACTGGAGCAAATGGCGCAAATACCTCAACTACAGTCTGGCTATGGGGGTGACCGTTGCTGCTTTTACCAAGTAAGTTCGGGCCCTGCGTCTGAGACTGCAAGACATCTGACGTCGAGATGCAGTCTTTCAATCCAGACCGTGTTTTGGCAGCAAATGACTGTCGACTTGAACGTTACCATCGATCAACTCAGCCATGCCCAGTCAGCTCAACTCGCAGGCCTTGCTACTGGATGCATATTTTTCATCCCGTTCACGATCAAATATGGCCGAAGACTCACGTACTTAGCCTCAACGGCAGTGTTGGCTGCCGCAGCATGGTGGACATCTTCGATGCACTCATACGCTGAGTTGATCGTCACGGCCGTCATCACTGGACTTGCCGGTGCGATCAACGAGACTGCTGTGCAGATGACGGTGAGTTCGTCGCAATACTCCAGCGATGAGTCTCTCTGACACGTATCCAAGATTGCCGACATCTTTTTCGTGCACCAGCGAGGTTCCGCAAACGGTCTATACTTCATGGCGGTAATGGTTGGAAGTTTCCTCACCCCTTTGGCAGCTGGCTCCCAGGCTGTTGCTCAAGGATGGAGATGGTCTTACTATGCTCTGTCAATCGCCCTCACGGTCCTCTTCGTAATGTTCGTCTTCTTGTACGAGGAGACAAAATACGTGCCTGTCACGGTCGGTGAACGTCAAGCTTTCGAGTCAGGGACTCCCGAGTTCGAAAACGACCTTACGAAGACCAAGAGCATGGAGAAGAACGGACTCGAACTGAACTACACACAGTCGAATATCACGCCCAGCTTGCCTTTGAACACCTACCGCGAACGAATGCGTCTTGTGACTCCAACCTCCGAGTCCCTTGTACGAGTCTTCGTCCTGCCACTCCACGTCATCACCCTCCCGCACGTCATGTTTACCGCCTTGCAATTCGCTTCGGGGGTTTGCTGGTTGGTGCTCTTCATGTCGGTTGTCTCAGTCGTGTTTTCCGCACCGCCGTACAATTTCGACACGGCATCCATTGGTTACATGACCCTTGGTCCGTTCGTTGGAAATATCTTTGGCAGTCTCTACGGCGGTCCATTTGCAGACTGGGCGGTGCTGCGCTTGGCCAAAAGGAATGGTGGGCTTTTCGAGCCTGAGATGCGACTCTACCCCCTTTTCTTGCCTGTAATCACCATGGCTGGCGGAATTGTCATGTTTGGAGTCACAGCAGACAGGGTAAGCTCAGTCTGGGGTAAACTCTATCCATAACACAATACTGACAGAGACAGGGGATGCATTGGATCTACCCCAGCATTGGTGGCGCGTTCTTCGCGTTCGGTCTTGGTGCCAATGGAGATATCACCTTCACTCTTCTCATTGACACTTACAGAGAGGTAACGTGATTCCCTTTCATGTAATCTAAGTTGCTTTCAGTGCTGACTCTTCTATCACAGCTCACCGCCGAGGCTTTCGTCGGCGTGGCGTTCATCCGCAACGCAGTCAGCGTTGGTGTGCCGTCCGCTCTAGTCCCTTGGATGTCAAACATGGGTCTTAGTAACATGTACATCCTCAGCGGCGCTATATCTCTCGTTATTGGACTGTTGTATGTCCCGATGATCATCTGGGGCAAACGGATTCGGACCGCCCTGGCCCCTCGGTACTGGCGGCTGGTGGAGAAGCGTATGAAGATCTAGCTTGCACAAAAATTGCCATGTTCGGTTAGATAGATGTGCGAAGAAGGACACTTGCATTTTTCCTGCTGGACCCTTGTTTATCTTTTGGGTGTGTTCTTTCAGTCTCTGAGGGCAAGGTGCTTCAACTTGGTCCAATCTTGCGATAGTACATGTATGTCTATTTCATACCTCCATCCCCTACGTTTAGCTGTGTCAAAATCCATCCTTGTATCAAAGCCTCTCTGCCGGCTTACCGGGGAAGTTCGTGAGCCGATAGCAATCAATGATAGGGCGTCCCTCAAACATCGTCATGACACCAAGTGCAAAAACTCCATTCATCCAGTCGTACGCACTTCCTCCTGGTGCTTCAAAGTTGATGTGGGTGAAATACTCCACCTCGTCTTGAGATACCGTGGGGGTTAGCTTCTCCGTTTGCCCTGGCCCGCTGCGATAGATGCCATGCGCATTGACAAGGATGAAGACCCCGTCGTTGGTCTTGAGGGTGTATCTCGCATTTAGTCGTGAGAATACCTGAGGTAATTGTTGCTGTCAGTGAGGATAACGTGTGTGACATCAGCTTCAACATACTTTGCCCGGGGTCACTTGCTCAGCCCAGTCTGCACCGCTCCTTTCCACAATTTCACCCTCAATCCGAGGTCCTTTGACTGAGCCTTTCCAAATGGGCAACACAAGACGCGTGATACCCGTGTTATCCACATTGCGTATCTCGGACACATTGGGATCCATGTCGCAAACGATCCGATAGATGAAGTCCAGGTGCGGCATGCGCATGGGTGGCACTGCAACCCCGCTTGGCGAAAAGGCGTTCCCGGGGGAGGGTACATGAGCGGAGTCTTGACCCGACATCTTCGGAACGGCTTGAGTCGGATTTGCTGGCGGCTGACCCTGGTGCGGAGGGACGGAGAGAAGACTTTCGGGAAATGATGCAGTTCCCAAGCTAGGTTGGGTAACAGTTGCCGATTGACAAACGCTGTCTGTTAAATAATTGTATAGGATTGTATCGGACAGTATCCCAGATGCTTGAGATCTGCCTTTCCCGACTCCATTTGCCGGTTTTGATATGCCAGGACACCCACCTCACTGTGGCCTCGGCACCGGCCGTTTTGGCACCCCAGATGTCCGCGGCGGCATCTCTTTCCCAATCGAGACGTTATATGCGCCGCCACGCTGCCGGCGGCTTGGTTGATAACGTCAATGTCAACCCGAGACCAACAGACTGTCCAGACGCATATTGATAAGCCAGTCATTGAAGCTCGCTTGAACGGTCGTTCTTCCTTATGCATGGTTGTCATCTGAAGTTGCAGATCATCGTCTTCCCTTCTCAAACTCTTCGACTCAGTTGCCAAAAGCATCATCGCAATGCCTGCAGCATTGGAATGGCAAGTTATTGCTGCCCGTCATCGAGCAAAGCAACAAGAAGCTATACCCCGCGAATGGATAATTCCGGATCAGCAGCTGCAAGAACTTCGTGGCACAGGAACGCCTCAGGATGGAAGGTTGATTTCACTCGGAGTTGCCCGCAAGTCGGCCTTCTTGACGGAAAGAGAACTGGAAATCACAGACACGTTTAGCGCGAGACATCTCTTGGACAAGATCCGTGAAGGTGACTTGACATCTGAAGAGGTCACCGTTGCATTCTGCAAACGAGCGGCTCTGGCACAGCAGCTTGTGGGTATCCTGAATGGTCCGGAAAGGCGACTCGCTAACAGCACGCCATTAGGTAAACTGTTTAACTGAAGTCTTTTTCGACGAGGGCATCGCGAGAGCCAAGGAGTTGGACAAGCATCTCAAGGAAACAGGGAGGCCTATTGGCCCTCTGCATGGTCTTCCGATCAGTCTGAAGGTAAAGACAACCTTTGAGCGCGCAGCGGGTGTGATCCCATAGCTAATAGCAGTAGGATTCATTCAAAGTGAAAGGCCATCATGCCACAGTTGGCTACGTCGAGTTCTTAAAAAGGGCTCCTCCGAGCTCGAACTCGGCCATGGTCGACCTCCTCCTCGACGCCGGAGCCGTATTGTTTTGCAAAACAAATGTTCCGCAGACGATGATGGTCTGTTACTCTGCTCTGGTGGTCAACCAGGCGCCTCACTAACAGCTCAGTAGACTGCGGACTCAGAGAACAACGTGTTTGGTAGAACCTTGAACCCTCATAAGACTACTCTGACTGCTGGTGGCTCAACTGGTGGCGAAGGTGCTCTTGTGGCATTCCGAGGTTCGGTGCTGGGCATTGGTACCGACATAGCCGGCTCCATCAGAATCCCATCGTTGTGCTGCGGTATCTATGGGTTCAAGCCGACGGCAGACCGGACACCTTTCGGCGGACAGGCATATTATCCCTTCCCAAAGCTCCGTCTGCCTGGCGTGACCCCTGTTGCAGGGCCAATGGCTAACTCGGCGGACGACCTCGCCTTGTTCATGGAGACTGTCCTGTCACGCCAGCCTTGGAAGTACGACGCAACTGCATTGGACACTCCTTGGACTGCGCGAGAGTTCGACGCATCGAAACGCCTTACCATCGGAGTACTTCCTGAAGATCCGGAGTACCGCCTACATCCGCCGGTACGTCGGGCCCTTGATAAGGCGATATCGGCGTTGCGTAAGTCAGGACACAACGTTATTCAATTGCCATCAGACCCCGATTGTAGTGTTGGGGTTGGGGGTAGACTGGGGTTCCAATACTTCGCCCTGGGATCGCCTGGTCTCGACGCTCTTGAGCATGAGATCGGAGAACCTCTTGTTCCGTCCGTCAGGCGCGGCGTTCACCCATTCACCAAAACAAAGCCTCCCGTATCTCCCGATGCGGATCTGGCAAATCAGCTAAGCGAGTTCCTTGGTCTTCGAGACGCGTACGCCGAAAGTTGGCGAAAGACCTGGCGACAACACGATCTTGACGTCGTTCTTGGACCAGGAGCTATAAGTACTTCTGTACCTCACGATGCCTATGGTAATCCGGTGTATACATTGATGTGGAACGTTCTGGACGTAAGTTGCGCACCGTATATCGCAGATGAATTGTGCTGACATGACAAGTATCCTGCTGGCATCATTCCGTACAATTTGGCGTCAAAAGAAGAGGACCCAGAGTACCAAAAGGCAACATCAGCATTCGAAGCCGACTGTGAGTGAAGTCAACCAGCAGAAATTTGTGCTCTATCGAACAGGACACTGACATCGCCCAGACAACCCAGAAGCGAGCGACGGTGTTCCATGTGCAATCCAAGTTGTGGCCCCTCGATTCCACGATGAAGACTGCCTGGAAGCCATTCGAATCATTGATAGAGACATAAGAACATAGACAACACCGGATCGTTGATCAAATAGCAGTATCATGCCATTGAGAGCGGCTAGATGAAGCTCAGTTTTCTTGTGTATTCTTATCTTGGCCATCATTTCTTTCATCAAGACCATAGCGGCTCCGAAACTGGGCCAGCCAAAACCCGTCATCCGCACAACTCGTATTCCAGCCGTCGTCGCTATCGTAAATAACCCGTCTCGACTCCTGTCTCAGCATCTCGTCCGTAAGAACCAGTCCTTGCGCAATTTGTTCGTCGGAGAAGTGTTTCAGATGGCGCTCGAGTATCTCCGTGAACGCTTTCGAAGTTGCGGCTCTCGAACTAAGAACGGATGGTGAAGGGAGAGGGGTTGACGTCTCTAAGTCGGTGGTGCTGGAGTGGGCTTCCTCGTACCCATGTGTCCGTGATAAAATCTGAGCAAAGTGGTCTTTAGTCCCTTGTTTGGTAGCCGAGAAAGGCACGACACTCAACGATTCGGATCCGATGAGATACGGGGGCAACCCATGAACGACCTCTTTGGCGACCTCGGGCGTGAAGCCATGTTCTCCTTTCCAGTCCCTCATCGTCATGCCTTTCCGGAAGTGTCCTGCAAGGTGGTCGGTTCTCTTGCTCCAAGTAGGAAGCGGCGTATCGCAGAATCCGCACCGGGACGTGATTTCTGCAGACTGGACTTTCCAGTCATCGAAGCGCGGCAGCTTTTCCAGCTTGTGCATGACGCGCAAGTGCTGAACAAGATGGTCCTTTCGACCAAAGGAGCGAGCTTCAATCGGCCTGTCATGACAGGTGCTGTGGTTGTGCTCGTCCAAGTGCTCGTCTGAAGGGTCTATGGCGCTGCAGTACGCACAATGAGGTCGACCCGTTACTGTTGACACAGCCGATCCGCCTCGAGGAGCACATACCCAGGACTCCAAGTTGAGATGTCGCGATTTCTCGTGTCGAGCCCAGTCGTACTTCGTTTTGAAGCTGTCGCAACAGAAAGTGCACTTGAATGGACGACTGTCTTTCGTCACGGCACTGATACGCTTCTTTCCAACACGACCCTGGCGGACGCGGCCTAGCGGACCAAATCCAGCACGCCGACCTCTGGACGCTTCTGATATTCCAGACCACGCAGAACCTGCAGACTGCATCGAAGAGCTACTGCCGCCACTGTCTGCACTTGTGCCAGAGTGGACTCGAGAGTAGGCTGGCTGGGAGCACTCCGTGGGTCCTTCAAGATGAGCTCGAGGCGACCTGATAGCATCAAATATGGCCGACATAGTCGCCGGCTCGTCTTGAGGCGGAGAATCCTTCCAGCGTTGCAACGGGCCCGACTCTTGGGGAGACGAGGGCGAGGCGGATATTGGGATCGGAACGGCTCTCTGCTCTGATTGCATATATCGATATCGGCTCCTCCTTCGAGGGAGGCTGCGTCTGCCGGGAAATTCCTGTTGATCGATGGCTTCGGACCAGTTGATGTTGTCTGAAGGCCTCGATACCGGTCCAGGGAGCGGCCACTGGAGATTGCTGAGCTCACGGGCTGGATCCTCGGGTTCGTATGAAATATCGTTGCCGAGCCAAGCTACATTGTTCTCGTGGGATATCGAATCAGTGGACGCCATATGGCCGCTCCAAATGTGACCGGAGGTTTCGGCGTTCAACCCGGGATACGCAGTGCCGGACCCGGTGGCGCCCGTTTCCGCCCACGGAGGCGGATTTCCGCCGCCGAAGCTGCTTCCCTCCGGCTGACCGGAAGCTAGCCCAAGAAGCGAATCAAGGACTTGTTGATCGAGATAAGACGGGTCCTGGATGTGACTGTGTGTATCGTTCGATTCCGTTGTGCGAGGATATGTGCCGCCGCCGGCGCTTGCAGGATCATCGGTCGTCATTGGACTTTGGGGTCCAGTCCCCATTCCCTGGCCAGATGCCCTTCGCAAACTCGACATTGTTTTTCGGTGTGTTTTTTACACGCCCTAGATCCAAAACTGGGCGCGTTGTATGTTAAAGGCGACTACATGTACGTACGCATCACGTTATGGTCGCTCGTTCTCGTTCTCGTTCTCGACTAGAGCAGAACAAGTCCGGTATGTGGGGATAAATCAGGTTTAACGGATGATCTTTACAACCGCCTACGCCTTAGGGCGTGATGAATTCTATGAGCCAAGGCATCTCAAACCACGTGACATAGGGAGGTGAGCACAATTTGAAATGCTTTGGGGGGAGTTTGTGTCTCGTCAAAGCGCAAAGAAATTAAGTATCAAGTCCAAACCCCGGGATCCGGACGCAGACACCGACAACATCAAAGAAAACCTGTTACTTATGATCACTAATCGACTGTAGATGCTCGGCCCTACCTATGCCTCGACGCCGTAACGGCCAGCTGCCGACATTCCCCGACGTTTCATCTCCGTAAGCTTCAATCCTACTGGTCGATAGGGAGTTATGCCGCGAACCTTCGTGTGTGTTCATTGAGTCAAGCTCGCCCCTTGTTTTACGGTACCCATTTAACCTCGAGATAGTCCCTGGAGGACGGGGACGCAGTGTACCAGCGCCCTAGCCGAGGATTTAGGATTACGAAAACGAGATGGCTCGCCCTATGAGTGCGACTAACCTAAGTCAGACAGGTACAGCGCGCCGTGTCACTTTGACGTTAAACTCCTTCTGAATGTGCACCGCGAAGTTCACGGAGCTCCACGGCTTCGATGGATCAACGATTGCAAAGTCAAATCTCCTTAAAAGCTGGATGTTCTCGGTCAGTAATCACTATTTCATCGGCGTCGTCATCGAAGAGACAGCGAGGCAACACAACTCACCTCAACGTAAACTTTATTCAACTCCATCATCGCAATGTTCTTGCCAAGGCATTCCCATCGACTTCCTCCTCCAAACAACAGCATGACCTGGGTCTCCATCAAACGATGTTGTTCTTTGGATATGTCAAGCCATCGCTCGGGTCGGAACATGTCCGCGTCTTCACCGAAGACTTTCTTTTCCCTCATGACCGAGAAAGGCGACCATGCAACGTTGGTTCCCGCGGGAACATGAGTTCCGCAAAGTACTTCATTCTGCAGAGACACTTTGGGTAATAGACCTGTCGCCGGGGGCCAGATTCGCAGGCCCTCCTTGATAACAGCTTGAAGATAATCGATTTTCCTCGCTTCTGCGTCTGTGATTGGGGAAGAGATGCGCCCTTCCTGTACAGCAGAATCGATTTCGGCTTGTAGACGAGCGTAGACATGTGGATTAGTTATGATGAATAATATGGTAGAACGTATTGTTGTGGCGGTGGTATCGGAGCCGGCGATGATCTGGACAGTAGTCTCTCCTTCGGCCTGCTCTTGTGTCAACCCATGAGACACGAATGAGCCAAGAATGTCGCGTTTGACAATGGGCTTCTCCCCATAACGCTCAGAAACAGCCTCAGTCGCTTTCCGCATTACATCTCCGATGCCGATAATGTTTTTCGCGTCAGGAAAGAGGAACTTGAGCGCGGGAGATTGGAGAATGTTCAACATCCAGGGCTGAAGGGCGAAGACCAGTAGTACAGGGACTGACTTCTCAGTGATCTCAATGTACCGAAGCGCATCGGCGTCCGCTTCCAGATAACCAAACTTCTTGCCAAAGCCTAGGGCGGAGATGACATCCAGGGTAAAGAATTGTACTTTTGCGGCAAGGTCAACTGTGCGATACTCGGTGTCGGTCGAGAGGTAGCGAGTCTCTAGGAGGTTGACAAGCTCACTGACTTGTTCGTCTATCAATTCCTGGACGCCATCGACGTCTTTTCCGGCGTACCCAGCGGCGAGTCTGGCACGGAGAGTATCGTGGTACTTGTCATTCAAGGCGGTGAATACGCTATCCGAGTAGGGATCGAAACGCAGACCTCGATACCACTGGCCTCGTTTCCAGGGCGAGCGGGCTGCCCAGAGCCCACGCAGTGCGTCGCCCTCGCTGCAGACGACCCAGTTAGGCGCGACCCGCATGATCGGTCCTGATGAGTGGAAATGTTATTCACTGAAAGCTCACAGATGAGCTTCGCGGATAAATGTGCTGCAAGGAAGTCTGGGTAATGTGGTATGCGGTGTAGAGGATGTAGATCCGGACGGGAGCTTAACAACGGATACGCACCATGTTTCTTGCAGAGATCTTGCAGTGTAAACGAGAGCTTTCCACTGAGCTGAGCTCTAATAAGCCACAGATCAGTCCAGTGAGCCCACGAGGGGCCTGGAATGTGTCGAATGCGAGCATAACTGCGAATTCGGTGAACGATAAGACAAGTGGCGAAAAGCACAACGGCAGCAGACGCCACCGCTGATAAGGAGCACAGCATCGTCTGGTCTTTGGTCTAGCTTAGCAATGAGCGAACTTGCTGGAGGAAAGGCTGGCTCACCAGGACACCGGTAAGCACAAGCGTGATGAGATGCGAGAACTCGAGATGGCAATTTCGTGGAGGCGGCAACTCACACAACGTGCATTCGTGTGACTGCCAGCTTGCAGCGGCGCAGAAGTCCTTATTTCAATGCTGCCGAATAAACTGATTACTGAAAAGTCCGGGTGAACATGAATGAACCTTGTGACTTTGTTGCCTTCAGCCGCTCAGTACCCGAAGATAAGCATATGGCAGAGGAATTCAAGTCGAGCAGCGGGTTTTGATGGTTCGATGCTTTCGCGACCGATTGACAGCAGATGAGTCTGTTTCGATGCCGGCATTCCGAGTCGTATCCGGCACACAAGGGTAGGAACAAGAAATAGCCACGAAATGGCAGTGATGTTTTACGCTTTTGACGGCAAGGGTCTGACACAAGTTAAAGCAGTTAGAAAAGCTCAACAGTTCAGAAAATGAGAAGGAAAACGGCAGGTAGTAAATAAGAAAACGAAACGTTGTGGCCGCTCACTCTCAGTGGAGGAACACGAAGCATTGAGCTCCTTGTTAGCGGCTGCGGGAGGTTTGACCCGGTGCTGACTGTTGGGACTTGTGATCTCAACGACAGCCACCACCAGCAAGATAAAGTACTAATGCAAGAAACCAATGAGGCCATGGACTAGACAGGAACCATGACAGTTTTTGGACATATTTCCGTAGTTAGAGATCTGAAGCTGCAAGAGCAGGCTAGGATGTTGACATGGGATCAAATGTAAGCGATGCTGCGGAGTTGGTCACACCACGTGTAGCGCTGAAGGTGCACGTAGGTAGATGTCAGTCACAAATATGACGAAATCACGGATGCTATACTCTCAGCGGTCATCCAACAACTGTGATGAAGAGTTCAGGAGAGCTCCGAACCATTACCAATTAGTACCCGTAGAACTATATGATGATCCATGGCTGATCCGTCTAGTGAGGAAATCTTTCTTTGCGAGCATCTCTTAACCCCCGCCTCGACCCTTGAAGATGGTGGGGTCCCAGAGCGCCATGAACATCCTCGTCGTGTCTTTTCCCCCTCTGATATGCAAATAGATAGATAGTCCAGCGATCTAATACTGGGAGTGCCAGTGCTGTCTTTTCTTGAAAGTCGACATTCTCAGGAACAGACGACACAACCTCACCTTGGGGACCGCTGATCCCAGACGGCGACACACCGACCTGAAGCACCTAAACCCAGAGTAACGCTTGCTCGCAAGCGTTTCAAGCGCCTCAGGTAAGGAGTTCTACAATGACTGAGATCTCTCATTGTCAGCCAACTGCCTCACTCAAGCCCAAACCCGCGACAGAACCCCGTTGCTGGTTATCGTTCCCTGATCGGCTGTAGGCATGGTTCAAGTGCATCCCGGTCCCGGTCTCCGGGCCCGTTCGGCGACCCCAACAATCAACACCTACCAAGTCGCATCGACCGGCCCCAGCACCATGCCCAAGAAAAGCCGCGTCCATGCTGCCGGAGTCTACGCATGCGATCGTGTCGGCACCGGAGCCCGCGCCGCAGATTGGAATGCAGGCATCCGGCCAGACACTCATGGCACCATTTATTGCTTTCTTTAACTGACCAACTCAACAGGAATCCAAACTCGCTGCCGAGTCTAATGTTGACTTGAAAGTTGAAACTGGACATTTTTAACCCACCGTTTCTTCGACGTTCATCCACCGCTGCAGGAGTGCCCCTGGAAGATCCAGTCGCTTGCCATGACCCCTCAACCGCAGAATTGCCCATGCTGGGGCAAAGTACTACTCGAGTCCGAGGGAGCCAATTGACATCACTCTCATTTAAATCCCACCACCGAATGCATCGGATTATGAGCCTCCTTCAGTAAGACGTTGCACTGCTAACTACCACCGTACAATCTTCTCGTGATGCGTTCACGGATTTGCGGTCAATCACACGGCAGCACCAGCAAGAAAGTGGACGCACATATCATCCGATGAGTGGTCTTCCCTTTGCTGAAGTTGCATAGCCGAGCTGACTGTGCTGCAGACTCCGTTCTTCCAGATGGCGACGTGCATGATGATCTGACCTATCGAAATGCTTTTCATCGGTAGGCGAAGATAATATCATTTGAGTTGTATCACGCTCCAAGATTGACGGCGATGACTTCAAACCTCTCAACACGTGGAACTGCTGATCGAACCAAAGAAATACAATACAAACTGCGATGAATACGTTGTTGTCGTGTTGCAGTGTCGTGGCGTTTGTTGTCTGATTTAGTAAGTTGAAGGCAACAGGGGCCGTTCTCAGAGGTCGGTCCTAGCATTTGGAAGGGCCTCGGCCAACTGCAATTAGCATCTTAGGTTGCCAGGAGAGTCTAGCAAGTGTAGATGTTCAAGAGTCTACTGAGTGCACCTGAGATGATGTGGTAATCCGTAAGATGCTGGATGTTGCATCTCTAGGGTGACTCTCGGCTCTGCGAGAGGTCTGAATTTGAATGGAACCACATGCTTCATCGCTCTTCTAGCGACGTCTTATGCGTTTCAGAATTCTTATAGGATCATAGTTCCTGTGGTGAACTTCAAGATGTTGAACACAAGCCTGAAGCTAGTTTCTGTCCGATAGTGGTAGTGTACTTCTAGGTATCTTCGATCGCGAATAGAGACTAGTGGTCCGAGGCCCTATCAGATATAGAATCTTTATAGCATTTTCCAGAACATCGAATACATATTATCAAAGCAGAAATTGCAGTTAGAATGCACACCGATATAAACTGAAAGCATTAAGACTACTTTTTAAAGTTGATACCCGACTCCGGAATTCCTAGGATAAACAGTGCCAGAATACAACCGTCCTTAAGTGTTGGGAAACTATTTGGCTTGGAAACTCAGTTGTATCTTGAGGATGTCAAGATGGCATGGAATATGAACTCAGGCGGCGAAAAACAACATTGAAGAAGGGAAAAGCTGCAGTCGAAAGTGTTGGATAGTTGTGGTGTGGTGTCTGACTCCAACTCTCACCAATGTTCCTGTCTCGAAACCACGCGTCATAGGTACAGACATTCATCAGCATTTTCGTCAATATGCGGGAAAAAGAAATTTGGTATTAAGTCTCTTGGGTTCATGCAAAGCTAGCTGAGTTTGCTATGTCAAGATTCCTCCCTCTTACTCGTCATGGGATTCGGTCTTAGTAGTTCTGTTTTAGTAGTGAACAGAGTCAAGGAACTCGATTGCAGGTGCAGCTTCTGCCTCAGCCTCTTTCTTGTAATGAACAGACTCCAAGAATTCGATGGCTGGCTCGGCCTCGGCCTCGGCCTCTGGGTTGCGCTTGTAGTGAACGGACTCCAAGAAGTTGATGGCGGGCTCAGCTTCGGGCTGGGCCTCTTTCTTGTAGTGAACAGACTCGAGGAATTCAATAGCAGGCTCGGCCTCAGGTTGAGCTTCCTTCTTGTAGTGTACTGACTCGAGGAAATTGATAGCGGGTTCGGCTTCCGCCTCGGCCTTGGGGTTGCGCTTGTAGTGAACGGACTCCAAGAAGTTGATGGCTGGCTGAGCCTCAGGCTCAGCTTCCTTCTTGTAGTGAACGGATTCGAGAAACTCGATGGCAGGCTCGGCCTCAGCCTCGGGGTTGGCCTCTCTCTTGTAGTGAGTGGATTCGAGGAATGAGATGCTGGCCTCAGAGTTGGCCTCTGGCTGTGCGGTGGGAGCTGCAACAACGAGGGAGGCGCTGGCGAGGAAGAGAATAGTTGAAGCCTTCATTGTAGTAATATCTATGTATGAGGGAGAAGTGAGATTTAAGAAGAATTGTTGATGATGCGAATTCAAGTTCTTTCGATGCGTAGAGGAAGACTGATGTCGTGGTTAGCCACAGACGCCGGATGCCGTCTTTATAGAGAAGACCCATGTGGCTAAACATGCATCGCGAACTCGCATGACTCTTTGCATCCAGTCTATCATTGATAAGAGCTGAGACCTGATTGGAAGCTGTAGTGCAATACGAAGGGATCCAGGCCTATCGACATCGACGCAAATGAAGACGTCAGTCGCTGTTTACCGACAGTCCTGTGATAGCTAGCTCCACCTACATGACATGCCCCAGGAACTTCTGTTGCGGGGAATGCCAGGGCCATTCCGTTATGGCACACGGCGGGATGATTGGGCCTGGCTCTCTGTCTTGTCCACATCAAGTTTACTGCTGTTACAACCGTAACCTGCAGTCGGAGGAACCCTCCTTCTCAAAATGTGTGCAAGAAACTCTTGAATAGTGATAACTGCCTTGCGAAATTTCGTCCGCTAGTTACCTGTTTCTCGAAGCCCTCCCAGAGTGTTCACGTCAACAAAGAGCCGTTCCACCAGGGAGCGGAAAGCCACCCGCAAACAAGCTTTCTATCAAGCCTTTTGACCCGTAATGGTTGTAACCCGGCCCCCAACGACCCTGACCGCTTGGGTAGATTGAGTCTTGAAGGCTAGGAGATCCGAGTGAAACAAGCTTTCCGACGTCGGCTGACTTCACTAATAGGGAAGGTGACTGGCTCTCTGAACTTGCCGAGTCAGAAGTTGTTATGGTTTAGATGAAGGAAGGCCGGGGTCGGGCGGCTTGGAAGCGGAGAGGCCGCCATTTCGCGAAGGCTTATTTCAGATGCAAATGTGCAATCAAATCAATCTATTGGATTCGTATGATCATTCAGTATGATTTAATGTGCTAAAGATATTGAAGGTGGCGAGTCATTGCGTGCCAGGTTGCCCCTGCTTGTCAACGTGGGTTGTTCCGGACTCTCGGGAATGCTCCTTATCTTCTCTGTTCCAAAACCTTTGAATTGTGACGCGGTTATGAACTCCTTTTCACTCTATCATTCACTTTGACGAAAGTCGCCAACATGAACGCAAGATTCAACTCTTTTAATCAAGCAAAAGGGAACGAACAGCCGGAGGCTGAGGCTTTTCTGCTCCATGACGACGAGCTTAAGGCCTTTCACGGTAACCGTTCATCAACGCAATCGTTACTTGAAAAGCTAGCAGTGGCTCTGTTTGTTATTAGCTGTGCCGTCTTGGGTCTCTCCATGTGGATTTACCTGCACCCCAAATCACCAACAGATCAACAATGTGTAAAGCGTCTGAACGTCCTATGTATGTCCCACACCAACAGTCTTGGTAATTTTACAGCATCGTTTCACTTACACGGACTTTAGCACCAGTTCATGATGTCCTAGAATATGAGGATGTCCAGTTTGATAATGCCTTCTGGAAGCCAAGTCCGTACAAGGGCAAACCAACTCCAGAACTGGAGAAGGCATGGAAAGAATTATGGTTCTGTCAGTCATCTTGCTGTTCGTTCTAAAATTCATTACTAACCCCTTGTAGACGGTTCCTTTGATCTTCCAGATTCGTTTTTGCCAGCGCTGAACAAGTCTTCAGTCGGGATTGGAGGGGATCCTTGGGCGCGTACTGCATCTGGCAACCTCCTGGCGGGACTTGAGGTTTTTCACAACCTCCACTGCCTCAATCTCGTATGATAATTTGCGGTGAAACTGACTGTTCCAATAGCTAACTGAGAACTGCAGGTAAGACAGTACGCGCATAAAGACGAATACGATTATAGTGACGATCCCGCGTTTCACGGAGGCGCTGAACTTGTCCTTGCGGTAAGTCATCCAGGAGCTGATTTGAGGTTTCAAGAGCGTCTGTATACGACTCGATGCTTCAGGTCGAGACCTTTCGGGATTGCCCCCACGTCTCACCCCAATACTGAGCTCTGCTAATTTGTTATGTCATAGCATGTTGATCACTGCATTGAGGCATTGAGAATTCGATTGCAGTGCGCTGCGGATGTCACGCCATTTTTACATACGCAAGGAGCCAAAGGAACCCAGCCAGACTTCAACTCACAGCATCGGTGCCCGAAATACGATCGCATTGTTGATTGGGCAAAAGAGCGGCAGATTATGATTGAAAAGCCAGGTCCCAACGAGGGCCATGGACATCATGGCTGAACCCTCAATAACTGACTGGCCGTTGGAAGATCGGGATCATGATAGCGGTGATGCATTTGTCTGACTTGAGCGACGGTTTGGGGACATCAATCAAGGTTGTAGGCATAAGTAAATGGGCGGAGGATTACAGACTGGTAAATTATGTGATAATGACAAGACCTGACGTTGCTTTGCTCAATGGGGAATCTCATTCTGCTAGGTTACATCTCCATATTCTGTTGCCATGTAAATCAAACTGCTCTTTCCTTGTCCAGAAACAATGGACCATATTGCGCCTGCCATCGTTTTCCCGAAGGTAAATCAAACAACGGATTCTAAACTGCATGGACGAGTTCCGAACGAAACCTTCGAGCATCGCCAAAAGGCCATGCCCACAAACTCCTTTAAGTGCGGAAAACTTGGATATCATCTAGTACAGGCCAACAAGGATGTCACCGCGTACACGGGCGGTGACGTGGACTTCGGCCTCAAGGTCCAACTTGATACCGACCATGAGGGCAGCCTTCGTCAATTGACCCTTGTCGTCGACGGGACCCTTCAGGAGGTTGCCTTAAGGTTATGTTAGCATGGGCGCTGGGAGCCGTCAGGGGTCGACGTGGGTCTTACCGACGGGGCCGTTGGCATTGCCGGAGAGGTTGGGCATAGGAACGGGCAGACCAGGCTGGGGCATGTTGGGTCTAAGCTGGCCGTTGTTGGGAGGGTATGAGGTAGGGTAGGCGGGAGCACGCTGCTGCTCGGCGGTGGCGGACTTGTCACTGGAGGTACTGGATGTATTAGTGATCTGAATATCTGGGTATGCTCATGATTCTTGGGTCTACTCACGGAGAAGACATTGTGGTGAGAAATCTGACGACTTGGTCTTGAAGAGAGTGTTGTAATTCTTCGGGCGAACTTGATTCGTCGAGTTCTTCGGGATTAAGAAGACCTCGTTCGAGAAGGAACTGCTTCGAAGGCGACTTGGGTGATGGCTTTGGGCTGTTGGCTGATGGGACTTCGAGATCTTTTGCAAGTGCGTTGGTCTCGACGATGGAAGTCAAAGAAGATAGAGAGCGCTGGACGGAATGGCGCTTTTTATCGACGGGCGACTGAGATTCTTGAGGAAGAGACGAAGATCGGTTTCGATTAGTGTTGGCGAGGAGTGGGCTGCTATCTCCAGTCGATACTCGAATAGGTAGCTTGAATGAAAGAGATCTTCTGAGAGCTCCTGGCGCAACAGAACTGTCTTCGGGTGGAGGAGGTGTTGGAGTAGGAGTTTGAGTCGGGCTTGGTTTGGCAGGGGTCTCGACAGGGATTGATGCAGCTGATCCAGACAGGCGCTTTGACGACTTGCTCGAAGCTCGAGGTGCGTTGCTGGGTCTTTTGAGGGTTGGTTGCTGCTGGGGAGGTTCGGACTTTGACGATATCGTGGCGATCGGGGAACCTGTTCCCGCGGACCTTTGTCTTTTATGTTGTTCTGTTGTAGTGTTGAGTGGTTGCGGTTGTTGGGCCTGCTGAGCCATGTTCTGAGTTGGAGGGGAACATGAGGAGCTTTAAGCTTCGAGTTCAAGCGCGGCCGAAAATCCCGGTATAACTAGTTGATGCTATCATCTTCTCCGGTCCGTACATCCTAGACAGACTTGCAACAGGAGCAAAGGCGGTTCTGGAGAGCCAACTGACATCGTCCGATGTTGAAACCAGCCGCTCGGATCGTATTTGGCGGGCGGTGTTTTGTCAGCCTTGGCCAGAACGCGGCGGCCAACGACTCTCGCTCATGCGGATAACCTTCGCGTTTCCAGAACATCTGAAAATCGACCCGCGTGGTACGATCCGGGTGAGTAGATAGAACGTTTTTCGGTTGCATTGGGGCTCGTCTGTGTCTCAGAGTGTCTTCATGGGAGACTCGGCAAGGGTCTCGTGCCCACCATACCCATGTAAGCAACCCTTATGCCGGGGAGTTTCAATGGCATCGATCAGGGGTCCTCGAAGATCTACAACATGGGAATCGCATCTGACATTCTGCAAATGAGCCCATCGAAATCCGATTTCTCTTGGTGTCTCCTAGTTGCAACCGCTGCCTGCCGGTAAGGTCCACATACATCAGTCGATTATCTCCAACTCATTCAACATCTGTTCTGATCTTTTTGAAGTTTCAAAAGGGTGAAACGACTCGAGCAACATCCTGACTTACGGCGCTGAGGGTCCCCCCGAAACCATCGCTACCACAACAATCCTGTTGCCACGTCGTCTGAGCCGATATACGACGACCGTTGCAATACACACTTCTACGCAAAAGAGACACGTTGCTCGACGAGAACCACTGCCTGCGAACAAAAACAAACGCATTCCTCGCGCCTACCTGCCCTTGTCGCATTGATTCAGGCGCCCATGAAGAGCGCTTATGGGCAGATCTTTCAGTATCTTTCGATTCGCGTTGTCCAGCCTACCTTGCAAGCCATCGAGACGCACGAGTGGAGATGGTCCTGTCATTGCTCGTGAGTTTCGGCACCGCCGTCGGCGCTCATGAGGGCATCAAGGCCTCCATGGCCAAGTCCAGAAAGGAGGAGCACCGAAGTCGAAAGAACAATCTTATCGTCCATTGTCCCAAGTCATCCCAGTATAGTCCCTACCTTGAAGGACGGCGGGTGGTATTATCTGGAGACAGGGTAAGATCATTCTCCACATCAAGGTTTGACAGATGAACTGACAATGCATCAGCTTTTCATTGACACCGGCACTGTTCACGATGCCCCCTTCGGACATCCTTTCGAAGGGTACTATATCCCGTATCCTGACTCACGGTATGCGGGACTAGTGACCACCATCACACATGAAGCACCCATCATGAACTGGGTGTTTATGGATCCTCTCACATATTCCTTTCAGTTCGGTGTACGCGCCGTGGCAGATGCCAATCTCACAGGTCCCTGGGACTGCACTCGCCAAGATCGCCGACTTACCTTCTGTGGATGGGAAGGCTTCTGCGCAGTCCTCGAGGATAGTGGCGTATGGGGCCTCTACTACGACTTTGACGGCGACGGCATGCGGAAGAAGTTTGGCCAAGAAGGGCGTGTCGTAATTGAGATTGAGCTTATTAGGAGTGAGCTCAGGACACCGAAGCCAGAGCCAGAGCCAGAGCCACAGCCAGAACCGGAGATCGTGGCAGAGCCACAGAACCAGGATAAGGCGGCAGAGGCTGGCCTAGAAAAGCAAGTTGAAGCCCAAAAGACTGATGTGGATTACGCGGAGACCAAAAGCCTCAACAAGCAAAACGATGAAGTAACTATTGAAGAGAAGATGGAAAAGATGTTTCTCGGAAATGCCGGAAACCCACAAGACCAGGAAACTTGTTCGGTGATTTCCGAACCGTTCTCAACGGCAACACTATCAACACTGTCGACAAATAGCGAAGGAACGCCAAGGAAAAGAAGAAAAAGGAGAAGCAGAGCGAAAAAGTACAAAAGCCCCAGTGTCGAAAATTCGGAGGAAGACAAGCAGTAGTGTAAAACGATTACCAGGCCTCAGGCCATGGGGTCCAGAGTCGGTGGTCATATGAATTGAGATCAGACGAAGAAGATCATCGTCGACTTGGGATCTCATTGATGGAGCTTCGTAGTGGGACTCATTAGACGTTTAAACAAAGCCTGATGCTTGGGTAATGAGCTTCAAACGGTCCTTCTGTCCGAGTTGTGACTGCCACCCCTGATGTGATCGTGAGGAGGGATCAGAACGCAGGGGTCGCCGGCCAGTTCGCGTTGCGTCATCTACCTGGGTAAATGGATAGTGTAGCCGATGAGACGGGAAGATGTTTCCAACCAGGGCATTAGCTGACAGATGAAGCGTTGTCATCAGCGTTAGCTCCATGAGCATACCTTGCTCAGCTGTCAATACCTAAAATGGACCCTTGTTTCACGTAAGATCTGTGCAGCTTAGTCTCTTGAGACTTCAAAACTCTTTGTCAAATACAAAGAAGATGCCTCTCTAGAACTATCGAGGAATCGACTGACAAAGACGTATTCATGGCAACTGGCCATTTGCCAGCACACAGCTGTCAATTAATCGATGTCTTTTGCCCTTGGTCAGTAAAACCGCGAGCGCAAACCCAAAGCGTCGGATAAAGACTCGCCAGTATGTTCCGTTTCATGGTATCTGAGAAGCTGGCATGCTACGTCAAGTCTTGGTCAAATGCCTTCTAAGAAGCTTCGTCCTTCTGGATAAAGAATATTTAATGAACACCACGCTCCCGGTGTTCATCTATTGAGAAATACCAACCTATCCCCAGAGCAGCATTGAAGAACCTTCCCACAAACACCATAGACAGGCACAGACACAGCTTTCACATTGGTTTGAGTGGTAAGCCCCATCACACATTGGAACCCCCATAACACCTTGTCAATTCTTACAGTTCAACTGTATCATCCGCACTTCTACTTCCTTCACGGCATATTGCAACTCCATCACATACGTAATGGCCAGAAACCCTGCCGCCTTCAAGGCCATGCGATCTCGTCAAGTTCAGAGATTCATTGCTCAGTTGCAGTTGAGCGATCCCAACGACCAGCTGCTCAATCTGGTATCCGAAGAGGACCTGGATGAAGCAGCGAAAATGGCCAAACTGTCAAAGGCTGATGATGATGAAGATTTCTATCCCGAGAGCTGGGCCAATAGTCCACAGTCTTTCAAGCTCTTCTTCAATCGCTACTTCCGCCAGTGGGCCGCTGCTCAGCGTGATCGAGACGCGTACGATGGCCCATCGAAGGGTACACGATCACAGGCTGCTCAAAGGCTTGCCAATGCTTGATGAAGTCGGCCTCGAAGTTAACCACTGGTAGCAATCGGCTTCCACGGGATGTTACGGCATTTGTGAGGCTTAGGTCTTTGGAATGTGTTTGAGTGGTAGTATTAGACGGAACGCTTGAGGTTTCAATTTGTAAATAGTTACGGCAACGTAAAGTACATGATATTTACAACTGTGACTTTGACTTTAGATTGCTCTGAAAACCTCCTCGATCTCTTCGGAAAGATATCCCTTGGCGAGGCAAAGAGCGAGCAAAATCCGAGCCTTTTGTGGATTGAGATCATTGCCAGCAATGATCCCTCTGCTTTTATGATCTTGGCTGTCCACCACCAGCCCAGCTCCTAGTCTCGATGATTGAACCACAGTCACGGACCGACCCTTGATCGCAGCTTCGAAAGCATCCCTCTCTGCAGGAGATCCCAGTCCCGGGCCAAAGCCGGCGGAAACAATTCCTTTTGCCCCGGCATTGACACATGCCTCGACCATGATGGCGTCAGCCCCAATATAGCTGTAGACGATATCCACACGGGGTAGGTTCCCAAGCAGTTCGGGCGCAAACTGGAGTAAATCTGGCGCAGAAGGGAGAACCCTGCTCTTCAGCCTCTTGGAAGTAATGTTTACCTCGTCCCCGTCCACGTGTCCAATCGGCCCATGCCATGGAGACTGGAAAGCGCCCACGCGGAGTGTGTGTGTCTTCGTCACCATCCGAGGATAGTGAATCTCATCGTTGATGACCACTAGTACTCCGGGCTTCTCGGTAAAGTCGTGAGATGCCACGCGGAAAGCGGCGAGCAGATTTGCGCCTGCATCGGAAGAAACCCCGTTCAGCGGACGCATACTCCCAGTCAGGACCACCGGTATCTTCAAATCCAGCACCAGGGACAGAACCCAGGCAGTCTCTTCGAGGCTGGCGGTCCCGTGACCGATGACAATGCCACGAACACCCTGATCGGCGAAGAGCTGACATTCTTTCGCAATCGTGAGCCAGTTCTCTGGTTCGATCTCGGTGCTGTCGATTGCCTTGAAACTGGAAAACAGCACGGGGTTCTCGCCTTGCAAGATTTTGTAAAGGCCCGTCTTTTCGAATAGTTCTTCGGCTTCAACTCGATCGTTCTTGGCGTTGTAGTCCAAAAAGTCGAATTCGTCTATGGCGATCGACGCGATGGTGCCTCCTGTCCCTATGAAGCCGATGGGTCCCAACAACTTCTTTGCCCCTGAAGCAGTTTTTGTGGGGTCTTCAGCTGTGGTTGTTTTCGTCACTGAGGATTCCGAGAGCTTCGACATCTTCAATCGATCGGTAGATAAGTTGGCGGGCAAAGAATGCGGTACTGGTCTTGAGAGTTTTGTTGGTCGACGGAGTCGAGTTGGTGATTCTCTGATGATCGTCATGATGCAATGTTGTTTTTCGATTCAGAGCGCACTTATAGTAGCTGATGCGGGCTGGAGTGAATGACTGCTGTTTCGACGCTCTTCTGAATCACTGTCTTTGTGACGTTGGGCGCAGAGCGAGAAGTCAAACAAGACCAGCAGACAATGTATGTGTATTTCAGTCGAGGAAACAGAGGCCTGGCTCAAAAGAATATGACCCTTGTTCCCCAAACCAAAAAGGATTCGCTATTTCGAGAGTCGCCGAAAGCCGTTGTGTCCTCGTGTAACTCCAGGATCGTCCGAGTGGAGACCTGCACAACTCCCGCAACTGCGCCGAAATGAAGGACTGTTTGATGCGCGCATTCAGAGGTTTGTTGAATTCCTCTACCTCTGATGAAAAGCCGCGGGGTTTTCGGATCGAACCGTACGGGCGATGATCAGCATCGATATGCTTTCTCTTAGCTTCAAAACGGACAAATGCCATGAGATGTCGAGGGTAACACGATGTGCGTGGCTTGTGGAGACGAACTAGCTCTGCTTGTCTCCATGGCCATCAGTGTTCTCCGACTTGCAGCAGAACTGGGGACTCAGAATGAGGTTGGGCGTCTCCATGTGCCGAGGTAAGAATCTTCGTTGGTTGTGAGCTCCGAGTCACCGACCCGCTACCTCCGGCTACGGAGCAGGGCCCAGCCCATAGAAAGCATTTTGGGTCCGAAGTGAGCATTCACAGGCGTGCGGCTGCTAGTTCTAGAGAAACATTCGTAATTCGTAGATGATCTAGTTGTCCTAAACTTCGACGAGTCAGTCAAAGCGACAGGGCATCTAGAGCCATCTGAGCCTTTTTTTTCGGTACAACACTCAGGCCGTTGCACTCCCCAGAACGCCGAAACAGAGCCAATGCCATCTTCCGCTATGGTACAAATCGCTACTCTTCCTTATCCTCCTCGTTGTCATACCGACCAAGACGGCCCAAGGGACTGACCATGAAGACATCTTCCCAACGTCCGCTGGCAGCCTTGCCGTCCCAGTCGCCGCCGCTGTACAAGGGAAGGCGCAGCTTGCCGGTGCAATGCTCGTCAATGAAGCGGCAGACCTTCTGCATGTCGCCGACTGTGAAGTCATCCATGAACCACAGCATCGTACGCGGGATATCAGCTGGACTAAGACGTTCACTCTGGGCGGCGTTGGGTGCCACTGAAGAGGCGCGCGTGCTCTTGCGACGAGCGGGCACTTGTGCGCGGACGGGAGAAGCGATGAGAGTCGCATCACTGCTGGAAGGTATCTTGGACTGTCGCCGGGCGGACTTCGGCGTCGTTTGAGAGGCTGCGGCAGCAGGGGGTTGTGATTGTCTCCGCTTCGAGGTCGAAGTTTTGGGGGCGGGTGTCCTGGTAGCAACGGGCGTGGATTCGTATCTGGAGGCTAAGTGTGTAACGGTCAGTAGACTTCCCCTGCCATGGAAACGTGGTCGACTTACAGCGTCGGCGCTTGTCACTGGCAATCTCGGACTGGTCGGCAAGACTCTCGCGCTTGCGCTTCGCACTCTGCTTGGCGGGCGTGTTTGCGGTTTCAACAACAGGTTTGGCTTCCTCCGCCACTTCGTCTGTTCGCAAGAAGCCGAGCAGAGCCGCCTTGGTGTTCTCGTCGTCGACGTAGTTGCAGTAGTCGATCAGGACGTCGGGCGCGTCGAGGCGAGTTTTGTCCACGGGCTCCCACGAGACATCGTCACCCTCGGCCGAGTAGCCCAGCCATTGCACCAGGACCTGCCACTGCCCACGCACGCGACGGTGCTTGAGACATCTGTAGGGGTGGTAGAGCTCTCCGATGCCGAGTACGTCCTGACGCGTTTTGCCCTTGAAGCTGGCCCAGTAATTGTAGAGGAGATCGGGAAGGTGTTCTTGGATATCCCATTCGGAGACTTCGACGCGGTTGTTCTTGGAGAGTACGGTGAGGGTTACGAGATTGGTATCGAGGTCGAGCGAGTAGCCGACGATCTTCTTAACGGTGTCGTACGGGAAGTCTGTTTTGAGGACGTTAATGTCGGTGAGGATGGGGAAAAGCGGAGGAAGAAAACAAATTTACCTTGCTCAGAGAGCTTTGACCTGGGCTTGCCTCGAGGCATAGTTGTTGCGCTTGAATAATAATATTTGAACTATTGTTTATGTGGTGTTTTGGAGCTGGAGATGCGACAGGCAAGTTCGCTGCTCGATTCTGTAAGTAAGGAACCTGGAAGGCGCGCCTAGGACGCGTTCGCGTCGACTTTTATTTTTATTTTATTTCTTGCAGCCGGTCGGTCGGCCTCGGTCGGATGTGGGGCAAGTCAATATGGGTCTCGGACACGGCGGCCCGCCGGTGTGAGGCCTACCCTGCTCTAAGTAGCGGTCTCAACCGAGTCACGATTTGAGGTTGCTCAGCGTAGGATCAGAAGTTGAGTTATTTCAAGAACTTCGCAATCATCATGCAGTGACGTCACTAAGAGGTGAAGCTTGAAAAGACCCTCATTGGCTCAAGCCGAGTCCGTTATGTTATCATTAGCCGATGACCACAAATACCCTGTTTGTAAGTCATCCAGGCATTCAAAGTTGTTCGATATACCCGTAACCCAAGCTGTTCGAAGACGAGCTAAACAGTCCGATGCATCAAGACCTTGATGGCCCTGTTATATTGGAAGATGCTATCTGATGTGAACTCGCCTCGCTGTAGCTTCGCGAGTGCTTCGTTATGAATCTAACGTTTAATCTTAGCGAGCCGCCCAGGCTTCAGTTTCCTGACTCCATCACTGCATGGCAAGTTCTAGGCGCTTCAGCTCGACGTAACTTAATATCGATTGATTCATGCGCCATCGATCTTCTTGCAGCAAGTCATGTCTAGGTGTTTGTGGTCTTCGCAGAATCTATCGTCTAGCTGTCTTTCTATCATCGTGTCTCGTGCCTCATGTTTATCCTTGATGCATGTTGTATGCTCTCCGTCTATGTTATACCCTCCGTCCATGGTCTATGCCCATCCGATTCTGAGAAGCTTGTACCCACTCTCGTCGCCTCGTCCGACACCATTACGCTTCTCGATTACTTCGTTATTCAGAATGGTGAGTTGCTTCCCGCTGCTTCCCACCGGTCGGTCCTTTGCGGCAAAGGCGCCCTCCACCGTGTCGCTGACCCCGTTGAACTTGCCATTACGACGGACGGTAACGAGAAGCCAGAAAACGCCGTCGGCTGCAAGAAGCTGTGTCGCGCAATCTCTCAACCAGGTCGCATGCTCCGCAGCGTAGATCACGTCCGTCGCGATGATGATCTTTGCCGGTACGTCGAGCGGTGCTTGCAGGTCAGGCGCAGACCAGTCGAGGGCCGTCGTCTGAATGGAGCTTGAATCCGGTGATGGGAAGTTGAGCTCCACGTTCGCTCTCAGGTTGGTGAGGACTGCTGGGTGGTAGTCCGTTGCAATAATCGTCGGTTCTGATGCACCCAAGTGAGGAAGCATGTTCCCAAGCGCCAAGCTGACGAGTCCAGTCCCTGCGCCCAGCTCGATGATGCGAGGCGATGAGCCGAGTGTTGGCTGGGTGAGGCCGAAGCGGGCCGGATCCGCACACATGAGATCGGACAGGACGATCGATGCACCCCAGCTTTGAAGACCGACATCGTCAGGGTCAGCAGAGTTTGTTCCCGCAAGCCGGTCGTTGAGTCGCACAGTGACGGGAACGCGTGTTTCATTTGCCGGGACTGAGAGCTCGAAAGCGAAGTCGCGGGTGTAATCCTGGTCCTTCTCATCCTCCGCATCGTCGTCCTCCGGGGGCGCAAAAAAAGACTCAAGCACGCAAGAGGCCTGGTCCAAGGCGAGCTGGCATGCTTCTTCCGAGTCCTCGAAGCAGGAAAGGGTTTCCGCGCGGGCGATGAAGCCGGTCAGCCAGCGCTGGGCGAAGTTGCGCTCAAAGGTGTCGACGCGGAGGGCGGCGATGTGGTGGTCGATGCCGTCGATCTCTTCATGGTCGTCGTCGGTCTCCGACACATAACCGGAGTCGACTACCGCTGCGGCATGAGGAGAGACTTTGTGATCCGGGTTCAGCTGGAAAGCGACGGAGACGGGCAGCGAGCAGTAAATCGTCGAAAGACTCTGCAGGGCGGACGTGATCTCGGTCTCGGTGAGCCCGTCGAGAGTCCGCAGAGGCGGAAGGCTGCTCGATGGCGGCAGCGGGTATGCTGCCGGCCTCATTTGAACCCGTCTCGTCCTGGTGGCGGCAGACTCGACCTTGTGAGAGCGCGGTGAGCGAAAGTTGATAATTTTAAGGAAATCTAGATGAAAGGGACAGAGAGGATCCAATAACTTCGGAAAAGAATGCGCCTCGAGACCGGCTATCGGACGCTAGAGGTGGCGGCCATTACTCATTGAGGTACCGAACAGTGGAGGGCAAAGGAGATAAGGCCTAGACACGGGCGGGACCCGCTTTCCTAAATGAGGGTATCGTGAAAATTTTTGGCTGCCCTATCCTTGGGCGTTTGTGTGGATGTGGCTTGTGCCTGTGCTTGTGCTTGTGCTTGCGCCCGTCTCACTGATATGTCACTCATCCTTCTCCATAATCCATCTCGATCTACCCCGGAAAAGAGACATTTTGGCCCCGCTACAATACGGAGGAGCAAGCGAATGTCAATGCCCCAGATACTTCAGGAAAGGGGGTAACTAAAGACTGCACTTGACCAGACGGTAAGCCCAGGAAGCAAGCCAAAAATGAGATAAGAAGCCACAATGGAATGCTTTGTTTCTGCTCCAACCAGCTGGAACCTCTCAGCACGGCCCTCACACGCATTCTGGGATATCAACACGTGTCATAGACACCACTGAGTATTGGCTATTGGATTGGCTGCTTTGTTTGTCATCTTTTGATTTCTTTGACTGAAACAATCTGTCGCAAAAAGCCGGCGGCGCCCCGGTCCAGGCCACAGCCGTTCCGCGATTTAAGACACTGGCATTTTCGGCTCCACTTGTGCCGAGCCGCTGGCGAATTCTGAGAGCTTGCCACTGGTTGCAAAATGACTCGTTTCCGCCATCGCCACACCTCACTCACCGCCATATCATCCATCTCACTTACTTATCTCACTGGCGGTGAAACTGACGTGTTGCGCCACAAACTTGACTCTATTTTAGAGAAACTACGCATCTCCGATCAAATTGAATGAGATATTGTATCTGCAGTGCAACATTTCTTTTGCCATTGCTACCCACACCTGAGATCATGCCAGCTACTAAAAATACCCGGCTACTCACACATCATCAGATGCCTGGAGCCTTAGATCTCTGCACAGCGAAGTTCTGTTAGTGTTGACAGGGAGATCACCGCATCAATTCCTCTCAAGCCATCACTGTTCTTCCTCCGTCCTTCGTCAAGCGAGATCTGATCTTGACGCGAAGGGCACGATGAGCTAGCCGCTGAAGTACTGCCTGCTTACCATTCGCGCCCTCCTGCAGCCCGAGGACCGCGCTCGGTGCAAACACAAGAGCCTGACCCGTATGGAGCGACACAATCATGGCAAAGAGCTCCAGAATAGGGTCTTTGCCTCCCCCGATGGTGATCGGGCTGACTGGTTGACTCATTTCCTCGCCTTCCGCCACGGTCACCGACATCGACGAGATTCCGGCCAGGTGGTTTCGCAGAGTGCGCAACCAGTCAGGTGAGGTGAAGCGGTGAACCACCGTCATCGAGCAGAGGTCCAGGAGTTGAGTAGAGACAGTGGGTTCCTGAGTCGAGATGACCACGCGAACGCCGAGGTGACGCTGAAGCCGAATGGTCTCCAGTAAAGAGTTCGTGAGAGCCTGGCTCTCGGCCGACTGTCTCATGTACTTGTGAGCTTCGTCGACAGCCACAACTCTTCCGATGGTAGACTTCTCTTCCAGGAAGAGCGAGAGGCAGATGTTGAACAGCGAGCAGGCGAGCTCTGCGGTCACGCATGGGCAAGAGAGGTCGACCACCGTGAGTTGGCCAGCCTGGAAAAGAGCAGAGTTAGCCTGGTGGATCTTGAAACCGAGTGATATAAGTAGCGTACCTTTGGCTTCCAGTCGATGGACTTCTCGTTCTCTTTCACCATGAAGCTTTCGAGGGTGTCGAGGCGTTGGGACAACGGACCTCGCTGGGCCGGAGTCAGGTCTGCATTATCAAGGTGCCTCTTGAAGATCGTGTAGCTGAAGCCCGTGTCATATTCTTGCTGGTGCATTCGCATGTCCCTCAAGATGCGGTTGACGACATGAACATACAGCGGCACTCCACCGTCTCCGACTCCGACGGCCATGAGGTCGTTCATGCGTTTGGTGTTGAGGTCCTTGTCACTCAGTTTCAGAGGCTCGATCACGACATTAGGAATTCCGCCGTAAATAATCTGATGGGCTGTTAGAGCTGATGCAGGCCAGATGATACGACTTACATACCTTGACCGTGCGAATGTTTGTCGGGGCGCACAGCACCCGAACCGACACTTTCTCGTGAGACGCAATGTAAGCAGCTTCGCACGGCAGCCCGCCAGAGTCGGAGACGAAGCTGTCGTAGTGAAAGACGATACCCGTCAGGGGCAGGGGCAAGTCGCCGAGGTTGCTTGGGATGAGGCAGTTCTCCAGCAAACACGCGAGAGTGTTGCTTTTGCCGGAGCCCTGGCTGCCGCAGATGAATACGCTAGAAGGGCATGCCACGTTGTGAAAAAGTCGAGACTCTGCCGTGGGTGTGCCATCTGAAAGACTTGCTCCGATGAGACCGAATTGCGATGGGGGAGACGTCTCGATGAGAGGGACTGTAAGAAGCGGACTTGACTGGATCTCGTCACGATGCTGATTGTGTTGATCCAGGTTCAGAAAAGCCATCTGGGCCACGATCTCAGCCTCCTTCTCCAAGATTGCTTGATGAGTGACCTCATCTTTGCTTGGTGTTGCGAGAGGCTCTGCCGAAGGCATTTTGTCGGTGAGAGATAGAAGATTGGAAGTTCAATCCGCACAAAAGGCTTGTGGCTGTGCGTACGCAAATCTGAAGACCCACTTGATACTTGGAAGGACCACTTGACGGTGCTGAAATACTTTTATATGCAGCACTCGATTGCATCTCCGATGGCTTCGCCAAACTTCGCGGCTCTTCTATCTTTACAAATCAGTCTGATTCCAGTTGCATAGTCAGTGTGCGGTCAAAGAAACACTGAACCGTTCTTTCAAGAATCAACCAACAAGGACTGCTTGTGTCTTCTGATTACTGTGCATGTGGCTATGCCCTGCCGCATTGTTGCTTCTCGAACATTTCAGGACAGAGCGTGTCTTAAAATGCTTAAAGAAGAAACTTGGCTGACATAGAACTTGCAAAGAATCATGGGCTGGGTGCAGAAGTTGATTCAAGAAATTGGATCACCAGCTTAAGATGAAGCATCACTTGGTACATCAACTGAGGCTGGTTGGTACATGAGAAGCCCTTCTTGTGCTTCAAAGTAATAGATAATCATTGAACATTCAGCTAGGAAGATAGACAATATGTCGCTCAACAAGACTAATGGAGTGTTTTATGCGTTTGAACCCAGGCTACTGTTTGAAATGCCCATCGATGCTGCACGGGTATGACTATGTGGACAACATGAAGTTGCTAGAAGCCCCGTCACAACGATGGCGTAGCACGCGTACGAGACTGCGTCATTAGCCCTGATGACCAATTTCCAGACTTTCCATCAGGTTCATAGGCGAGTGTCTCGGCAACATGCAGTAGGTGTAGGTTAGACTTGCAGGAGCCCAATGCCTCTGGTATGCAGCCAAGTAATCAATGTCGTCCGAGCCATGAACTCCGATCATGGAGAAAGCAAACATTGGCGAGTGCAATCGGACGATAAGATATGCCAAGTCCGCCAAGTCCTTTCTAGAGTACATTTGGAAGGCGCGAATGTGCCCAAGAAGGCTCGTTGCAACGTTCTCCAAGAATTGAGGGGTCGATTTGGGGCTATGATATCGAAAGTTTGCTGGTTCTCCGATGACGCCGAAATGATCTGCATTGTTGCCCGGTAGTACTGGATCAGGTAGGGAAAATAGTTAAATATGGCGTTGCGCTGTCTTTGAACGGCAACCATTCGGATCTCAGCAACCACTCAGTCTCTTCTACGTTTGTTCTTGAGATGAAGTTTCTCGCACTTATCAGTTTCTTGGGGTCACTGGCTTCCGCCAGTAGTCCACTCTCGTATGAAGGGTACCAGGTTCTTCGTGTGAAAACTGGTCCTAGACTCGCCGCCGTGCAGGGAAAACTGTCGTCGATCGTCTATGACGAGTGGAACACGGTGGTGAACAAGCACATCGATATAGCCATCTCTCCGGACCAGGTCGACAAGTTCCGGGACCTCGGGCTCGACTACCATGTCATGCACTCTAATTTGGGCGAATCGATAGCCGCAGAGTCGTCTGGAGGCTCGATTTGGAAGCGACAATACGACGACCTCAGTTGGTATGACAGCTATCATCCCTACGAAGATCACAAGGCATACCTGGAGGCACTTCACGAAGCTTTCCCTAATAACTCGGAGATTGTTTCATCGGGAACCTCATACGAAGGAAGAGATATCTTTGGCATTCACTTCTGGGGCGCCGACGGACCAGGCAAGCCAGCTGTTCTTTGGCATGGAACAGTACACGCGAGGGAGTGGATCGTGGCACCCGTGAGTTATTGCCGAGATAGCATGACTCTAGGAATTTGCACTAAGATGCGATGTCTAGGTGGTTGAGTACCTTACACTTCAACTTATTCAGGGGTATGGCGTCGACAACGTCACCACTGCATTCGTCGACACTTACGACTTTTGGGTATTCCCATTTGTCAACCCGGTACGATGAAAGCTATTCCAGTATTGAGAGCGTTCGTAGTCTAACTTGTTGAAAGGACGGCTTCGTTTACACCCAAACGACCGAAAGATTATGGCGAAAGAACCGCCAACCAGCCCCAAGCTCTACCAACTCGACCTGCTATGGCCGGGACATCAACCGCAATTGGCCATACAAGTGGGATGCAAATCCTCTAGGAGCGTCGACCGATCCATGCTCGCAGACGTATAAAGGTGTCGAGCCTGCCGATACTCCAGAGATGAAAGGGCTGCACAAGCTGGTGGACACCCTTCGAGACACCAGTGGCTTGAAGCTCTACATCGACTGGCATAGCTACAGCCAATACTTTCTCGCTCCTGTTGGGTACAACTGCACATACTACATCGACACGCTTGGACAACATATCAAGCTTGCGCAACTAGCATCCGACGCAATTCGGGAGGTGGAGGGCGTTACGTTCACCTACGGGCCAAGTTGTGCAACCTTGTATCCCACGACTGGCGGTAGCTTTGACTACGCTTATGCGATTGGGGAAGCGGACTGGTCTTATCTTATTGAGCTCAGAGACACTGGAGACTTTGGGTTTGTCTTGCCACCTGAGCAGATCCGGGGCAGCGTCACTGAACAGTGGGAGGGAATGAAGGTTATGTTGAGTGTCCTCGATGAGGTCTTCTTCGACGGGGAGGGACCCGCTGCTTTCAAATAGGACTTAGACCATGAACGAAGATCGACTCTCTTCTCGTGCATCAAAACTTCTAGGCTAATTATCAATATTGTTGAATACTGCACTTTATATTCAGCTCCGCCCAATAAGCGTGATCTTGATCTCTGAGACGTTATTTCCAATCATGCATTTGGCGAAGACTTCCTTCTTTGATAAACTTCATGGCCGTATCTGATGCATGCAAGTACCAATGCAAAAGCGAGGATACCAATATTTGAATCGAATGCTCTGCGGTAAAGAGGCTTGTCGTCTGCCTGGAACAATTGCGCGCCATAGATCGCTGCAATGTTTGCACTCATAATGATCCTGAAAGTCGGCGTCAGAGATTGTGGCAATAGGAGATTCAACCAACTTACATCGCCATTGCCAAGGACCTCTCCTCGGGATCGGTGCAGGTCAAAGACATCCAAGTGATGTTCAGAGGATGCGGAAACGAGGCAAAGGTCTGCGTCCATACGACACCGAAATACCTTACACCTCGCTTGTTGATTTCGGTGAAGATGCGGTTGAGAATGTAACCGAACATATGCATGCCTATGGCAAGAATCGTCGTCTCGCCACGCTTATTACTGACAAAGTCGTTAACCTCGAGCTTGAGCAGATAGTAACACGGTTGACTCACAAGCGATCAGAAACGTAACTAAAACCAAACGAGACAGGGACTTGAAGAAACAATCCCACAGCAGCGAGGGCATTACTCGTAAGGGAGGGAAAGCCGAAACTTCTAATAATGGTCGGGCCATAAGTGTCGAAGCCCCTGAACGGACCATTGTTGCCGAGAGTGATAAAGATGTGTATCCAAACCCGCCAGTTGGAAAACTGAGAGTAGGAAGGTCAGTCACAAGAAGTAAGTTTTATGAACCAACTAGCCGTTGTAAACTTACAGCTTTTTTGAAAGCCGCCATGCCAATGTGTTGCTTCGTTTTCTTCTTGTTGGGGTCATCTAGCATGACACGCTTCTGCAAGATATGAAGCTCCCGTTCGGTGAAGATATTGAAACGCGGAAGAAACCAGCTATGAGGGTTATGAAATGCGTCAGGAAGGCAGAAGCCGAGGACAACTCCGCTTGCAAGCGTGAAGCTGCCCATGATGATGAACAGCCAAAACCAGCCAGGGTATCCCGCAACCCCTTTCATGTGCAGAATTCCGTATGCAATCAGCTTGGCCGAAGCCTGGCCTAGCTGGTTACCGAAGAAGAATATCATGACCCTCTTCGCTGTCTCTTTACGTGTGTACCATGTCGACAAGGTCCAGAGCCCACCGGGTATGTATCCCGATTCGCTGACCCCGAGGAGAAACCGTGTCACAAGATAACTGGCGTAATTGGTCTGAAAGGCCTGGAAAGTACTGACAAGGCCGAAGAAAAATAGCTGCAGCGTCAGCCACTTGCCGGGGCCAACACGGTAAAGTATCATGTTTGACGGAATTTCGAAGAGAACAATTCCGAGAGAAAGCAATTGTTGCCCAACGTTGAACTGGAATTGAGAAATTCCCACGTCCTCCATGAAGGTATCGGTGATGGCATTTGCGATGTTGCCTCGATCGAGCTCTGTTCGGTTTGGTCAGGGGGTCGTCATGTCGGTTGATTTCGCTCGTACGCACGTAAACAAAAGAAGCCGAGGGTCAGAAGCGGCATAATGATCAGATCCAACCTGTGATTCGTGTCATGTTAGACGGTTATTGCAAGCGATTCAGCTGTTGATACTTACTTCCATTTCGCCTTCCTCTCCTCATCTTCACTCCAGTCGACCGGGGATCGGGCCGTTTTCGCCTCATTATCAAGTTCATTGGCGTATGATGAAAGTTCAAGCGGCGTGATACTTGCTGCACCCATAGTGCCGAGATTGTAATGAATCGATTGTCTTCGAAGACTCGAGGAACAAAACCATCCAGAAGAGTTTGATTATTGAGCTTCACCACAGCTAAATCTAGCCAAAATTGACTTAATCCACAACCATGACGAGTTGCCCGGCCCGAAACGCAACGTCTTTCGTCCACAGGCTAATATGACGACCATAGTGGACTCAAGCACACCATACTGGACCTACGGGGAAGATCCGAACTCTCGGGTACGACAGTATTCCCTATCAGTGCCGACCAGTTGATTATGTTGCTATCGAATCCTGCAACCATGCTAGCAGGAATCTGTCACCCGCAAAATACCTGGTTTGAAGATTGCGTGCTTCATGTGTGGGGTAAGAGAACCATAACAGACATTGATGAGGCTTTGGGTTTCCGGAGCCCATGCTAGATCTTTGCGCGTGAACACGTGGGAGGATATGTCTCCAAGAACATGGTAGGCCCGCAAAATGAACATCAATTTCATGCTAAGAGTGAAAATTGTGAACACTTGCTGCTGTATAATTTCTACCCGAGATGATTTAGAGATCAGCCATAAGCGATTGTCCTCCTGCGCAGTTCTCAGTAATATCAATCATGCGAAAGGAATATTTTCATTCTGGGTCATCAAAATTCCCAAAGGGCGCCTGCATCGGTGCGATATTCATACGTTGTTGAGCTACAAGTGACGTTTTGGAGCGGGAATTCCTTCTGATCACGCCATATTGCTGGACGATTTGATCATCCAGAGACCCCACCAAATGCGTCGTTGTCGGAGAAGCTCCGACAAGCCCCGATTATTTCGGGACCGGCTTCGAGCTCCACGCCGCGATAAAGGATCTTCAGGAAAATCGTTGCTGCATCGCTTTTGACATTTGTGTTTCTCACATTTGACTGTGGTTTGCTGAAGTTTGAAGTTACAATCAAAGTACTTCAGTCGCCATTATGAAGACTCTATCCGATAACGAACTCGAGAGCCTCGCAGGCCATTATTTTGCTCCCAAAGGACTGTACCAGCACACCAAAAGCCTGCCATTTCTGGGGCAGCTCAAGTGCAACACGACGAAACTCACTGCCGGTCAATGGACTGAACTCATCATCGATTATACCGTCGGCGCCAGTGGCCTGGCCGATGGAGCTTGGATTAAGGGAACATTCAAGTTTTACTCCGACTGGGCGCTCTTTCAAACGTCAGACCCTAAGCAGGACAACTACGTCTCAGCCGAGTACACACCTGGTCCCCTCCACGAAGGACAAACAGCCGCGACAGTTCAATCACTAGCTGTCCGCTTCGACCAAAAGGGTCATGAGAGACCGTTCCAGAAGGCAGTCATCATCGACATCGTGGATGGATACATGAACCCAGGGGATAAGATCGTAGTCCGCATTGGGGACAGACGGTGGGGTTCACGGGGCACACGAGTGCAAACCTTCGTCGAGGACAAATTCTTGATGAGGTGGTATATCGACCCCGTTGGCACGTCGAGATTTTCACCGATTAAGCCAGATATCGCAATTCCCATTCTGCCTGGACCGATCGCCAAGGTAAAAACTACAACGCCACGAGTTGTCAGGCCTGGTTTGCTGTTTCCAGTTCATATTCATACCGAGGATGCATGGGGTAACGCCACAGCCGATGTCGACAATCTCATAGCCGAAGTGCTCACTACCGAACACAACTCAAGAGAGCCTATCTGGGAAAAGTCATTGCCCTTTTCAGACAAGGGTTGGACAGTCGCCAATACCACCACCACTATCGAAAAAGTCGGCGACTATGAAGTCTCGGTAACTGTTCTTGACCGGGAAAGGTCTGTCGTGGTCCAGACAAAAGACTACGTTTCCGTCGATGCCTCCGTGCCCGTGCCTCGACCGCTTTACGCCGATCTCCACGTCCACTCCGACGACACAGTGGGCACCAATTCAACAACTTACAACTTCTCATATGCCAAGCAAATCGCCGGTCTCGATGTTGTCGGTTACACGGCAAATGACTTCAACATTACCAAGCAGCGTTGGGACCAGACGCTCGGAATAATCAAGCAAGTCAACAAGCCTGGCGAGTTTGTTGTCTTCCCTGGGACAGAATGGTGTGGCAATTCTGCTGCTGGGGGCGATCACAACGTTGTTTTCCTTGACAACCCAGACATCACGCAACCTGAGTTTCCTTTCGACAAGAACGGCAACGTAGCACGCAGCTTTGAGTGGAATGAGGACGGCCCAGCGGAGCTGGTGCCAGGTGCTTGGCCTTTGGACGAAGTTTACGCCACCTACGCCCATTCACCCGAAAGTCACCTTCTTATTCCTCATGTTGGCGGTCGGAGGTGCAATCTTGCGTGGCACCACCCGCAGCTTGAACGTCTGCTCGAGATTGGCAGTGCGTGGGGTCTTTTCGAGTGGTTACTTCGCGATGCCGTTAAGCGGGGCTGGAAGCTCGGCGTCTCGGCCAACTCGGACGAGCACCGGGGCCGTTGCGGAGGTGGCGTCCCGGGAACTGCCGTGTTCGGTACCAAGGGTGGACTCACAGGCGTCCTGGCCGGGAATCTCGAACGCGGAGATGTTGCCAAAGCTCTTCGGGCCAGACGAACCTTTGCGACGACTGGAGAACGACTGGTAGGAATTGTCAGCACAGGCAGCGGCAATCTCCAAGGAGACGACATTTCCGTGAAAAGAAGTGAGTCAGTTGACTTGAGGTACAATTTCTTCGGTCACGAAGGCTTCTCCTCCATCGAGGCTTGGGATGCAAGCGGACGGATCTTCCACCGCGATCTCCAAGAAGAAGCATCACAGCAGACATCACAAAAATCGCCCCGGAAAATTCGTGTGAAATGGGGAGGCGCTCGCGTGTACGATCGATACCGCGAGGCAGTATGGCAGGGCTCAATTCTCATAGAAGGCGCCGCGGTCTCACAAATTCGGCCATTCGGAGGAGTGTTGGACAATGCCGAAGAGGAAATCAAGGTGGTATCAGAGACGCAAGTTGTCTTTGAGACCCGAACGAGCGGAGACTTCGACGGAGTTGATATTTTGCTCACTGAGATGTCCAATCTGCCGTCCTCGATTACCGTGTCTGGACATCTGGGCGGGTACGTCAAAGTCGGTGACGCCCTCAAGGGCAACCCCCACAAGGCGCAACCTCGGTTCAATGTAGTTGCGACTGGACAGGACGCGATTCAAGAGGGCGGGGTACGAGAGGATATCCCCGGCGGTGCCGACCTGTTCGTTTCTATCGAGAGCCTGGTGGACGTCTCGCTACCTCGGAAAGTTGAGGGCACATTCACGGTGGGCCATGAATCTCGTGGGAAGGATGAGCGGGCAGTTTACTTCGTGGGAAGAGAGTACACTGGGGGCAAAGTGATCACGAGTCCGATATTCATTAGTTACGACTGAGTAGTGCACATGTCGGATTCCCAATAAAATCTCTGTTTGTCCGGGAATCAAATTTGGGCCCCGCAAACCCCAATTACCCCAAATATGAAATCTCGTGATGTGCATTCTTCTGGCAACAACCATTTTCCATCTTCGGCATTCACTTTTAGACACCGACATCCGTGCATCTCGCAACCATTGACTTTGAGTAAGGAGAATCACGTTCCGCGTGCAATTATTTCCACAAGTGGTCACGTAGGTATGTCAGCGTCGATCTGATGGTATACCGACAGGAAAGATCTCTGCCGAATGAGTGGTAGTCAATGGCTGTCATTGGCCAACCCCGGAGTCTCGGCACTGCAGATACGTGCCGTGGACATTGTCTCGGTTTCTAGGACCCCGTTCTGAACTTCATACCCGGGAAAGGGCATTGCTACCCCGCGATTGTTCATACTCATTTACCAATGAACACCTAGGAAACAGCGGTTGCAACAAGGGGTCGGAAACGATGCAATAGCATGGGGTCAACGAACTGCGGAGACGCTCACGACATTTCGCCTAGGCACTGTGGAGTGAACATCGGACATGGGATCCAGGACGTATCTAGTGCCTTCCTGGCTGGTATTGAGGCAAATATTGTCTGCGTGGTGCTCGACGACGGGAACGGAAAATGATCACGGAGAGCCAGCTGCTGTGAATATAAAGGCTTGACTGATTCCGGTGAGGGCAAGGGTGGGAGTGCACCGGCGTCATTGTCCGGTCTCACTCTACCCCGTTTGTGGTTTTGTTTCCTCATCAGATCTGCATATCCGTGGTTCAAAATGCGGACGCCGTCTCTTTCCATTCTGACTGCATCACTCCTAGCAGTGATCGCAGACTCGTCCCCCTTGCCTGAACTGTCAAGAAACCCAAGTGGCATAAAATATGTCGTAACCTTGTTAGACTTCCACAATACTTTATACTGAACCTGAGATGTACCCGTGACTAACAAGCAATAGCGGGAGCTCAACAACACAAACAGGGTTCTCTGTCAACGGCACCGCTCCGTCTACCGCAAATCCAATTGGCAACCCCGCGCTCCCTGGAGATACGACGACTGGAGGCCTCAACTGGCTAGGATTTGATGTCACAGAGTTCAACAAAACCACCATCCTAGCATACAATCTTGCTGTTGGCGGCGCTACCACGGACAACACGCTCATTCCTACGTATACATCTGGTGTCGACACGTTCGTAGACCAAGTAGATACTTTCTACAGGGCGTATGTAAACGGAATGAGTCCGTGGTCTTGGGACGATGTTCTCGTCGGAGTTTGGATTGCCAACAACGATGTTGGACAATCCTACGACAGGAATGATACCGCGTCTTTGTACCCAAAGGTTTCGACGCGGTACTTTGAGCAGGTTCAGCGCCTGTATGACGCCGGTGCTCGCAATTTTGTTATCCTGACATGCGCTCGTAAGCCTTTCCCGTCCGCTTTTGTTCAAGACTTGTCATTTCGAGTTATGCTGATGACATCCTATAGCTCAAGAATCCACGCCTCTGATGCTGGAAAAGGGTCCTGAAAGCAACGCCAAGGTCGCAGCCGCTGTCAAACTATACAACACTATCATGGAGACAAACTTTGATGACTTCAAGAAGTCCCATCCAGATATTCGCGCTTGGCTTGTGAGACCCTCAAAGTCTTATGAGGCTGCACTCGCGGACCCGGAGGCATATGGCGCACCCGACACTACGTGTACCAACGAAGACGGCCTCAGCTGCCTGTGGTGGAACAACTACCATCCCGGGATTCAGATCCATCGTCTTCTAAGCACCGACGTGGCAAGCACAGTGGGAGCGCCGTGGTTTGAGAGCCAGTAAGGCCTCCCCGAGTTTAGGGCCCTCGTGCCCTGAGAAGTCCCGGTTGTCTCTCGATTTGATCAACCATGGATTACGAGTCCTTTATGCATAGAGTACCAGAAACATGTTCAATAGCTACCAACCCAAGTCTACAAGCTCAGTTGTTCGAAGACTATAACAGGATATTTCCACCATTTACAAGACTTCTGCCTGGTTGACTGATCTTGATGATTCCAACATCGAGCAAGTCATTGATGAGGGAAAACAGCATGCCATCACAGCCCTTGGCAGCCATAAAGTCAACGCTGACGGGTAGATACTCCGTATGATTCGTGATCGTTGACTGGTATGCCACTTGTCCAATAGGCACAACCATGTCAGGCGTTTCTGAAATGACGGAAATCCGGCTGGTCGAAAACGACTTTGGGGTCTGAGGCCCGCTAATGTATTTGTCTCGTAAGGTCGAGGTAGGAGTTCTCGGAACGTAGACGAGCAAGCTGTCTGAGCAAGTCCTCGAGTCCCGAAAGAGAACTTTGCTGTTGAACCAATCCATGAAACGTGTCTTGTTTGCGACACCCTCCTCAATCGTCGAAGCAGAGTTATCACCGAGAGCCCAACGTTGCAATGGGGCAGGGTTGACGTGAGGTAGTCGACCGTCGTTCACTGCAGCATAGTCGGCATAGAAAGGATCTCTGACAAGTCTCGCCTGCTCTTGGGCCGACAGCACTTCGTAAGTGTTGTTGATAAATGACAGCAGGTTCGGCTGTTCAGGATTCATCCTGTCCCAGGACTTTGTGAGATTGAAGGGGGTGACGGTGGCGGAGAGGAACACTGTGAGATTGGACAGAAAGTGATGCAGTACATCATCGAAGTCTGAGCTGACTTCGTCTGGAAACCCGATCGTGAGAAGCTTCGACGGATAGGAAGACATCATGGTAATGTTTGGTCCGTATAGTACTGCAGCTGCCTCGGCCCAAAGCTTCGGATCACGGGCGAATAGACCGGCGGTGTCAAATTCCGGTGCAAGTGGCATTACGTTGTCCAACGAGACAAGTCCATGACCTTCTGGAGTAAGTATCGCAAAATCTTGTACTTCAAAACATTCGCTTACTTGGCCGGTTCCCAAATACTCCTTGAACTTGACTTGGAGATCTAATGCTTCCGCCGGTGTCCGATCCGAGAGTGATGTCGAGCCATCCATAAGCAGCTATTGATCAAGAACAACAGTTAGAAAACGTAACGCGTGGTGTGATGAAACACGGGAACAAACCTTCGCCAGCAGCTGACCCAGCTGACGAGGAAGAAGGATCCTGATATCCATCTCCTCGAGGATTGAATGGAGCATTGTAATCAACCCAGTCTGCGGTAGCACTCTCGCCATTTGCAAATTGGCTAGTCTTCATCTTCCCAACAAGAACGGCACCAGCGTCGAGCAAGTTTTGTACGGCAAGTGCAGTCTCATTTGCAGCTGGGTATAGATCATACCATGCCCTGTTGCCGTTTGAAGTCTTCAGTCCTCGAACATTGAAAATGTCTTTCACCCCAATACGGACACCGGCCAACGGCTTGTCGGCAGACTTTTCGTAATAGAGCCGCGAGGGAACAGCTACTGCCACGGACTGATCAATCATTGTAGATACTGAATAATGCGAGCCATCTTGGTTCTCAATGGTACTCTCGGTGAAGGCCCCGGATATATCAGAGTAAAGTCGGTACGCACGATGCACAGTGCCTGCGGATGAAACAAAGTATGGACCATTGGGGATAGCAGTGCTGTTCGAGAGATTTGGCTGGCTCACAAAGACCGCGAAATTGCCAGTGTGAGAGACGTTTTGACGGAGGTCTCTTGAGCTTTCGGTGGCAGGTTGAACATACAAAGCTGGGGCGGGGAGTAAGTTTATGATGTACGGACAGCCGTTACTTTATGGCTCTTTGCATACAACCTGAGAAATGGAAGAACAGGTGACATACCCTGGGAAAAGCCAAGCTGGAAGACATCGTCAGACGCAGAGAAGTTTGTGATGGCGTTTTGTAGAGTCTGGTCGTCCAAAGTCGAGTAATCCGTGTTGATTACGGTGATTGGAAACAAGCCAAGGCCGTCTGCGAGGTTGAAGGCGTTCTTTGGGATTCGACCCACGGATTGTGATGGAACAAAGTAACGAATGCTGTTCAATGAGGCAGTGACACCTGCTGGTTCTGGAACCTGCGCATTTGCTTGCCAAAGATGGAGCGCCATAATCAGCGTCTGGAGGATGGCCTTCATCGCAATGATAATGACGAGAAAAATCGAGAAACTTGCACTTGAATTCAGGCAGTGTTAGGGAGATACAGCAGCCAACACATGGAATCTTCGCTAAAATGTAATGAAGTCTGAGCCTTCTAACATTATTTACCATCATCGATCCCCGATGAAAATTCTCCGAGTTGTTGCATTGGTAGTCCTACAGGCTACAGCCAAGTCAGCCCGAAGTCGGAACAGCAGCATCAATTACTTACCCCCCACATGCTGATGCTACGTGATCTTCTTTCTCATTCTATGATTATAGCAAAGTAACATTCCAGGTTGTGAAGTCGCATTCTGCGGAGCATCCGAAGACCCCTGCACTTACAGACCTTGATGGTTTCGCGATCAACAAAGCACCGATGGAACCCGGATGGCCATCGGAGCAAACAACTATCTCGAGTTGATCAACACCTCAGAAATCCTTTGGAAATGGAGACGCGATATGCTGCATGATTGCTGCGTTCCAATGGCGAAGGGGCATAATCCAGAACTTGCTCACGCTACTGCAATCAGGTTCCATTTCGAGATGACGCTATCGACTTCGACCTCATGCTCCCACATACCGCAAGGTTCTCATTTGTGAGATTATCATCTCGAGCAAGACTCGCCCACACACCTTGAGCATTATCCCGCAAATCGTCTTGTGCTACATGCGCTCTCATGGGATATTCCGAATATCAAAACCTGAAAAGAATCGACTGAGTCTATCAAGGTTCGGCACTAGGCATGATGGAATTGCGATCAGTCCCAGCGGTAGGGGTAACTGCGTTGTGGAGGCTGGGCGATTTCGGAGTACTAGGGATGACTTCAAGCTGATTTATATATCAAGAAATGGTGCGAGGGCATTTTCCCTAGGATCATCTGCACCTTTGGTAGACAAGCTCATACAAACGCAGCCAAGGAAGTCAAGACTATCTTGGCTTTGAGACAATATGTTATCAAAGTCTTTCAACTGTCGCTGGGGCTCTGCCCTCCTCTTGGCGTCTCTTTGTCCGTCAGTGCTCGCTAGAGCCACTCCTCCGACAACCACCCACGATAAGAGAGCTAGCTGGGCGAGCAACCCTCTCCTTCAGGACTTTGACTCCAATGGTGCTTGGTTCCAGCAAGTTGCAGACATTGCCGGGAACTCCACCTCCCGTAAAACCTCCAATGTCTCGATTGCTATCGTGGGAGGCGGCGTCTCTGGCCTCGCCACTGGCCTGATGCTGGACAGCGTCGGCGTCCACAACTGGGAGATCATCGAGGCCAGCGAACGTGTAGGTGGCAGATTCCGGACCATCTTCGTTGGAGACACGGAGGAATTCGCGGAGATGGGTCCGATGAGACTCCCGTACAAGGTCACCTACAACAGCGACAACTCGACTCACGAGTATACCGACCACCGGATGACGTTTCAGTTGGCCGAGCTTCTCAATGAGATGAACAACAATGACCCCAAGTACAAGATCGATTTCATCCCATGGATTCAGCATCACCCAAACGAACTCCTTGCTTTGGGCACCGGAAGGCATCCGGACGGCAGGGTTCCCACTCGCGCCGAGATTGCTGCGGATCCGAGCCTTGGTACTCCTCCTGTCATGACCTCGGCGGAATACAACGACACCAAGAAAGAGCTCAACAGGATCCTGAAGAACGAAACACTTCTCCGGGAAATTCAAGCCGACGTCTGGCGTGCCCACAAACAGGTCATGGACCTGGGCTATGACGACTGGAGCGAGCAATCCTACATCCGCAACCACCTAGGCGCGGACGAGAACGTCACCGATGCCATCTGGACCTCAACCGACTACGATGTTATCTGGGATGAGATGGTGCACAACTCAAACCTCGCGCTCGACGGTTCGGATGGTACTCTTGGCGAAACCGAGTGGAAGTGTGTCGACAAGGGCTTCAACCGCATCTCGGACGCGTTCATCCCTCATGTGTCCGATCGACTGGTGCTTAACCGCAAGATCCGCAAGTTGGAACCTGTTCAAGACGATGCTGGTCACGCCCGTACGCGTCTGTCGTGGTACCCTAGTGCCAAGAACAGAACTTTTGAGTCCAAGGACTACGACTACACTATCATGGCTGTCCCGTTCACCATGACCCGCTTCATGGATCTGCCGGAGTTCTCATCCGTCCTTGGCCGGGCCATCAGCGAGGCTGGTCTTCGGTTCAAGTCTGCTTGCAAGGTCTCTTTGCTGTTTTCTGAGAGGTTCTGGGAGAAGGGCGAGCGCCCGATATTTGGCGGATACTCTAAGCCGGAGGACAAGGCCGTAGGGGCTTTGTACTACCCAGTCTATGGGCTGAACGAGTCGCGACCCGGTCTCATTACACACTACCGGGGCGGAGATTGGAGCGATCGCTTCGTCAGCTTCACGGAAGAGGAGCATGTCGGCTTGGTTCTTGATGCGATCGCCAGCTTGCACGGTGAACAAGCGAGGGATCTTTACACTGGCGACTACACGCGTCTCTGCTGGCTCGAAGATGAGCACACAGCCACTTCTTGGTGTCGACCGGACGTTGAACAGCACAAGCTGTACATTCCATCTTACCATCGCACTGAGCACAACACGATTTTCATCGGCGAACACACGGCTCCGACTCACGCTTGGATTAGCTCTTCGCTCTACTCTTCTGTTAGAGGTTCTGTGCAACTTCTTCTTGAGTTGGGCATGGTGAATGAGGCGAAGAAGTTGAACGAGCAGTGGATGGGCCAATGGATCAGTAATGAATAGCCTACAGACTTTCAATCAGAGTAACGACACGGCAGCCTGGATAGTAATAGACTCATGTTTGAGCTTTAAGCTGTTATATGAAAGATTGAGACACACCGAATCTTGATATTGCGTTGAAGATTGCGACTTCTCGTCGAACAAGAGATTGACTACCTCCCAGTTTATTGCGGTGGTCTTCGCTCATTGGATCCGCGCCAGACAAGTCAATATTTCACTGTTTGGCTGCTCGCATTCCGCGGCTGAATCCTTCAAGAGTCGTGGCCTCATTGGGCAAGTGATATGCAATCGTCGTCTGAGGATTAATGGCATGATCAATCCCCGCTCATTGTTGCAGACCTTGGGAGATAAGTCATGTTTCCACACAGAGAAGCATCAGCGACTTCGGAGGAAGCGACTGACTAATAAAGTGCTCTTCCCCCGCCTCTGAACGCGCCAGTTCAATACCCCCATTGTTACTGTACTGCATACGTTATCTCAAACACCATCAAAACTGCCACATCAATTGCACAAGTAGCAATATGTCGGAATCAAAGTCGATTGCTATCGTTGGCGGTACGTTGAGGGTGTACGTCAAGTGTATTCCATTGACTGACTTGAACACTTGGAGCAGCGGGCATTTTTGGGCTTTCTCTAGCTGTCGCTCTCAGCAAGAACCGTGGGTTTCGGCCGGAAATAGAAGGTGAAATTGAGACTCATGAAACCCCTAGCGAAGTACCAGATCGACGTCTTCGATCGACACCAGTATGACGAGTCGGGATACTCCCCCGATTACCATTACAGCACCCAAGCTGCGTCCGTGGATCATAACAAGATTGTAGGTCCTCCCCCCCGGCAATGATTGATGACATCCGTTAATTCGCCAATGCAATGGCAGTTTCGGGCGTCCTACGGGAAGAAGATTCACTACCAACGGTTGGCGCTGGAAAGCCGTGCTGCTTGGGAGAAGATCAACCAGCAGCGCCACCGAGAAGAGAGTGAGAAGGATCAATCGGAACTTTTCAGCGGATGCGGCATGCTCCGCGTTCAGCCCACCGCAGAGCTCGATGAACTAGAGCGTGAGACTCTGAAGAACTTTGAGCGAGACGGGCTGAGAGACACTCAGTTTGTCAAAAGTGATTCAAACGATCGCAAGCGTGCATCAGAGCGAGGTTGGGACGCAAAGCTGCTTGATTTCGCCATCCCAGACTCATCACCAGTTGAGACATTTGAGGCCGTTCTGGACTCCACGGCTGGCTTTACTAAATGCAGCGACGCTTGTGCCTACTTTTACAAGATGGCTCACCGCCAAGGTGTCAGATTTCACTTTGGCCCAGAGAAGGGAGCTTTTGATAGCCTTCTCGAGGAGAACGTTCCCGGTTCATCTGCGAAGAAGGCTGCTGGGTTGAAAACCAAAGATGGAGTTCTCCACGCAGCCGATGTTGTGGTCATCGCCGGTAATATTGCGCTCTTCAATATTACCCTGTGCCCTCTTCCTGGAATGAAAAGTGACTGATCAGCTTTGCAGCGGGATCGTTCTCAACGCAGCTCCTCCCCGAGCTCTCGTATCACTTGGAGTCTTCTGCTGGAAGCGTGGTGACCTTCAAGATTAGCAGAGATGATTCGCTGCTGTGGGACAAGTACTCGCCTGAGCGCTTCCCGGTAATTACCTGGAAAAGTGCAGCACGAACGCCAGACGGAAAAGACATTGGTAGCATTTACGTATTCCCTCGAACCTCGGATGGTCTCATCAAGATTGGATACCGGGGTGTAAAGGTAGGCTGCCGACGAGTCCTTCAACTTACTCCTTCTGATCACAATACCCTAACCAAACCCCTCTTCGTAGTTCACCAACTTCCAACCTGCCCCTCCCGAGGCTGGGTTCACGCAAGACGGCGAGTGGTCTGTACCCTTGTCGCCAGCTGACTCCCGCCATGTTCCAGACCGAGCCAGGGAGGCAATCAAGCCGTTTGTTTCCACCTTCCTGCCGGACTTTGACGGGAAGGAGTTTTACACCACGAAGATGTGTTGGTACACAGACTCGCTCGACAACTCTTTTGTAGTAAGTACATGTAGTAACTCATTTCAGTTCATTTGCCATGTGTTGCGTGTATCTGACTTCAGTGCTTTCTAGATCGACTATGTGCCAAAATACACCAACTCAGTGTTCGTTTGCACTGGCGGCAGTGGGCACGGGGCAAAGTTTCTCCCTGTTCTTGGTGAAGTAGGCTTTTTTCGAGTCACAAACTGCAAACTTGGCTAATCTTTCGTAGCATGCCGCAGACATCTTGGAAAACGGTGATGAGAGCAACTCATTCATGCGTCCTCACTGGCGTTGGAGAGAGAACGCTCGCAGGGGCAACGGACTTGAGGAGGGACCCAAGGGTCCGAGAAACATCGGAGGAGCGAGGGAAGCTTGATGCTAGCGCCGGAAGTCCAGTCCGATATTGTTCAGCTCTCTAGTCTGTTTAGTGCACAGCACCTAGTAGTCTCTCATGAGTCAACCCAGAATTGAGTGATTTTTCTCATTTATCAATCCATCATCACGATTCATCCTGATTGGAAAGAGCTTTGGTAGACCGCACCTTACGCGCGATACATGATTGTGCTTGTCGGAAATCCCGCGGGCTCCAGGGGCCCAGCTATCGCCCAACTTCGCTCATGGAGCCGCCAAGAAAACAAGAGATTTCCAAGAACGCCGCGCCGCTTCGGTCCGTAGCCAAGAACGCCTAGTTTCCCGTGCCAACGTGCGCCGAAGTTTGCCAGGTACGGCAGTGAGCATGTTCCATCGGAGTAAGCGACTGGGATATTGGCAGTGATCCGCGCGTCTTGCATGACACGCCAGCAACCTTGATGGCCACCATCGTCGGAATGTGGAAGCTCAGGGGTCGTCCAACAGGCTGTCAGGACGTCAAAATAAAGAGATTCAAATGACACGGAAAGCGTGGGTCTCATTCGAGCACGTCTTGTTGGTTCTCCATTGAGCCTCTTACTTGCTACATTGGGCTCGATGTCCGATTACCTTTGCGGATATGGACTTTAGTATTGAGGGAAGGAGCAAGAGACCAGCAGGAAACCGAGGGAATGAATACAGACCTATTAATCCTGATAGATTACGAGTACCGTTTGTTCAGACCAGCCATATGCGATATAAAAGCTGGCGCTGCAGACTCTTCACTCTCTCCTTCCCATTACACCCGCACTGCTAAGTTCAGAATCTTTTTGATCAGCCTTTTTGTCCGAGATCCTTTATTTTTTCCGTCCTTTGAACCTCAAAATGGCGGCTGGCGTGGGCCGAGAGCCTGATCATGTCGACGAAAAGGCAGTCTTCACAGGCAAAGATGCAGATTCATCAGCTGTGAAGACCGATGGCCCAGATGAGCCTACGAGACAGGGTCATGCCATCAGTCAGGCCGAAGTCGACGACACGACGCTCTTCTATAACCTCAACAAGGACAAGGTCCAGGACTTTACGCCAGAGATGGAGGGAAAGCTTGTTCGCAAGAACTTCTGGTTTCTCCTCGGACAGACCTGGTGGATCGCTTTTCTCATCCACTTGGATAAGTCAACTCTGTCTCAAGCCAGTACCATGGGGATATTCAAGGACGTCGACATGACCAAGAAGCAGTACAACGACCTCTTCGTCGTTTTCTACACCGGCTACTTGATTGCGCTGTGGCCAGGTGCCTGGCTCTCTCAGAGGACTGGGCAGAAGCAATTCATATGCGGTTCGCTCCTTCTCTGGGCTCTCTTGCTTGGTATGCATCCGCTTGCCAAGACCGGAAGCCAAATGATCGGTTTAAGATTTATCCTAGGCATGGTGCGTACGAGTCTCGCTTCTAACATTGGATTCCAAGTTCCCGTTCATAATCTGGCAATCTCGATAACACCTTCTCGTAACAGACCGAGTCGCAGATCGTACCGAGCACGACCATCCTACACCAGGCCTTCTTTCCTCCCAAGAAGAGCCCATGGGTTCAGCTTCTATGGTGGGCTTCGGGCAGCCTGGCCAATGTGCTTCTCACCATGGTGGCCTACAAGTTGATTCTTCTCGACAATGACCACCTTCTTGTAGGGGGGTTGTCTTCATGGAAGTGGCTTCATATAATTTGCGTCGTCCTTACCTTCATCATGGTCGTGCCTCTCATCTTCTTCCTGCCGAACTCGCCCATTGAGGCAAAGTGGCTTTCGACCGAAGAGAAGGTGCATACCATCAAATCCATTCGCGACTCCCAGTCCGGTATCAAGAACTCGTCATGGAAGTGGTCGCAGGTTCGCGAGGCCTTTACGGATCCCAAGAGTTGGCTTTTCATGTAGGTCCCATGGCCCCATCCGGATGTTCTTCAGCGACGTTCATGATATTGACAGTCTTCCAGTTTCCACATGTTCTTTAACGAACTTCCGAACAACACCTCTCAGCAGCTGCCACTCATCATTGTCGGCTTCGGCTTCACTGCCGCTGAGAGTGCCCTCTTCAACATCGCCAAGCCCCTCATCGGCTCATTTCTCATCCTCGTCTCAGCAGCGATGCTCTACGGCACTAGACTGGGAACTGGGTATACATGCGCTATATCTTATATCCCCTGCTTTGTTGGCGGAATCATTGAGGTCAGTGCTCTTCACACCATCCAGTCCTTTGGGTGTTCATGACTAACTGTTCTCTAGCTTGCTTCTCCATGGTCTAACAAAATTGCTCTTGTCGTCGGCACCCAGATTTCTACATTCAAGCCGTCTTATCTCCTTGGTCTTTCATGGGCGGGAACAGCAACTACTGGGTACACAAAGAAGCTCACTGTCATGTCAACCTGCGTCGTTGCTGCATCAGTTGCCAATATGGTTTCTCCAGAGTGAGTCTACCGAGCTCGCTGCCCGTCAATTCCGCGACTCAAGAGTAACATGCTGACAATATGAATCTCGCAGGTTCTGGCAACCCAAGTATAAGCCCAGGTATACACTCCCTTGGGCTTTCATGACTGCATTCTGGTTCATCTCTCCGGCCATGTGTCTCATCATTCGCTGGTATCTTGTTCGTGAGAACACACGTCGACAGAATCTGCTTGATTCCGATGCTAGCTCGGTCGAGAACGAAATCCTCGATACCGGCGACGAGGTCATCCGCGTCCATAATGAGGACCTTGACCTCACCGATCGCCAGAATCTCAAGTTCATTTACCCACTGTAAATTGACCCCGGCACGGATACCACGCTGGCTGTTCAGAATGCCTCCTGGTGTCGCGGATGGCTTCTGGTACAATGCGGGCAGGAAGGAATTGAGGATGTGCTGGATGTAGAGCTACTTTGGTTCTTTCGCGCGGTGTTGAGCATTCCTATCGACGTCGTCGTCGTCGTCCTCGTCGCCCTCGTTGTCGTCGTCGGTCGTCTCATAATATCGATGGGCTCGATTCAACATCTTGTATGATGGATCGACGTCATAGTTCTGAATCCACTCACTCACTACCGTTTCTCGGTTCATTGCATTCCACCAGTATTCAGTTTGAGGTGTCTTCTAAACAATGCAAGATATCGTGTCATCGCGAAAGCGAAGTCTTATCCGGTCAAGCGCGCGCTGATTCGGGAAGGTCACTCTTTCACTCCGCAATGGGAGGTGATTAACGCCTTGGGTGCCGGTCATATTGTCTCTTAGCTGCCGCTGCCGAAAGTGCCGACAGGGATCACGGCCATGGCAACTCCAAATCAGTCGCATCAACCGTTGAAATGAGCCAATCGCCAAGCGTGATAAATGGGAAGAGGCATGAATACGAAGAAAGTGGATACGACTTGTGTCCGTAGATTACCTCCGGCCAAGAAAAAACACGGGGAAACTTGTCATTGATAAGAGGTCGATCAAGCCATGTCGTTGACGATGTTCGACGCGTCTTCATCCCATCGTCAATTCTTCGCGAAGCCGATAATCTTGCTGCCAACATGAAGGGTTTCACTCTCGGATTGGCATCTCTGGGCCTTGCTAGCGCCGCCGTTATTGCTCCCACGGAGCAGACGGTAGCCCGCCCGGGATGCCTTGTTTCCGATGACGGTGCCATTCAAGACCCGGCCGTTCAATACACAGCGGAGGCTGTCCGTCGCCAGAATCTCCCCAGCAACTTCACCGTGGACGTCAACTTCCATCTCGCCAGCACCGAAGCGGAGGCCGACCTTATCACTGACGAAATCGTCAACGCTCAGTGGGAAGTTCTCCATGAGGCATTCGCGAGATATAACATCAACCTTGTCCTCAACTCCACCGAGCGAACCGTTGATAATCTTGCAGGATCAGCATTCCTGATCAACGAGGGCCCAGAGAAGGGATGGGTGTATCACGAGGAGGAGTACAATGCGTACCTCAAAGCCACGCGCAAGGGGGGTTATGACGCATTAAACCTGTACTTCTTCTCGTCTTACTCTCCTGGAGCTACAGGATACTGCCAATGGCCAACTCCTCTCGCGGAGACGGACGAAATGACCTTTTACAAGGACTCCTGCCAGTTGAGCGCGATGACAATGCCGGGATTTACGGCCGATCAAGGCGCTTTCGAATCTTGGAACCTCGGCCATCTTGCGGTGCACGAGAGTGGACACTGGTTTGGCCTGAACCACACGTTCGCCGGCGGTTGTTCTGAGCCCGGCGACTTCGTGGCGGATACTCCGGCTCAGAGGACCCAGGTATACGGGTGCCCGGCTGACTCCGACTCTTGCCCGGATCAGCCCGGTCTGGACCCAATTCACAACTACATGGGCTACACCGACGATGCCTGGTATGGACATGACTCTCGTCCCTATGCTTTTTTGTTTTATCAACTAATCTCATCGACAGTACGAATGAGTTTACTCCTGGTCAGAAGGACCGGATGTTCTCGACCTTCTTCGGTGTCCGAAGAAAGTAGCCCGAGAGAAGTAACGCAATGCGGCTAATTGGACACCGACACTGGGGCACTACCCGATGAGATTTACACGAGACGTAATGAAGTAGGATTTTGCAAGCCAGTAAGAATGTTTGAGGAGTTCTGTAATGAAATATGATCACAACGTAAACATCCATGAAAGCATGCCATTCTTGAGCTGGGAGTATGTCCGATTGTCGCAATACTGGAATATCACATGATTCTTCATTCAACCTCAAAATATGCGGGGTGGTGCCACTGTTGCGCCGGGACCCTCGCCGGGAAACTTTGCTCAACATACAAACAACATGAGCAGAAGAAGGATTCATTCAAACAGCCACATCTTTCATTTGCATCTCACGCCTACCGTTGTGCACAGGCAATGTTATCAATCCATCGGGGTCTGCAACCTTCTGGAGTGACAAGACGTCTCATAGCGAGCCGCTCAGGCTACTTTGCGTAGCGGAGGTTGACTTTCTGACCTCAAACCTCAAACCAAACCTCGACGGGCCCCCGCATCTGCATCTGCATCTGCAATTGCAACACCTCACCTTTCTTCACTTCGCACCTTCCCAACTGAGGAAGGAATCCACTGGAAAGAGCAGCAGTTAAAGAAAAACAGTTTACCACCATTGCTCCAGTTGCCAGCAATCTGAGAGCTGATGATCGCCGATTGGACCTACCTTATTTTTTGAAATCCAGAGACCGCCTGGCAGTGAGCTGCGCGCCTTCCGATTGCGCCACCCCGTCCCTTCACTAACCTGGAAGGTACTTGACAATCGACGGTCTGAAACCACGTCCTTTGGACTTCTTCTCAACAACAAGACCGGCTTCTTCAAGAGTAACAACCGCGACCATCTAACCTTCCCCTTCCTCAACCTTCTCTGCAATAGCGACTCCTCCCCTAGCCATTGTCCACAACAAAGGCTCTTCAAAGTGGAACAATCATGAACCCACCCAGCAACTCCCACAGGTACAGCCTGCTTGATTCTAGGGATGCGAACGACCCTACAACGCCTCTAGATCAGGCAGGCAACCGCCAAGTCAACCGGGATGAGTGTCCAAGACTTTCCCAACTTCATCCACAACGAGCGCTGTCCCGACTTTCTCAGCTTGTTGACAACGAACCCAACGGACGTCCGAATATTTCCTCGTCTCAGATGTCGCCAGACCGCACCCGGCGTTCCATCGACCAACGTCAGTTGAGGCGTTCCTTCCCTGTTGATGATGATGACGGCATTCAAGAGCAATCACGTCGCCACAAGAGGCAGCGCCTCGACCACGCCCATGACGAGTCACTGGCTGGCCCCAGTCACCGGCCTGAGGCGGCAGGACAGTTCTCAGAATCTCTTACCTTCAATCATACTCGGACTCAGTTTCCAAACAGAAGCGTTCCGCGTGGAAACACGTCGACCGAAGAACGCGTCCTGCAGTGGATGCGCAACGGTGATCAGCATCCTTTCCATCCACGCTCACACAATCGCCCTCCTCAACCACAGGCCCACAACGAAGACATCGTTGATGAAAATGACGAGATTGAGATAGTTGGCTGGCGAAATTCTCCTCTTGTCTGTTGCGAGAGACACGCCAGGCGGCCCGAACCCATGTCAAGCACAACTACTCGGCGGATTGGCCGAGTTCGATTCTCACTTCCTTCTCCAAGCCCGCCTCCGGCCCCGCCCGGCCCCGCCCTCCGATCGGCAGGCCCTCAAGCCGTTGATGTTCAATCTTCCCGTGATCGACTTGGGGTCGAAGATCGCGCTCCGGCTGTTCTCGGGGCTTCTCAGCCTCCGGCGGAGCAAGCTGCTGCGCCTCTGGGCCAGCCATCCCGGACCGGAGATCAGAACTCTGAGGATGTCTACTTCTCCTCGATCATGAGCATCACGCAATCCCTGTCCACTTTGGAACAAGGTCTTCAGACACCATGGATTCAAGAAGGCATAAAAATCCACGAAAAGTTGCGCCTGTGGCTCACACGTTTTATTGAGCGACCAAATGCGTCTTACATGCCCAGAACCCGAAACTGCAATTGCGGAAATGATGTTTCCAAGAAATATTATTTCACCGAATGCCACCACGTGAGCCACCCCGCATCCAGCATTTGGAATGCCCACTAACACATATTTGACCCGACAGATGGCGTGCGAAACCCACATACGTAAGTCTGGACGCTGCTGCGATCGGGATCAGAGCGTGATTCTCTGCTACCCGCCCGAGAGAAACGAGTGCCCCATCTGCGAGGACAGCAACCGAGTGCTGATCTTCAGCTGCGGTAAGTAGTCGACCAAGACTTCTACCACCGGGTCTTTTCTGATACTGATGCTCTTTCTCAGGCCATACGATGTGCCGTTCATGCCACACCCGACTCCCTATTGGCAAACTATGCCCCCATTGCCGGGCGGACATCTCGTTCGGTCCCCTTGCCAGATTCCATGGTGTGTAAGACATTGAGAAAACAATGGTGCATGAATGATTGCCAAAAGGTCGGACAGAAGGTTCCCTGGTTCCATCGCAAGTGCCTCTATACGTTCGTGGGGAACGAAGGAAACGTGCGCGTTGCATCGAGAGGGCATTTCTAGTAGTACAGACCCATATCTCGATGCTAAGTAGAGGAAGGAGTAATCCGACTTTTGGCATTTTGGCTTTACCCAGGTCACAACCGTTACTCAAGCCTATGAAAGGCTTCCACGAATTTCGGCTTCATGAGAGTGGCTAGACAAAACAAAAGAAAATTTGGCTCGTGAGTCTCAGAAATCCAATGAAGCAGCAGACAATGCAGTTCTGCCGCAACTGGGCGCGCAGAATTAGGGAATTGAAGACGGTCTTTTTTCGAAGGGAGGGATAAAGAGCGGCGGATACGACATTCCCGGCGGCTGGATCGGCTTTACGTCCGTTCATTGTCCGGATAATATGGGGCCGCGCCGGAATCCGTTCATGGTACCCCGCTGCCTCCACATGACAGGTTCCCCCACATTGACCGGCGACGTGGAAAATGGCAAGGAGCCGATACCCCACATGTAAGATAGCTACGGTGAGGCAAGGAACCCTGTGGATTGGATGAGAATGAAGGTGCCATGAAGATAATTTTGGAAAATTCTGCTCCAACCTTTGCAGAGGCAGTCCGTATGAGCGGCTGCCCCTGAATGTCGGCATTTTGAATGTGGGGTGAGATGACAAAGTCGCAGCAACCGATGCTGTATCCGAGCTTCATGGCTTAGCTCTTAACTAACAACTCATCTGTCCGATTTGAAGAAGGAAGGAAAACTACTCTGAAATTTCCATGTCTTGATATTTCTGTCTCCCAAACTTCCCCTGTCGATAAAAAGATGGCTGGACAGCAAACCTCAAGTTTGGTGCTGCGATGCGGCGTGCCCGAGTACGAAGAAAATCGACAGCGTTATTTCAACAGAGACGACACAAGCAGATACCCCGCAGAAATTCATATGGTATATTCCTGCCATGATGTTGCTACAGCTCTGCAGAGAGCGCGTGATCTCAACGTCTCAGTAGGCGTCCGATCAGGCGGTCACCTGCCATCAAAACCCTCGTTGGTTGACGGCGGGGTCCTCATCGACACCACTCACTTGAATCACGAAGTCAAGTACGATCCTAGCAGCCACGAGGTCAGCTTTGGACCAGCGGTCCGAGTATATGAGGCCTGGAAAGCGACCGATGCCGTCGACAGATTCTTCCCTTTTGGGCACGCACCCGACGTGGCACTCGGCGGGTTTTGCCTCGCCGGTGGCCAAGGGCTCTTCATGCGCGGATGGGGTGCCACAATCACGGACTGGATCGTGAGACTAGAAATAGTCGTGCCTGACGGGCGGACTTTGATGGCAAGTCGACAAGAAAATCCCGATCTTTTCTGGGCTGCCCGTGGTGGAGGACAGGCGTTCTTCGGTGTTGTAACTCGACTTTGGAGTCGCACTATCCCTAAAAGGCAGCTCTTCTGGAGGTCGTTCACCTTTCACATCGGAGATCATTTTGAGAATCTACTCACATTCGCCTTCGAACGAAATAAAACGACACCAAAGAAGTTCACCGAAACCGCTGTCTGCGTTATGCACCCGAAGCTCTTCGACGACTCCGCGGATGAGGTGCTTTCTGAGTCCTCAGAGCTGATACTGATCGTCAATGTTCTGGCCTACGCCGATCACCTGAGTGAGGCCACGGATATGCTCCGCTGTTGGGATCCGGTGCCGGATGAGATTCGCAGCAGTCTTATTGAAGCCAAAGCTACCAGCCCGGTTAGCTGGGATGAGTTCTTTAAGCTTCAGCGCCAAATCAATCCTGAAGCACCAGATCAGAAATGGGGTATTCACAGCATTCTCAACGACCCATCAGTACCCCTCGAAAAGGTAAGAGCAAGCAACCAAGTTTACTGGGAGAAAGAACAGAATTCTAACCGTGAACTTTTCAAGTTAATATCAGCAATCAAACCAGCAATGTGCGAACTACCCACAAGATCCTCTTTTGGTTGCATATACATGAGCGATACCCTTAACCCTGACGAACGCGACGCTGTCTTCAGCCTGCCTCAGCAGTATTACATCTCAACCTTCACGGGGTGGAAGGATCCCTCGCTAGTTCACAGTATTCAAGAAAACATGAAGAGAACGTATGGCAAGGCTTCCACCATTGCTTGTGGGATGTACATCGCCGACTATGATCAGTCATCCGATTCTCTGCACTCCCCAGAGGTACGCGAAGGAACCTTTCCAGCAAGCCTGTCAACCCATGCTAACAACTTCGGGTCCAGATAAGAGTCTGGACGGACTCTGCAAGGGCCCGATTCATGGATATTCGAGAGCAATGGGATCCAGAGAGCTTGTTTTCTGGTTACAAAGCATTTGGCATTTCTCAGAGCACGAAAACAGCCCCCTTTCACATCGGGCGCAAATAGTACCTTCAAGATCATCTAGAAAGAAGCCTCGAGAATATTAGTACCATTGCCAAGCTAAAACGCCTCACCGTCAACATGAAAGTAGGCATGACTGTTCAATTCATATGCACGTTTGTGTCGTTCAATCATCAAATACAAAATAGGAAGCCTATGCTAAGTATGCTTCCGATGCAAAATCAGCGAAGATTGATTTTGGAAAAGTACGGGGGCTGACGAGGGCAATTTCTCACAGTAATTGAGGTTTTCTTGGGCGTCTATTTGGCTAAGACATCGAAAAGGGCTAAAACGACCGACCGATCGAAGCGGCGCCCTAAACATTCAGCTGAGGCTGATTGTTTCTAGCGTCGCATAACGGTCAGTTCGCAGGCGTTGTGCAACTCTCCCATCTATCTCATTGAACGTTTCATATCATGAAATCCGTTCCACAGCCACTCACCGGTCACAGTTTGACTCTAAATCTAGACGCATATGGAAGCTCTGCAGTGCTCAGAGGCCACATGAAATGGCTTACAACCGCCTGTCTCTGGAGAGGCTTGGGTGGCGCTATCACGGCCGGTAGCGAGCTGCTGATTTTGGGATTTTGTATTTTCAGCTAGGTATTAAGGGGCCGAGCTGTTATCTTTCTGTCTGTTCGTTGGTCTCCGTGCTTGGCTCTATATTATCTACGATCTGCTGCATCTACTTACGCGTCTTCACCTACCATTCTTCTTCTTCTTCTTCTTCTACTTTCCCACTTTGGAACTGACGCACGTAGAGCCTCACCCGCTCTGTAAACTGCAGCCATGTATTTCCTGTCTTTGTTTGTTTTCTTCGCAATCTTTCAAGACACACTCGCGCTGTCTCGCTGGTTAACGCCAATCCCCGACTCCCCACCGTCCGAAGATTTCAGTCTGAACCCTGTGTATGAGATTGGGCAACAGATCACTCTCGAATGGGAAACAGAAGTCAACAATGTTGATATAGCTCTCTGGTCTGACAGAAAAGATAGCAAGGGAAACAACTATATTTACACAATCAAGTGTATGTAACCGCCTTTTGGCACCGGGAAGCCAAGAAGATCTTACCATTTTCAACGAAAACATCGCGACAAAGCTAACTCTTTGCTCTCTTCCTCAGCAAACTGGAGCAGCTCAACCTTAACATGGAGAGTCAGTTTGGGAGACATCTCTCCTGAGGCGCTCCAACCTCCAGTGTTTGTTCTGACCTTGTGGCATACGGGTATCAACCTTGTCATCGCGTCTTCCCATCACATCAACATTACGCAAGCGTCAGCGCGATCGTCGATATCCGCAACTGACAGCCCGACCTCGACGCAAACATTGTCACCGGCAACATCTACAGCCTCAAGTTCAACGATCAGCTCATCTTCATCGTCTCCCATCCCAACTGATCCATCGGCACAAAACTCTACCGCAGGCCTTGGTTCGGGCGCCGTTGCAGGCGTGGCCATTGGGGCAACCCTGGGCACAGCTCTCATATTGGGCATCATCGGATTCATGCTGTGGAAGAAATCTCAGAATAAGAACAACACCCGAGTATCTGTCGTGGCAAACCCTACCATGCCGCCACAGCCACCCCCGACACACGACTGGAGGACATCAGAGCTGCCCACGAAGTATTCGGTCGATCCTACCATTCTGCAAGATCCACCTCCGGCGGACTGGAGAAAATCAGAGCTGCCGGTCAACTACTCAGTCGAGACTACAATCCCAAAAGATCCACCTCCTTCTGACTGGGGGAGATCAGAGCTGCCGAATAACTATTCGGACCCAAACCAAGCTTTCGAGCTTGGAGTGGGAAGGTAACAATACAGCGCCTGAGGTACACGAATGTAACTTGAGAGGGTGCACACAGTGGGAGTCAAGTCGGAAAGGTGGTCGCTTGTAGTGCTGTTGCTTCATTATTATGACATTCTTCATGGTTGTGTACGGCTCTTTTTGGTTCGTGGCGGAAAATGACACAGGTAGGTTGAGTAAAGAGCTGCCAGTTTCTGTATAAGTAATCACGTTCAAGAGAGCGGAGAGAACGATAATTTATAAGCTAAGATTTTGCGGAGCATTTACAGAAACGTCGTAGATATCCTGCCAGGTTTCTTCAATGATGAAGGTCTGGATCGCTGCATGACGATAGTTATGTCAGCTTCGAAGCTCGTGGGGAGAAACAGCGGACCTTCGGTCCAACCTGCTGTTTATTACGTCGCTTGCAGTCGTTTAGCTTAATTCACCGGCGAATCCACTGAATTGATAGTATTGCCGCGTCACCAATTCCAACAGGCTCAGCTTAACTGGAAGTTGGCTACGTAATAGTAGAATTTGATTCCTTCTGCGTTACTGTCATACCGAGAATGCTGGTGCAAAGGGTAAAATCCACCAAAGAACATCATGATCATTGCATGAACGTTTTGAGGAAGCATTCGTCATCCAACGCTGCCACATGAACCCAGGTCTCCTTGGCACGCTTAACAGGATTCAAGAAATGGAGGTTCACAATAAGGGACAGGAACAAGTCATTGTGGTACCACTTCTATTAAGGCCTACTAAATGGCCAATGCAATACTATGTTCATCGCACCAAAACTAAATACAGGAGAAGATTGTCTTTTCAAAGGAGCGATCAGCTGTGTGTTCGCGTCCTTCGAGGCTGAGGTTGCCCAGAGTGCGCCGCAGAAAGCGACTGAGGATGTCAGGGAGAAATGACCCCAAACGCCTGCGGGTAGCAAATACCTCCTCAGGCCTGAGCATGAGCCATCCCTCAACGGCATCGAACCGTTTATCGGAAGTTGCCAGAGCCGTTGCAGCGAGACAGAGGGATGGATCTCTGCTTCTTGATGCAAGCGGTGATAGCGCCGGCAACCCAGGTGACGCCCTCGTAGGCACCCTCTTCGTGGGAGTCGGCAATGAAGGTACCGGTCTGGCGGAGGCTACCAACACAGCCCTGGAAGGTGCGGCCGTACTTGCGGTTGGTCCAGGGGCGGGTGATGACAACACCAGTCTCGCCGTTGTCGACAGTGCCACGGATGAGGTAACCCTGGGTGGTGGTCCAGGTGCGAGAGTAGTTGATGCCGAAGCTGGACTTGAGGCGGTCCTTGATGAGGCCAAGATCGATACCGGCGCTAACCTGGACGCTGTTGGCAATGGCGTAGGACTTGGAGATGGTGATGTCGATGCCGTTCTTGCCGGCGCCGATGACGACGGGGGACATCTGCACGTCCCAGTCGACGAAGCGCTGAGTGCGGTCGACAACAGTCTGGTAGTTGCTGTTGCAGTCACGCTTGCCAAGGCCGATCTCAGTGGTGTTGACAGGGAGCTCAGTAAGAGCCTCGCCAGCCTTGAGCCACTCAGTGTCGAGCTCGGGGGCCTCGGACTCGATCTTCATGGTCTTGAGGAGGAGATCCCAAGTGTCCTGAGTGATGATCTGGGCTAATAGGAAAAAGATGAAAAGTCAGCGCAAATCCCATATCAGGATGGGAACAAAGACTTACAGCGACCCTCTCCGAAGACGATGAGCTCGCCGTTGCGGAGATCACGATCGACGGTGTCGGTGACGTTGGTAGCGACATCGCGGTCGACGAGGGGCGCGGCGCTGACTGCAGCAGCGGCGGCCGAAAGGAGGGCAATGATGCGGACGGAAACCATTTTGAACAGAAGAGACCGAATGTGTTGGACACGAGAGATGAGTGAGCGAATGGATGAGGATGAGAGTGATGAAGAAAGAACGCCAAGTAGTGGGATTTTAGACGCACTTTATAGACATTTTTTCCCAACAGCATCACGACTTGATGTTTCTCGCACGACATATTCCTCTCACTTACAAAATCGGTAATATCTCACGTCGACAGACCCTCGTTGTTGCGGTTGAGTTCATCCGAAAGTCTGGTGTTGTTGCAAGCATACCCCTACAAGCATCTTCCCACAAATGCGTTCGGGCCTGAACCTTGTTGGTTGAAGTGGGACGACATGAGTAGATTTCAGATCCCTTCCTGGTAGAATCAGGGGCCGATCTTCTCCAAGTCTTTGCGCCCGTCCCGCAAACCCGCCTTGAGTGTTGTCTTCATTCTTCGGCAGGGCAAAGATCAGCCTCGTGTTCATTACTGTGGCACCGGCCTCATGTGTTGATTAGCTTCTTTCTCAATTGAGTTTAGGTGCCCCGTAGGGCACGACTCAGAAGTCGTCACGAGCGCCGCATGAGGGCCTGTTATCCAACGTGCAATAGACAACCGTTGGATTTCCAACAAGATAACATACCTTTTCGTGTAAAAGCGGCACCGACATTGCCGAATCCTAAGGCCTCATGAACGAGTAATGCGATTCAATAGCCGGTATCCAATAGATTGAGCACGCCTCGATGAGGAAAAGAGAGGAGGCAGAGAGATTACGAGATAACATTATCTTGATGCTCCGTTGAAGAGGTATTCCATCCCTTGAGACTTGGAGAGGCCAGACGTATTTCAACCCCCATCTGATCCGTCTTGCTCGACTCGATCTACCCACTGATCAACCTTCCCGTCCGTCAATCTCTCTTCCAGTCTCTACACTCTCTCTTCACATTGAACTTTCCACGTTGCAGCCCCAGCTTCAAGATGCAGATCTCCACGCTCGCCACCCTCGCGGCTCTGACCGCTGTGTATGTCGTGCCCCAGCCCCATGTTTGACTCCTTCTGTCACGAGGCTGACAAACGGTTCAGCGCCGTCGCTAAGCTGCACAACGCCGCTGTTTGTGTCAATGCCCGCAAGTACGGCAGCACTGGCAATGGAACCCCTTGGGGTCTTGGTTACGGTTCCTACAAGGACTACGAGATCGCCGTCGACGCCACCAAGTGCGCATGCACCATGTACAAGAACCGCAACACCGGCAACAAGCAGTGGGACAAGTGCCCCGATTGCACCTTCGTACGTTCCTCGCCCTGCATCAAATTTTAGCTGAGTGCTCAAACTAACTTTCATCAGGACGGTCTCCAGTGCACCTCTGGTGCCTGGCACATTGGTGGTGACGAGGTAAATCTACCATTCTGTTTGAGCTGTGCGAAGAAGTTGATGCTAACGGTGTCTCGTCTTAGATGACCTACTACTGCGAGAAGAAGTGCGGTGCACAGGGCGCTGAGGCCAACTGATTGGGAATTGATGGAAGCCGGGAGGCATTGGCAAAGGTTCTAATGGAAGCAAACATGAGTAGTTTGCATGCACTTCAGATGTAGATATTTGAATTTTACTGTACTTATTTTGAATGCTGTCAACACATACTTACATTCTCAAATGAATTTGTGTTTACTCATACACCTTATTCCGTTTCTTAATTTGACTTTTGCTCCCGCACAGGCCCAATTCTAACTGCCGCCACGGGAAGCGAAAGCCAAAATTTAATGCCGCGCAAACTCACTTATGGGTTCTATTTCAACTTCATCACGGACTGTCCTACACTCTGTTCCGTTCTGTTCTGGTGACTTTTGGCTCAACCTCAGACTTGGTTGTTATGATCATTCATTCTTAGATGAGCGTCTCTGGCATGGTCGTCAGACTTTTGTCCGATGGCCCCCAAGGAGCTTGCATGGTAATACCACCCAACGTTGCATACATATCCCACAGCCAAGACCGGCCACTTCAGCCCAGAACTTCCTCGGGAGCTCCCAGTGTTGTGGGCCTTCAGACTTCGGATGACAACTCATGACAAGGTCCGATTGTCAGACGCACGTGTCAATCTCAAGACCATCCTCACATCACAGTTCAATGGGCCTTCGGTTTTCGATTGACCGACCTGAGCAGCATTAGACTCATGATTCAGCGAGGAATATGCCGGATTCTGCCCAATGAACTTGAGAATCTTTCAGAAATGGAAAGATATTCAAGAGCGCACTAGTCATGCATCGCCCAGCGGGGCATCGTTGCCCGGGACAGGGTTTGTGGGTATGTACATTTCTCATTCCTTACAGGGCTTGGGTTGAGAGAATGAGACCATATGAGCCCAAATAAGTTTCCAGGCATACCCCAACTGAGTTTATTCAGAAATTAGACTAGTTCGCTGGGGTGCATTCGCCCTGCCGTCAGACCCTACCCGATCTAAGGTATCTACCAGAAGCTAGCCATCCGCTGCGGCGGTACGCCCTCTAAGGCTACCAGCGCAGTGGTGGCAGAGCAGGGAACCAGGTGTGAACTGAGATTTTCGAGTCACAACACTAGTGGAAGCGTCGGTACGCAAATAGATGTTCTAGACCAACTCATGACAGCAACTCAAGGTTCACAGTCCATGATACAAACCCCAGCAGTCATCATATTGTGATGGACTATCAAGATAAGCTTAATATGCCAAGTCCTTATTGGACCAACATTCCAAGGTCGCACTCGCACTGCTGGCAGCCAGCCGAAAGCTTGTGCTTCTTCGGCCTCACCGAATATGCTGGTGTGCTTTGATCGAGTATTGTCGGGATGAGGAATTAAGCACATTTGTTGGTTTCGGATTGAGAGACAATAGGAACTCAGGGCCCCAGACGGAAAACACCCGCCAAGTCTGTCTGGGGTTTTGACAGCTCGTCCTCGGGGAACCTGGCAATCATTTGGCTCATCTTCATTTCCTCCACCAATTAGCTTCAAGGCTTGCAGTCAGTCCCCACCGTCACCAAGTAGGCGCATCCTGGTAAGAGACAACATCTTGAGCTCATTTATTTACGAGGTACCCCGATTCGGTATGCTCACAGAAGTTCCAAAGAACGCTCGGGCTTTGCCGAGTCATCCAGTGTTCCAATTTGCAATTATTCATTCCCCTACCACAATCTCGCATCGTTGTTTCATGTCAACAACTCCTCATTCAGCGTGTTGCACATCGTTGCTGTTATTGGCTCACACCTTCGAAGTCTAGATTCTCTTATTAGGTGGGTGATCTGGAGATGAACCGCCCCCATGGGATCATGCTGGAAATCCCCTCTTCTTCGACGAGTTCGAGTCCGGGTATCTCCCCGAACAGCCTCTTTGGACCCCACGATACCTCCAATACTCTGACGGGTCGCTCTCTCTTCTTCATGGTCTAGACTAGCTTTGTGAGTCGTGAAGCAGAAGGCTTCGTGGGCCTAGACCGAGAGATCAAAGCCAAATGACCATTGACCAGCGATCAAAAGATCGGGGTTGTCGGGAACTTGGTCTTTGCCCATTTTGTCGTCAGAGCTCGCAGGGAAGCCATGTGTCCGTGCCTTGACTGGGAACCTGGCTTGGCAACAGACTTCGACTTCATGGTAAGTTAGAGATAGGCTCTCACTCAACGGCTTTTGAAGTGTACGTAAAGTATCCGCTGGGTTGTGTTTTTTGAACTGAGGATCAGAAACATTGATAGGCAAGACTAAGTCCAGATTAGACGTATGATCAACTCAGTTCTCAATTCTTAAAGACAGATCCCGTGTGGACGTGAGAATGAATTCTGGCAGGTCTGTAAAGAGTAGTCAGCGCTTGGCTGGCATGTTGATAGTGTGGAACTCACCTTGTTGGCATCGCCCATCACGAATAAGACCCTGGCCAGTGGCCCGACCTTTCCGTCGCCAGAACCTAAATCGTTCTGATTTGCTCACGCCCCTTTTAAGAAGCGGTGAGAAAAGAGGCATCTAAGACACGTGGGAACTTTCCCGAAGCTTCACCCAAGGATCAGTAAGGAGACCAATACGATGTTTTGAGAGGTAGCAGTTGTACCCAATTCGACAGATGATGCTACTCTGTTGACTTTGCCAACTGCGTATCTGACTCGGGATTGGAAGCTTTGGAACAGATGATTACCGTATGCCTCACGGCTAGTAGACTACTAGAAAGCTCCACTGGTCTAAACCCCTTACGTTCAGTTAAAAATCACCCTGAGCCGCCCAGATATGCAGCTTCAACAGTCCGCTTTGCTCCGAGATCATGACTCAGCCGCAGTTCTTGCATCCCATAGCACTTTGCACCTGCCATGTCTGGTCCTTCGGGGGCCGACTGGGCCTCTTTCCGTGGCCGTGCACCAGCAAAGCCCGAGCCACAAACGTCGAACAACAAATGATTTACCGTAAATCACTTACGCCTAGGCAGCGAGTGGATTTGGAGCGCCCGCTGAAGCCGAATCCGATTCTATGGTCACTGCGGCTTTCTGCTCCTGCGAGCTGTGACTGGCGAATATTTCATTCCGCCGAGCCTCATCATCTCCATGTCAGGCACATGGGATTATCACAGTTGCATTGGAGTGATGAGTCAAGACGCCAGCCTCCGAGAATGGGAAGATCGACTGTGTCCCTTTCCATGAATCACGTGCCTCATTACTTGGTTTGAAGTCATGGCGAGAAAATACGCGGTATGATAGTGCTTTGCTTCCAACGTTGGTACAGTCCGGTGATCGCCATCGAGCAAGGGTCACAATGGCGCTTTCATGCTACCAATTAGCAGGGTATGAATTCCCAACCAGAACTCTAAACATGATCCCAGTTGACTGCGATAACGATGCAGTCAGAAGTATGACAGACGTTATTCAGAAGAAATCAAATGGTTATCACTTTATCCCATTCCTACAACAGAACCCCCTCAGTCCGAATGGAACTGCGAAGAAAACCAAAACAGAGAGCCAAGTTGAATTTGGTGTTGAAGAACCGCTACAAGTTGAGAGTGAAAGTAAAATCTGATTGCAGAATATCTGCCCCGCGCTCTACGACTTGAGGAATAGGGAAAAGATGGTATCGCGTTGTGAGCTGGTCTCAGTATGATGCGCATAACGAGTTCTCTGCTTTTCCTTCAACTTTTACCGCTACGATTCCTCTAATGTCATGCATATTCATCCATTTTAAGACATTTCAGAATACCGGCGTGACAATAGTCCGTATCGGCTCAAGAATCGCGGGCTCCGTGTTGGATTTCGCTACCTCCGGTCCATCCGGTGGGGCGACCCGGAGCTGGACCCACCCCGATGCATGTTCCCCGATCGCTCCGGGTCTACTGCCGGCGACGCCCGGCATTTCTCTCGGCAGACGCCGATAGATCCACCAAAAAACATTGAGATTGAAGGGAGTGAAAGGGCGAAAGACCTTTGTTTGTGATTTAACACGCTTTTCTAACGTAGCTATTCTCCAATGACGCAAAATTAAAAAACATTGATTTATATTGACTCTATTGACCTGGTGATCGCGGTTTCTAGTGTTTGTACTTGTTGGTCTCGGTGGCATCTCTGTCTCCCAATGTCTGCCAAAAGTATTTTTGACCGACGAAGATGAAGACCGGTGACGAAACACTGGTGATGACGACGCTGGCGTCAATGATGCTGTGCCACCAGTAAGCACATTACCGGATCTGGAGAAGCAATTCTTTCCGCAAGAGTATGTTGAATGAATGAAGACAGTTTTTTAATGATCAATGGTAGTTTCAGTGGAAACCAAACCAAGGCAAACCTCAATCTGTATTATTATATATTTCTTTTAAGTGTGGATATCACTTCAGGCGTTTTATATACATTGTTCGATGTGGCACATAGCGAAACCATCCGGTAGCTAGGTGCCGACAGCCTGAGTTATGTTCTTGTAGCGAGCATCCAAGAAGCAAATATTCTACCTTCCAAACTCCAGTCCCGATGCTCAGAAAGGCAGGTACGGCTTGCCATCCGACTCATCTCCCACTCCGCAGTCGAAACACCCCGCAGCGTAGGTGCTAAGAGAAGGTCTTGTCCTGGTGATTGACTTCGACTGTGTCCACGGAGGATTCGCGCTTCGAGGAACGATCGACGAGGGGCTTCAGGCCTGGAAGAGCGACGACCGTGATGGCAAGGGTCATCTCGAGGATACTCATCGGGTCTATTGAGAGTTTGTCAGGCTCTGGCTAAATATTTTCAACTTCAAGATAGAAGACGATGATGAACAACTTACAGACGAGGTTTTCCTGTCCAGTTCCCATCTTCAAAGTGACGAAACGGACAATAGTGGTGAAGATCGTTAGGGTACCGAGGACGAAGGTAAGGGTCAAGCCCTTGGACCGCGGTAGAACGCCTTGGATCAGGAGGACGAGGGGAAGGACGTAAACTGTAGAAGTAACGGTCAGCAAATCAAAATAAACGAACATTCGTGTGAACTAGACGTCATACCAGCAAGGTAGCAGGCCAAGTTGAGCGTGAAGTTGAGGATAAACGGCTCAGGCGCGTAGAAGACGCTGCACGCGCCGTCCTCCTGAGACCACTGCACGGAAACGTCCTTGCCACAGAAAAAGGTGTCATCCCAAAGAATGGCCATGTACGAAAGGCAGACAAAGGCAGTGATGCCCCACAGAGCCTTACGCATGCCCGGGCTGGTGTCGGCGGGGAAGTAAGCCCAGTAGAAAGCCAACATGCTCATCTTCGGGAAACCCATTCCGACATCGTAGAAGTAGTTGGAGGCGAACGAAATCTTAGATCACAGTCAGTTGCGTACGAAATGATGAGTCGAGAGGGTCAATGGTACCTTAGACAGAGCAACAGACGGAGCCCAGTCGTCCATGACACCGAGTTGAAAAGTCAAGGTATCGCAGATGATGAGACCGAGAGCGTTGACAGCAGAGAGGATGAGGAGCCAGTCTGACACGGCCAACTTCTCGCGCAGACGGAAGAGGCGAGTGTAGACGCGAAGGGCGACAAACACGTAGGAAACCGCCAGCAGAATCCATTCGGATATCTTGTCAAGTTATCAGAAGAGCGGTTCAGCTGTACTGCGGGTTAGGCAAAGGAACTTACCATACAATCCTTTCCGTCGATGAAGTACGCCATGTTGACTGATGAGCGACTGAGCAGAACGTAGAACAGGTATGAGACACGATTAACGCTACTATCACGGAAAGAAAGCGGATGGGACTGCAAATCAATATAACAATGGGCGGCACGGAGGAAAATGTCTGCTCTCCGTGGAAGTCGGGCACATCCGTGGGGATGCCACGCATGGAGGATTGTCTATTGGACCGGGATCAATCCGATTCACTCTCGACTTGATGCATCAAGGACTCGGCCAGGCCAACGAAGCAGCAAGGAAACGGTGGAGACTGGGCGGGTTGAATCGACCGTTAGGACCGTTGCGGACAGTATCTCGCCAGCATCGACAAGCGAACCAGCGAGCCCGCAGCATCTGCACGAAAGAGCGCCACCAACTGGTGCATAAATCAGCCCAGGACCCTTTTTTATTTCTTATTCTTCCTTTTTGCCCCTCTCATGTGTCAGAACATGGTTGTTGGTTTCTAATGTCTGTCGGCCAACGGGTTGTGGTAACATTGCCCAATCTCGCCCATGCAGCCGCGCCGCAGATCCGCAGATACGCGGTCGAACCGACTCCAGATTAGGCATCGTCTCCCACTCCGGGCCGCTTCTTAATTGGCCGTTCGGTCCCGCTCCGTTCGGTCCGGCGGGCCCGGACGATTACCACATGTTATGGCTTCAAAAGTCTGGCACTTTTTCGTCGCATGTTGGCCCAGTGCATGTTGGTTCTGGTTCTCAAGTGTGTTGAATGGCCAGTCTGTTGAGTCCAGCTTTTGCAGTCTCCACTCATTCAAACAAATTATTTTGTACCCAGTACTTGCAGGCTTTTCTGCAAGTTGGAAATTCTCATCATGCCACCCAGAGCCCTTGAGTAACTAGCTAGTATCTAGGCCCTCCTTGATCTCCGTCCTCGCCTGCGTTCTCGCGCCGCTGATAGGTCACGCTCACGCGTTCCGACTTGTAAATCACATCCGATCGTTTGAGGGTGTTGAGTTCCACTTCGCTTCCAGATTCGTTCTCGGCAGCCACCCGCGTGGTTGCCATGTAAGGGTCCCTCCCCGATGAAAGTTTGAAGTGGCTGGACGGGGTTGGGTGCTTGCTGTACCCCAGCCCGGCGGAACCCGACTGGGCAGTTCCGTACTTCGAAGTACTGAGCCCGCGGCGATGGAGAAGTGACTTGAGTGCAGGCAGTGATACCACCAAGATTGCAGCCGTGACCTCGGTCATGGACAGCACGTCTGAGAGCTTGTCAGACTTGACATTCATGATTGAATTAGGGAGATGAAGAGACTCACAAACATTAGTCCACGCTTTGATGGACTCGACAGTGGCAAATCTTCCAACACTCGCCCCAATGGTGATGATGCCTGTGGAAAAGGTGGCAATGAGACCAACGATGTATCTTCTGCTCAGCTGTAGGCCATGAAGAAGAGGAAATGGGATAGCGAAGACTACGTGGGTGTTAGTGAAAGTGTCAACGAACCCATTCACATGAGCTAGGATACTGACTCAAAATGTCTGAAATGAAATTCAAAACCCAGTCGATGCGGAAAACATCTTTCGAATCGAACGTGCTACATGAGCCATCGATATCCCAGTTAACGGACACATTTGGTCCACACCAAAAAGTATCCAGAAAGCAGGTTGTGACGGCGAAAGTCACGGTGAGAGCGGTGACTCCATACAGCGTCTTTCGTAGTAGTGGCATTGTCTTCGGAATCAACTTGAAATAGAAGGCCAGCATGGCAAGCTTTGGGATGTAGATGCCGGTGTCGTAGAAGTAGTTGCCCGCAAAAGACACCTTCATCAGCCTGATCTGGTCCTCCAATGGCGGCTCTGGTGCCTCAGGGTCGTACTCGTCCATTCCGCCCAGGTTGTACGCCATAGTGTCGGTTGCGAAGAGGGCAATCGCATCGAACAGGGACAAGATGAGGATCCAATCGCTGATGGTAAGGTTCTGACGCTGTCGAAGAAGTCGAAGAGACAGTCGAGCGAGGACGAAGGCAATAGCTAGAGCCAAAAGCGCGCCCTCGATGGGCTGGCCCGTGTTGCTCGTTAGCAGGCAAACAATGTAGCAAACATGCAGATCGCCTGCTGCATGCTGCGGTTAGGGCTGACTCACCACAACGGCTTCCTTTGCGACGCCCGCCATGTTGTGCGGTGTTGGAGATGAAGGAGTGTCGGCGTCGTTTTCGGGACAGAATGGGATCAATCTCACATGCAATTCACTGAACAATGGGAAGTGGAAGAAAAGGTATATATGGATTAGAAGAAGCGAGCAAAAGCAAGTCCTCACATACTCTAGTCCATCAGAACCGACGCAGCCTCTAGCCACCCGGAAACGGAAGCCGAAAATCGTCAGCAGAACTACGGAGTTCCTGCAAAGTAGGCCTTTAGGCATCACACCAGCCGCATCTGAGTTTGTGAATGTCATTTACTGTCTCAGTCAAGTCGGTGCAGAAATGCAGGTACGGATACTTCTGTCCCGGGGACAACGCCGGCGTGCCTCCAAGCGAAGGGCATACAGGGACCGATGATGCAAGGAGGAGGCGATTGGCCATCCTTCCGTGATGAATGGTTCTCTGTACTTTGCAGAATGAGTGTTGAGATTGGGCCGACAGGCTTTTAGAGGTGAGATTAGTCAAGGTCGCGAAATGAAGATGAAGAATGGGCCGTGGTGAAGACGCCCATGGGGCAGCATCACGCAATGCCCCAACCGCACATGGGGTGATGGGCCCAAACCAGACTCAAAACACTGGGGCCGATGCAGATATGCCTCACAGACAATGCGAGTCCGGCTGGGATCTTGATGGGGTTTGCAGGGCGGAGGATTCGCCATTTTGGTATGATTCTTGCGAGCCTCAGTCTTTACTTGAGGGTACTTTTGAATTTTGATCACTGACTGGTATTGATTCTGCATGTCCAAGTTTCTACGCTTTTCTCTCCGAAGCAACAGTATTCTTGCTTCCGAAGCTGACCTCGCTTTCATTTCTGGAACTTCGCCATGTTTACCAACCATCATAGACTGCAATCTCTAGGGTATCATTGTAAAGTGTCATTGTGTCCATGAACGGGTGTTCGCTTAGAGCACCTCTGCTGGCAGGCTCTGGGAGGCATGCGATCTCGGCCGATTCGCCGATTTAGCGGCGGATGATGTGGGTTTGAAAACCTTGTCCTTGTCGTGGAATTCGACAAGGAACAAGTCGGATTGCCCGGCTGAAGAGAGAGCGAGTTGTCGGCAGTGTTGTAAGCGTCTTGTAAGCAGCCATCCGTGGATCCGTCCTGCCGTCTCACCGGGATCTGCACAGCACATCCAGAGTTGGACAACTTGGACGCAGTTAAATTGGCCAAGCCGTGCGGGATGGCGGCGGTTAAATGCGGGTCGAAGGCACGGACGAGAGGCTCCACTATAAGGCTCCAGGGGTGCAGGTTTTCATTTTTCGTATTGCTTTCTTTTTGGTTTCGTCGGTTACAAGAAGAGTGAAGCAGAAGAGGTCCTCGAGTCGACTGTGGGGGGCATGATAAGAGCCTGACATTGGCGGGAAAAGTCGTCCCTGGGCTGTTGTTGATCATCCATGTCGCCCTACCAGAACCCCTCAACTGGCAACAGAGCAACTAGGCATTCGCATAAGACTCAAACTTGAATACGTGGTTTCACACCTACGCAGTACCAGAGCAGCTCTGAGGATGTCCCGAGCAGCCAACATGCTTGATTACCTGTCCAAGTGCATAAGATGTGGAATCACCGTCTCCGCGGCCCGGCCGAACGTGAAGTCCGGCGACGGCCCCGGAGCCCACACCGTCTGGTGGCCTGTGCACCAGTATCCACTAAACAGAATCGAGACCGGGTTCGATCGGGGGTCCCGCCGATTCGAGCGGAGTGTTCCGGTTCCCCAATCATTGCCATTCATTGTGCAACCTGGCGTCGCCCTGTCTATGTACGATAAGATCGGGTTTGACATTGGAAATACCGGGTTCAAGCCTTTGTAGAGCATTGCTTCGGTGCGGTTAACGGCCGAAAACAAGATAGTGTGGTAGACAGTTTGCTCCAAGCACACGTGCAAGTTCTCACCGCCGAATATAATGATCAATTCATGATGTAAAGAAAGAGCTCAGTGAGTAAAATGCTGTTAGTGGCAAGACGGGCAGATGTAGGCGGTCGCTGAATGCCTAAAAGAGAAGGGGAACGGAGGGCGTCAGGTTCAAGACCAGTAGACGACGAATATTCAAGCCAGGTGAAACGCTGTTGATGATATATAAGGCAATGTAAAGAAGATACAACAAGTAAGCCTCTTTGCTACTTCATGCCGTAGATTTCAAATCTATAGCTATTACTATCGTAGTTGCTTTCTTCACTCGTGGAGAGCTTCTGTTTGTTTGGACGTAGGCGCACAAAAGCCATGTCTAGCTAGCAGTGAGATAAACCCCTTCAATGCGACGAGATCAGAATGAGATCTAATCTAGCCCAGATCTACAGTAAACGCCAATGCTACCCAACAACACAGACTACATATCCGGCCAAGTAAACGCAACGACATCCGAAGTCCATCCGACGCGATAGCAACTGCCCTCTTGTTAACCTCAAGACGAGTAATTCATCAACTCACCAAGCCTACATTAGACCATGAAGGAACCCAAGCAATCCCATCTCCCGAAAACCCGACCTCTCGGATGGGATCGCCCTCACACCCACCTCCCCCTCAAACCTTCCATCACGGCCCCCAAGAAAAAGCTTGTCCCTTTACCAAGTTGGTCTCATCTCTGGTAATGACCTCACCAAACCACCAGGGTGAACCCCTTTTCGCCCGAGCTTCCCCTCACCATAAGCTTTCCCGACTATCCAAAAGGTGCTCTGGCCAGAATGAGAGCATGGACAGACAGGTAAGCTCTGGTAGCTCGCACACGAGCTTTGGCTTCAGTTTTTCCCTCCCTTCCCCGCCCATTCCCATCTCCCGATCCATGGAATCACGGAGAAAGCTTCTACTCAAAGTATAAGGAGCTTTCTGTGTCGCCCCCTCCTCACACAGCTCTCTCGACATCCTCTGACTGCTCTTCCAAATCTTACTGATTTCCTCAATATCGAACCCCGAAACAACCCTCAGCAACAAATGCACAACAACAAATGACAAAATGGCACCGATAAGGTCTCTCCTCATCAACCTGGTCATCTTCTGCATGGGCGCTTTTGCCCTCGCCATACCGGTCCCGGTCCCGATCCCCAAAGACAACAAAATGATCACCGAGCCCGTCGACCTGGGCCGCAAGACGGGCAAGATCGGCGTCGACAACGTCGACCTCAGCAGACTCCGCGTCGACCCCGTCAAGGTCGAGCTCCACAACCGGGAAGAGAATGTCGAGGGGTCGCCGGTTATGGAGCACGAGATCATGAGGCCGTCTCCGTATTTCCAGGAGCCCGCCGCCGAGCAACGCGACCCGGTCGTTGAAAAGAGAGACATGCCGCACCTCGTCGACATGATGGCGAGGAGCGAGCAAGAAGCGCAAGAGGCCCAGGCGCATGCGGAGGCGGAGGAGGACGGGGCACCGGGTGTGAAGTACATCCCCCGCTGGCGACCCGAGTACAATGCCGGGTATCATTGGCTGGAAGGGGCCTGATCTGTCTTGCAGTTAACGCCGCACGACTCGAGCGAGCGAGCGATGTGACCGAACGGATGTCGAAATCGTTGGAATCGATCGAGGAACAAGCAGGCACCGGGGAGTAATGTCGTCGAGAAGTGTTGAAGAAGGCCCGCAATTGGCTTGCTTACGGAGACCGATAATTAAGATGGTGACCAGAGACGAGGGAATTGCGAGAAAAGCGTCAGGTGGGAGGGGTCGACTGGGTTCCAGAATGGACATTGCGATCCTACGAAGAAATGAGTAGTTGGAATGAGATACCACATGTTTCAAGCACCATATGAACTACCATCAACGTGACTGCTGTCCACTTTTTGATCGTTATCTTCATGAATTAAAAGTACACTCGCGCCCTGGGGGCTATACAGACGAGGTCGACAAGGAACTGAAAATCCATAACTCATACAGACAAAAACATGTCTGCTCCCAATTGCAGGCCGGACTGAGGTATGGGTATGCATCCGACGCCAATGATATGCAACTTAGAACAACCAACGGGACCTCCCGACCGTGACCATCATGACACCCCGACCCATCCACCTTCATTTTCACGTGATATCCGACAGAACCTCCGATGCGGGGTTCGTGGCCAGCTCAAGGGCGAGCGAATCCTTGTTTCGCCTGCCAGATGTTAGTGACTGTGAAGAGGAGAGAGGCAATGGAAGACTGACCTTCATCTGTTCGATCCTGGCTTTGAGCTGGCTAGTTACTTCAGCGGCACGCTTCCAGCTCTCCACGCCATTGCTTCCTGAACTGTGACCGCCGCCGGTGGTGGCGGCGCTGCCTGAGTACTGTGGCGGGGGAGGTGGCAGTTCATCAACGGGTGTTGCACCGGAGCTGCGATAGCCTCTGGCCGGGCTGCCACGACCAGACGAGGCGCTGCCGGTGTACCTGAGTTCGGGACTGAGCGCCTTTGAGCGAGGATAGTGGTGGTCTCCGTTCTCCTTCTCCTCAGACAGGTTGCTGGCGTAACTAACGCGGTTATGTCTGGAAGAGGAAGTGCCATACGAGTTGTCGCGGTAGATGCCTACATCGTCGTGCGTAGGAGAGGCAACGCCTGTATGATGTTAGCGCCTGGGCGGGATGATGCAAAGAACATGGTCTTACCTGGGCTGACCATTCCTTGTCTAGAGTTGAGACCTTCGGCATGGTTGAGCGCTCTCTTGAGTCTATCAAGCTCACGTCTCAAACGATCATTAGTCTGTTCAGCCGCTTCGGCGTCGCTTCTTGCGCGGACAAGCTGCGTCTCCTTGGCCTTGATGCTGAGAACGTCACGGGTGTGGTCCTCAATGAGGCTGGCATTTTGGTTCTTGAGCTCTTGAATCTCGGACATGTACTTGCTCCTCTCATGTCTCATCTCGTCGACTTGGCGGGTGAGACGCTCATTCGATGCTCGCAGCTCCTCAAGTTCGGCCTGCTCCATTGCGGTAAGGCCACTTGATGGCGGGGGGGAAGCGGGGGGCATTTGAACGGGAGCAGCGGGTTTGGCAAGGGAGCGTCCGGCCAGGCCGCCGCGACCCAGGCCAAGGCGGGGCTGAGGCGGAGGAGGGGCAGGTTCGTCATCTTCGGGCATGACGGGGCGGCGAGGGGAGGCAGCAGCCGGGGCGGCAGCTGGTGCACCGAGTGGTCGCTTGGACTTGAGTCCCGCAAGGCCGGATGGTTTCGGCATGCCGAGCTTACCAGCAGCGGGCTTCGGGCGAGAAGTGGCTTGGGGAGAGAGGGGCTCGGGGTCGGCGGGAGGAGTCGCGCTGGCTGTAGTAGGGGGCATCACAGGTCTCTTTACGCCGGCCGGTTTCTTGCCTCCAAGAACCTTTTTAGGCGGAGGTGCCTTTGCTGCTGGCGGGGGCGGCTTGGGCTTCTCCTTGGCCTTGACCTCGGCCGTATCATAGAACTCCTTGATCTTGGTCTTGCGAATATCGTCGAGGCCCTCCATGTACGGGTTCATGGCTCGTTCGCCGATGATCTTCATAACGGTTCCCAGAATTTCGGCACCTCCTGAACGCAGGCCTTCGCTGGACTCGGCCAATAGCTTCTTGCCAAATTCGACGATGGAGGCGATTTCGGGCTTGCTGGGAACATCGCGGGTGGTTCTGAGACAGCGAATCAGGAACTTCATGGTGCCTTCCTTCACCTGAGGGTTCTTGTGGACGAGGAAGGCTGTGATGTCCTCCAGACACTCGGTCAGGCTCGTAGCCTGGAAGACTTGGTCCAACGCAGCACCAAGGGCATCCTGTACCGTCGCCTTCTTCTCCTTCAAGCGCTCCATGATGGGCTGCATGACGACAGTGCGGTACTTGCCGTAGCCTTTCCTCAACCCCTTGGCAAGGACCTCGATACACTGGGCAGCCTGGGTAACGACTGCGACGTTGGCATCCTTCATGGACTTGGCAAGACCGCGGTTGATTTCGTTGAAGTCGCCGTCCTTGATCCTGGGGACGTTGATGGCCGCATACAGGGCCTCGAGAGCCTCCTTTCTCTCCTTCCACTTTGACGAGGCCAGAGCTTCAGAGAAGTTGGCAGGAATCTTGCTGAAGACGTCTTGTGGTTCCGCCAGATCATAAGCGTCCATCTCGGCGGGCTCTTCCGCGTAATCACCACCCTCTTCCTCCTCTCCCTCGGCCCCCGGAGGCGGCGCGCGGGCCATGGCGGCCTGTTGTGAGCGCAAGAAGCGTTCTTGCTTGGGGGCAGGTTCGGACTTGATCTTCTCGAATTGGGCCTCGAGGTCGGTCTGCTGTGTCGGTTTGAGGTCGCCCCAAAACATGGGCTTCATGGCTTCGCGCAGCCACCGGTAGAACTCGACGGCGAGGTTTGTCGCGCCGGCACGAACATTCTTGTCGGCGTGGCCAAAGGCCTTCGGGAGGACCTTGAGGACGGGCTTGGGGTCGACCGTCTTGCAGCCATAGTTGTGGTAGATGGCAGTCAGGGCGTTGAGGGCCGCTGCGACAACTTTCGGTTGCTTGTTGGAGAGCGCGGGGATTATTTCCTCAATGACGGGAGCGGAGACGTCGAGCTCGACGAGCAGCAGGAGGGCTTCTAGTGACGAGTCCTTGGCGGCGGCACGTGTGGATGGCAGGCCTTTTTCGCAAATGGGACCGATTGTGACTCCGCGCGTCCTCGTGGAGTGTTCCTTGCCGCCGAACTTGAGAAAGGCGCAGTATGCGGCGAGACCTTCTTGCTGAGCGGCGACGTTTGAGTCTGCGACAGCGCCCTTCCACAGGCCCGAGTCGGAGAGGAACGGTCTGAAGGCATTGTCGTGTTCGTCGGCGGTGGCGGCGAAGGCCTTGGCGGCGTCTTCGTAGGCCTGCTTGCGAACTTTCCAAACCTGGAGCGCGTCAGCAACTATGGCGCAAAGCGACGAGGCGCGCGTATGGTCCTACCTTGTGGACAAATCTGTCCGAGAGGGGGAGGGAGCTAAAGTCCTCCTCTTCAGCCATCGGAACGGAGGGCTGTTGGCAGGGCTGTAAGGGTCGTCGATGAGATGTTGTAGGGAGAGGCGGGGGGCTCGGATCGAGGAGAGGGTTCTCCTTGTCGTGGAGATGTGATTTTCCGAGGCTGGCTACTCTTCTGATTAGCTTGGATAGGGAACGGGTATGTTTAATTCGACGATTCATGTTGCAAACGGTACCGGGCAGGAGGGCGGCATGCAGATGGCCGGCGGCGGCAACGGTAGGAGTGTCTGATGTGGAGGGGAGAGGCATGACTTACAATATGGCAGTCAAACCGGAGCTGGGCCAGATCAAGATCAGGTGGTGAGGTTGTCGCGGCAGCAAGAGAATTGCCGGGGTCGTCGAGTCAATGGAGGGGTATGTTTGGAAGCAAGGTACTGAAAGGTACAGAGCAAAGCAAGTAGATTGCTGTTGGAGATGCTCCTGTCTGCAGAGGAGCGGGCAGCAGCAGTGACTGCAGAAGTGACAATAGCAAGAGTAGGTGGAGGAGGGTAAGGTGAGGTATGGAAAACAGACGGGACGGTATGTGCGATTGGCAAAAAGGTATGTGCGGGATGTTCGCGGAGAAACAAAGGGTCAAAGATGCAGCTAAAAGAGGTCCAGAGCTAAAAGCAGCTCCCGTTCTCCCGAGACGAGGCGGGCGCGGACTGTTGCAGTTGCAATGCAGGTGAAGGTGCAAAAATCGACGTCAGTCCAATGCGGCTGCGGCTGTCAGGTCTGTGAGGGAATGGGCAGGATAGAATCCAATTGTGTGGAATGTGCCGGGGGGTAGGTAAGGTGCTGTTTTCTTTTGTTTTTCTCTGAGGCACTGGGGAATTTTTGGTTGTCGGGACAAGGAAAGAAGGGACCCAACCCAGGCCACCCACCTGCTTTGTGTCTGCACCTGTGTTCTTGGTGCTTGGATGGGGTTCACATCACAGCGCCCAGGCCACTGAGAAGCCTGAGCCTGGGAGCTGCACCGGGCAGTCACAGGTGTGAGGTGGGCAGCATTGGGCATGGTCGGTGCAGTGGGTCTTAGCCGGGCATAATCGAGGTTTCATTGGCTGATTTGCTGCAGTGTGGGGTAAGCCTAGATGGGTCATGGTTGGGCATGATTGGGTCCTGCTTGGAAGAGTAAACAAGATCACATGATAGAGATATCTGCCAATAGATAGCTGTTGATAACATGAGTGGATGCCCTTGACCTCTCACCTCACCTTGGGCCTCACCTTGAACCCTTTTTTGGCAGTAGTTCTCAGGACGTGTCCAGCCCAAACCATGGCTGGGCTAGCCCTGACGTCGAATATTAATTAATTCTTTCCTTTTACTCCGTACACTATCTGCAAATACTCGATGCCCGCTCATTCTTGCATTAATGGCCGTTGTAAGCCTCCTTTTGATATCCACTCTCAACGTAATAAATCATGGCATAAGAGAGTGACCTCAGAGCTGTGGCTGAGTGACAATTGTCGACCACACTACCTTACCTCCAATATTGGTGCCGTCTCATTTCGCAGTGTTGAGCCAAACGTGCAACTATTCTGAGATGAAGGTGCCGGAATCTGTACTACGCCGATAGCTGCAGCTGTCTGTTGATGCATCCATTGGCAATGTCCAATCAGCGGCTATTACAGTAAACCATTGCTACAGAAACAGCTATCCGAGTGATGTCACACCAGATCCCGCTGGCAAGACCTGTTGATTGAGCACCTCACTCGAATTCCAGTTTGGATCCAATCTTTTCGGCCGCCAATCTGATGGAAGCCACACTCCCGTCCCGTCACAGGTTCTTCAATCTCCAGGCTCCGGCTTGAAGACTTTGGAGCCACATTCCCCCTCCTCCAATGAGGCTCACATGGAAATTTCCCCAGGGCCCCTGTGGAGGGGTCCGTCTCTTTGTTTGGGGTCACCGCTCTGCCATCTGCCGACATTACTTACTGCATTACTGCCCGCCACTGCGTACCACTTCTCGCCGGGCCGTCAGACCGCGACACCGCGACCAGCACCACCCAACACATGCACCTGCCGCAGTGGAGGGCTCCTCCAACTTTCTTCAAGCATCGGAAAGCACATGAAACATTCCATTTCGCCGCCCACCTCCAGTATCCGGGCCGTAGTGCGAATACCTTACCTACCTTACCTCTGGGCTGTCTCCGTCACATTATCACCCCTCGTTTCTGGAGTTCCATTGCATCGTCACCCCCAAATGCGATAGAAAGACACGACGCCAGAGAGACAGACATGCTTCCCACCGCCTGGGCACCCAACCCCTAACAATATACCTTCCATCTGGTCTATCTACCTTACCTACCTGGTAGTAGCACTGTCACCCAACCCAATAAGACCAGCTCAACATCCCTGAACCGTCACCGACTCGTCCTCGTCTCCGTCTCCGCCGACACCGCCTTTCAACTTTAAACTGCCACTTGGCCCGGTCGGCCCCGACCTCCCCTCTGCCTTTTTCGCTGCAGCAAAATTCCCCGACCGACGCGGCGAGGCTGTCATTCTCAAGACTACCCCCGGGACTGTCTGGCCCATCAATCGACAGCAGCCTTGCAGATTTTGCCCTGTCGCCTGCTACCCGGTCTCAGTCGCGCATCACCCTCGCATCGCAGGTTGCCGCGACACCGCCGGACGAAGCCCCGAGCACCATTTCTGCCTGCCTTACCAAACGACAATTGATCCGACTCGACTCGCTGCCGCCTGTCGTCTGCCATTGTGCGCGTCGCTGCAGCTTCGCGACTATCTAAACAAATCTCCGGCTTCTCTGTTGATTCTCCTTCCTCGACCAAGACACCGCCATGAGCCAAATCTTGACCTCCCGGCAGGCTGAAGAGCTGTTCGTACCGTCCTCCTCACCAACAAACTGGACACATACTTACCAGAGTCAAATAGGCACAAGGCCATTATCGCGTACCTCTCCTCAAGCAACCTCCCGAATGCCGCCAACGCCCTGAGGGAGGAGCTGCAGATCGGCGAGGCCTTCGACGCCGCAACTTCCAAGAAATACGAGGGTCTCCTGGAGAAGAAATGGACCAGTGTCGTGAGGCTACAAAAAAAGGTGCGCACCTGTCGTTTGCCTCGATTCCCTACGGTGACCCGACTGACTTGGGCCTAGATAATGGAACTAGAGTCCCGAACTGCCTCCTTGCAATCAGAAATCGACAACGCGACGCCGACCTCTCTGTCTCGACGAAATCAAGATCCTGCCAGCTGGCTTCCACGTTCTCCTGCTCGACACACCCTCCAATCCCACCGAGACCCCATCACTTGCGTCGCCTTCCATCCCGTCTTCTCGTCTCTGGCGTCGGGGTCGGAAGACTACACCATCAAAATCTGGGACTGGGAACTGGGCGAGCTGGAGAGAACTATCAAGGGTCATACCAAAGCCGTGCTGGATGTCGATTTTGGAGGTCCCCGGGGTGCCACGTTGCTGGCTTCTTGTTCCAGCGACTTGACGATTAAGCTTTGGGACCCTTCAGACGAGTACAAAAACATCCGAACGTTGCCCGGGCATGATCATAGTGTCAGTGCGGTCAGGTTTATTCCATCGGGAGCTGCAGGCGCTGGGAGCTCAGGAAATCTCCTCGTTTCCGCCAGTCGCGACAAAACGCTGCGCATCTGGGACGTTTCCACCGGGTACTGCGTCAAGACACTAAGGGGACACGCCGATTGGGTTCGCGATGTTTGCCCTTCGCCCGACGGGCGTTTCCTCCTCTCGGCCGGGAACGATCAAACTGGACGTCTCTGGGATATCAGCGCTGCCAATCCCGAGGTGAAGCTGATGCTCGTCGGTCACGAGCACGTCGTCGAATGTTGCACGCTCGCACCACCTGCCGCTTACTCCCACCTGGCTACTCTCGCGGGCCTGAAGAAGCCACCACCGGCGACCAGCTCGGCCGAATTTATGGCGACAGGCAGTCGAGACAAGGCCATTCGTCTCTGGGACGCCAGAGGGAATTGCATCAAGACACTGACTGGCCACGACAACTGGGTACGCGCTCTCGTGTTCCACCCCGGCGGCAAATACCTCCTCAGTGTATCCGACGATAAGACATTACGATGCTGGGATCTCGCACAGGAAGGCAAGTGCGTCAAGGTACTTGACGACGTACATGGGCACTTTGTCTCATGCTTGCGATGGGCGCCAGGTATTGTCCGCGAGGCGGTCACCAACGGTGATGGACAGAACGGCGCCAACGGAACCCCGAGCAAGACGGCGGCAAAGCCAGCAGAAGTATCAATCCGATGTGTTATTGCGACAGGCAGTGTCGATCTGAACGTCCGCATTTTCGCCAACTGAAGCGCGGCCGACCAAGCACAGAGTACTTCAGGAAAGAGACCAGCAAGACGTCCTGCGTCGCGGTTAGAGATGCAGGATGTCAACCCGTCATACCTTACCTACAATGACGGGCAGTAAATTTGAAGGCGTAACGATTCACACGAGGCAATGGGCATACGGAGGCAGGCGTAAAGGGGTCAAAAGTACGGCGTACCATCTACCGATTACGTGGGCCTTCGCTGATGACATAGATTTTAGGGGAGCTTGTACATAATCGAATAGATACCCGCAACATGTCCTCGCTGGGCTTTCAATTCTGGTTGCAGTCCGTCATGGCGACAGCCATCATGCATATGATGTGAGGTCAATCCAAGCTGAGGGCTCTATGATTGTGTTTTGATTTCGCCCGATCAAATTTGCGACGGTCGAAGTGGCGTCGCCGAGCAACGACGCCAAGCCTATTCTTCAGTCTTCACAACTTTCCCGACTCTGTGAGTCGACGCATACAGGATCTGGCGGCAGGCATTGTACTTCAATGTAGGATTTTTAAGAAAACCGAGACGGCCGAGAAGACAAGCTCCAACAACAAGCGAAATAAGTTTCTACCGTGATATGAAAAGGGTATCCTAGGCGCCTCGCGTAATAATCATACTCATCGACGCATCGCAATGCTCCTCGCTTTCTGTGCCCCTGCGAGTTGCGTAACTCCGACCACCGCCACAAAGCTTGACTCCCGATACCGAAAATCTCCGAGTCAGCTCGCCATATCCAACATCAGCCGTTGTACGCACCATGCCAATGGACCTCGGTGCGTCCGCTGCGATGGTACGTTGCAAGTGGGATACCACACTGTCGATCGTCAATGTTAGCCCTCGTCGTTTACACCTCCGCCACCACAAACCCGAGAGCGAAAGGTGAAACGTCGACAAACATACCTTCGAACACTTGTGCCTCGCGTCCTTCAACGAGGTGAAAAAGTACGGGATACACCCCAGACAGCTGACGAAACACACAATCGCGGCCAGCGAGTGCGTGAAGCCACCTGAGGTGTACTCGACGGCAGTGACGCCGCGCGCGCGACACTCGGGGCACTCGATGGGCGCCGGGTGCGGGCCGAGAGCCGGCAGCGGCGTACCGTAGGGGGCGAAGTTCTGCGGTCCGCCGCCGACCGGTTGCTGCTGCTGGTAGTTGTAGTTGTTGTTGTGATCGGGAGGGCTGCCGTATTTCGGCGCCTCGTAGCCCTGCTGCTGCGGAGGGTTCTCGCCCGGAGGGTAGGCGGGCGGCGGGCCGGATGGGGAGATGTAGTCCGGGTTTCGGTTCGGGTCGGTGGCCGGGTGCGGGCCTGGGGTTTGGGGTGTTGGTTTATCCATGGCTTCTGCTGTAGCTTGATTTGTTTGGTTGTTCCTCTTCTTGCAGATGATTTAGAAGAGGTGATGATGTGGGTGGGCGGTGATAGATATGTGCGTAAAGGGAAGTTCGAAGTCGCCGGAAGCGAAGGCGAGAGTTTACCGTTACTTATATCAAAAGCCTGACTGCGTGGCACTGCTCATTCACCGATCCAATAGGCAAAGCAAGCGATGGGGGAAGATGCTCCGGCCGCCGATTTAACCTTGCTTTGGTCAGGTCTGCTGTTGCCTGCATACTTTCTGTTCGTACCGAGGACGGCGTTCTTTATCACACGCAGAACATCAGATGAAATACGAAGGGGGAGGTCATGGGAAGTCGCATCTGAAAACGAATACTTGAGTAACGCTACAAGCAGGCGCAGATCAAGCAGGTATACGGCGCGAGGTAGTACCCGCGGCCGACTTGTTTGCGCAGAGCAGATCGCACCTCACCCAACCTGGGCGCAGTCGCACAAGAAAGAGCTCAGCCCAGACCGTGAAGCTATCCGGTACCACCTTGACTTGGCCCTACGCCGGCGGAGGCGATGGCCGGGGAGATGACATGGTCACATGGGTGGACCCTGGAACGCGTATCCATGCTGAGACGGCTCGCCGGGCGGTGCGGTGGCTACCTTGCCAAGCGGGCATATGATATCATGGGCCGGGCGCCGGGCCTTGGGGTCGGGTTTTTTCTTGACCTGCCAGCCTGTCAACTGTCAACGCGAGACCGGGGTGGGACAGATGAGAGGAAGCTTGGAGAAGTGTGGCAATGTTCATGTTCGCCTGGATTTAAGAAAACGATTGGGCAGAGTCGGGGGATGCCCAGTTGGCCGGTGTTCCCCGTCCCGCCGGTCGGTCTCGGAGGGCACAGCCACACTTGGCGACGGAACACCTCATCAGCCACGTTCTCACTCGCCACATTTGAATGATCGCCAAAGTCCAGTTCTTTCTTCTTCACATTTGGTCACATATTGCGATTTGTTCGCGAAATATGATCGTGTCTCATAACACTACGTGATTCAAATGAGATAGAATCGTCTTTCAACTGAGATTATATCGTCAAGTTGGACTCACCTGTGATGAGGTGGCACGTCTCTCACTCGAGTTACATCGAGATTGCCTGCTGCCTTCGATGTTGGATCCTAAAGGATGGATCTTCATCGCAGATGCATAATCATTGCAGGAAGTGTTCTTCCTTTGACTGGCGTCGAAAAGCAAGGATTTTCAGAGTCCCTACTGGAGAGGGATGTTAACCGTTCCCGTCCTTGGTGTTGCCCTTTTGGTGGGTGAGGATGAGATGGTCCGCAGTCTTCTGTCTGCCTCATTAATCACAACACAGAGCCATGAATGTATGATTCCAGTCATGTTTCCGCACAATTTGTGACCAGATTGTGACACAAAGGCTTCAGAAGCACGATAATTGACTAGTCATTATCGACAGTAAACAGCTGACAACCCGAAAGCTCTACCGGAGAAATAGACAATAATTGATACTATGAAATCCTATTCTATTGCGGATGACACCGCTGGTTCTACTTCATTATCCGGGCCAATTGGGATCTTCAAAACGTGGGAGCGATTCTCGCCTGCTCTTGATTTGCGACTAACTTGAACGTCCTCAACGTGCTTGTTGACCTCGTCCGTGGATTATGCATCGACCCGGCCGCCGATAGTCTCGTCATCCGTCCCTTCTCGTCCAGCGACAAGGCCGGTGACGCAGGCGACGAGCCGCCTACGCTCCGCGACTTCAGGTTCAAACGGCTTACCATGCTTTGAATCGCCGTGCTGGGATCAAGCGGCGGCGTGGCCACGGGACTCGGAATGCCGTGGTGCATCATCATTTGATGGTGATGCGAGAGCGACGACATTGACCGCCCTCCATCAGACCCGTTCGTCCCCCTTCTGTTGAGAGTCACTCGGTTCATAGACTCCTCCGCCAGCGATGGCGCGCGCGCACGTGGGAAGCCCTGCTGTATATGCAGCGCGTTCGTTGCCGCCGGCAACCGGCCTCTCGACGGAGACCTACTGGATCCGCGACTCGACGGCGGCGTGGTGACCCCGTGGGATGGGAATTGCGGCTGATTCGCGGCCACCATCTGCTCGAAGCTCATGTTCGGCGGCGGCATCTTGCTTAGCCTTCGCATGGCCCGCATGTTCTTGTCGATGAAAGTCGACATGCGGTTCAGCGCGTTGCTGTTCTGGTGCGATTCGAACGCCGAGGCGCCGTTGACGGGTGCTTCGGTGCGTACCCTGTGCCTCTCGTTGAGCTGCATCGTCTGTGTCACGACTGGCGACGGAACTTGAGGCGCGTTCCGGATCGTCTGCTGAATCTGTGAGAGCACATTGTCGAATTCCACTGTTTCCTGTGCGGGCTTGTATCCTGGAGCGGCGCCGATGACGGTGCTTTGCGTCAACACAAAGAAAGAACCATCGTGGATACGCCTTCTGACGAGGTTCCAGCGCGTACGGGCAGGATTGCGCTCGATTTCGGGCTGATAGATCGAGCAGTGAGCGAGTTTGGAGTAGAAGACCTCCAGCCGCTTCGCCATCCGCTCGAGAATCTGCATGAGGAATTGGCAGAGAGCAGTCACGCGCTGTGAGTCGGAGGAGGCTTCAAGGTTCATGATGGTGTCGAAGGCGTCCATGCCGTGGCACGCCTCTTCGCGGATGTCCTCGAGGAGTTCGATGTCGAGCTGAACGGATTTGTTGGCATAATCCATAATGCCGCGCTCCATGAAGCGTGCGGGCTCCGAGTCGCAGATGAACTGTCCGATGCGAGAAACCTCTTTAGAAGTGGCGACTGCATCGCTGGACGTCTTGGCCCGCGCGATGATGCCGAGGATGTCGGGAAGTTTCGTATCGGCGCCCGGGGAGGCGGCGTTGGCCGTGGTGAAGGAGAGCTTTAAGACGAGCTCCTGGAATTTGGGGCCGAAGAGGGCGGAGAAGCCGCCCTGGAGGAGGCGGGATTGGTATTGGTAGAAGATGCGCACCCCCAGCATGTTGATCAGGCTGCCCTGAAACCAGAGCTTCGAGGATCCGAGAATGTCGTCCATCTCGAACTGCTGGGAGACCAGGGTCTCGACGGTTGTGCGTAGGTAGGCGGACCACATGTCGTAGATACTGCTCAGCTCTTCGCAGTCGTGATATTCTGGCTTGGGCGTGAGATGACCAACAAAGTACTTGGTGAGCAGGCTGGCGACTTCGGGGTTGTTAGTATGCGCCAGATTATCGAAGGACTTTGAGCAGTCCACGCCAGCATTCGACTTGATGATCAGAGTGCCTCCAGGATGCATGGGAGTGAAATCGGTCACGTCGTAGACACTGCCATGGACGCTGATCCACATTCTTCCTCCAGGTCGGTGACCGGTATGCGCAGCCAGCTGGGAGAGCGGGATCGTGGGACGGTTGCAAGGGAGCGGCTTAGGAGTCATGAAGACATCCAACATGATCCTCCGCTCGGCGAAGGCGGTGTTGATGATCAAGTCCGTAGACTCCATCGTCGCTGTGCGGTGGTTGTAGATGGCTTTGCGCAGGCCGTTCATGACGGAATCGAAAACAGCCACCGAGCCACAGATGTACAGATACCCGCCGAGACCACCTTGCTTCTTCGACATGACCAAATCGCATACACTGGCACCTTGCTCGGTAATGAGAGAGTCGATGTATCGCGGTTCGGTCCGGCGCTCGACGAGATCTCTCATGTAAGGATCATAGGCCAGACCCCTGCTGTCGCGGGAGAACGCCAGGTGGACCTCCATGAAGCCCGCGTTGACATAGTGACGCAGTTCATCCTCGTAACAGAACTTTTCGCGGCTTTGAACGCCAAGGAAGAGCATGTTTCTACCGACAGAGCGGCCGGCTCGGGCCTGCCAAAAGCTGCGGAAAGGGGCGATGCCGCTGCCTCCAGAAAAGAATGCACAAGGCGCAGAGGCATCAAGGGGTAGTTGGAAGGCGATGGGGCGGGATATGCCGACCAGGAGCTCGTCCTCGTCTGACACGAAGTCATCTGGGGAGCCGACACGGGGGTTGAGGTAGCCGCTGCTGACGCCGGAGCGGGAGATGGTGGACTTGCCGGCGAAGGTGGCGCAAAGGTCGTACTCGGCGCGAGAAATAGTAAGATCGAGTGTGCTGGGGAGAAGCTCTTCGGGGTAGTTTGAGATGGAATATGTGCGCGGGACTTCAACAGGAATCAAGTCGCTTAGCCAGGGGATGTCGTTGGAGAGATCGAAGGCCTGGTCCCAGATGTGCGTGGGCGTATCCATCACGGCGGCTTGAAGAAGATCGCCGAGGGAACCGCGGACTGGCCACTCGTCCGTGGCCAGCACCTGAAGAACAGTATTGGATGAAGCCCTCAGCATAGCGTGGATCTTAAGGACAAGCTCCTGAGTCAACGGGGCTAAGTGACCCCGTCGAAGAATATCCTTGACCATGAGCTTCTTTGCTTGGGCCTGAGGGCTGGCGACGCCGTGGTTGGAGACGGTGTCGAGGTGCTCGGCGAAGCGAGACCATTTGCGGTCGAGAAGAACGGGTGAATCGAGCATCGTATCGAGGCCGAGAGCCGCGGCGACCTTGGCGCATTCCTCCCAGCTGCTAAGTGGCATGATGGCGAGTCTATCGCCGGGCTGGAAAGTGATGCCGGTGTTGTGAAGGTCGAGGGTGACCATGGCGATGGAGCGCTCTGGATCGGAGTCGATGAACGAGCGTGTCAGGATGCGGGACTTGTAACGACACTCTTCGAAAGTCCCACGCATCTCATGGGGTTCAACCGGGATGTTTCCGCGATACGGTTCCAGGCGTTCCTTCATAGCGTCAGAGAACTGTCGATGAACCTCCTCCCACGGTCTCCCAGAGTCATCGGATGCACCTGAGGCGCCGTTCGTTTCCGTCCGACCAGTCTTGGAAGCAACTTCCAAAATACCAAACACCTTGTATCGATGCGTCCCCATGAACCCACGCTCTCCCGTGTAAGCCTCGATGATCCCGTCCAGCACTCCCATGAGACGGGGATCCCCAGACGCCTTGACATATTCTGGGATACGGTAGTGGTACTCAACAGAGGCGATGAAGGCTCTCAGGTTCGAGGGAAGCCATGCTCTCAAGTGCAATCCTTCGTTTCCGAGGAAAGAGTCATACTTCTTCCGGCCGAGGAAGGCGTCCATAAGAAGATAGGGCGGAAACTGAAGTCCGGACGCAGCTGGGCATCTCTTGGATAGAGGCGCGGAAAACTTTCCCCATCGCACCCATTCGGCAGCCGATACGTAATTGTCGCCAGAGTTCGGGTTGGTCGAGATGGAGTGGAAGGCGTTGGGCATTCGTTCGAGGATCTCCTTCAGTCTGATCATCTCTCGCAGAAGGCCTTCATTATTCCGGTTCATGACGTGTTCCTGGCACGCTGCGATAGCATCAGGGCCATGCTGGAATGACGCTATTCGCATGTTAGTAGATGATACTTCACGTCATTTGACAAAGCTTTACCAACCTGAAGTATCAGCGCAGCCCTTCAAGAAAGCGATCTCGGTGCGCTCTCCAAACATCGGCCACCTCAAGTCCGTGTTGTCGAAGCGTCCGACATAGGGGTAGATGGAAGTCGGATCTCGCACTTTGATGTTGTAAGAAGCCTGATCGAAGAAAGTCAAGTGCGGGATAGCGCGTCCCATGCGTCTGGAAACCTGCCAGTACGGGAGTCCAATAGTCCTCGGGATGCCAACGAGCTCGGGCCCAAGATCGTCACTCATCTCGACGCGGGGCTTCGTGGAGATGGAGTTAATACTGACTCCATCATAACCGTCGTTCTTGTCTTCGTATCGGTAGATGGAGCAAAGCATGCCGAGAGCCACGATGGAGGCCCATAACGCTTGATCAGGGATGTTTTCCTCCGTTCCCTCCACGAGAGGAAGAGCAGCCACAGACTCACGGACACGCCCTCTCGAGACGCAGCCGGGCATGCGCTCGCAGAGGTCGGACCATACGCGTCCTGGGCAGTTGGCGAGGGCACCGGCGGCTTCGTTCGAATCGGGAGGGCAAAAGCCGTATTCTGCGCTGAGATATCCATCCTTCCATCCGGTCTGCTGTCCGATTCCCTCGGCTCGAAGAATGACCTGGCGAGCTGGTGCGCCCAAAGCAACGGCCAAAAGATCCCTGTCGTCTGCAACTAGTGAGTCGACATTTTTGACTTGTGTGATTTGGTCCGCCGAGGGGATGTCTGAGTAGACGATCTCATTGATGGCTTTTCGCTCCCTAGATGTTGTCAGTAACGACGGAGGCGTGATTGTGGCGGTCTTACCTAGCACGAAGCCACTCGTCGACATCTACACCTCGTGGAATCTGTCATGAATCAGTCAAAGCCCAGCTAACCCTTGAAATATCACTCACATCGAAAGCTGCATGGAGGTCTCCAGGCTGCGTATATCCCGAGAATGAACAACCCCTGGGGCCGACTCGTCTGCTCGCCGACTGTCCGCGATTACCGGCGGGACACCTTCCACCGCCGATGGATCCAGACACGGGACACGATCTTTCAGACATGATTATTAGAATAATACTCCAGGGACCTGCCTCTGGTAGAGAGAGCAAGATTAGAAAGCAAAGCCGCCTGGGCAAAAGGTGCAGAAAGTGCCGTCAAGGCAGGGACGAAGAGAAGCACGCAAAGACGCAAAGGAAAGTGTGGAACTCCAATGAATGAGATGACAGCCCTAGAAGACCAACTTCATCCAAGGTTCTTGAAAAGGTGTAGAAGAAGGGACGACGTTGATATGTACAGGAAGGTATCCCAGCTCCAAGATTCAGTCGTTCACCCCCCCGGTCCTTCGGAGCTAGCGCCAACTTGGCAGTACTGGCCCAAACATGGCATCCATGTAGCGCGCAGCGACAGCCTCACGCTAGTGATTAACCGTATTTGAGACGTTGATGAAGTGGTTCTAGACCGGGGGATGATAGTTGCTGCTCCTCGCCGGTGTCAAGAGTCGAAGAGGAGTCCATGTGGCAAGGAAAGAGGGGGTGTGGGAAGTGCCGTGGCGGTCTGGGGAAAAGAAAGAGCGCCACCGCGGTAGATCGAGAACCGTCACGTTGGCATTTGGGAACCAAGCGAAATTGAGCAAAAAGCGCCAATGAGGCTATTCGGGGGCCTAGTCCGTCCCTGGCTCGTGGTCCCCCCTGCTTTGGGACGCGATGAGACGATGCCAAGTGCCGCACAAGGTTGTAAGGGCCTGTGCTGGTGGAGACATGGAAATGGTCTGAACTACAGATGACAGGTCCGTGGCGTTGACGTTGGTGTTGATGGCTTGGGAGCTAAGAGTTGAAATCAGGTGGCGAGTAGTATTCACCGGACGTTTGCTTCGCCCTGCTCAGATACCACATTGGAGATGTCGGGCAGTGGGCGCGTCGAGGCATCTATGTCTTCCCAACACATCTGAATGTTTCTTGTCCGGCAAGAGAGTGAATCTACAAGTCACTCCTTGAAGCTGAAAGGTCACGAAGGTGATGACCGACTGCATCTTACCGCTGGTGGGTTGTGACTTACCATTGGGGGCCAGAGGGGTCTTCTCACGTCTTCGATCCTGATCGTCTGGTTCAGAAATATCCGCGGAGCATCATCGGTCAGATCATAAGAGTCTGATCGCCAGAGAACAACCCCTGGTCACCGTTGATGGTATACTGTATCGCCATACAAGAATAAACATGGACTTCAGCCAGGGAGTAGACGTGCTGCTTCCCGTGCCTCTTCGCCAGCTTTCCGCGGCGGTGGGGTTCACCGCTCAGGATTAGAGCTTCTCGATGTTTTCAAGAAGGCATTCGCCCAAGCCCGCGGAGCTTTGTCCCCAAGTAAAACCATCCGCCGTGGTCGTCGCTGTCTGCTTGACCGGTGGGCCTCGTGGAACCACAACGCTTCCGGAGCATCGTGCTGCCGTGCGGAGAGATCTCGTAGGGGGCCATAATGGATGGAAATCGGACGTTGAGAAGGCGGTGCTCTTCACTCTCGCCGTCAACTGAACATTTTGATTGGGGACATGGAGCTCTGGGGCTCGTCCGAGTCTTCTGTTTTCCGGTCCCCCAGGTTTCACGGCTTTGATTGTTTCAAGATGGTGACGTGGGCTCGAAAGGTACAGGATGAAGAGGATGAACGACTTGAAGACAGTGGTGACAACAGGGGGTAGGAGAAGAACAGGGGGTGATGAAGGGATTGAGGGATTGAGGGATTGAGGCTCCCACTTCCCGAACCTTTTTTGCTTTTAGCTTTCTTTGGCATCTCATCTCTTCACTCCGCCGGGACCGAGACATCTTTACATAATCAAGTTTAATTGGGTGGAAAGATCTACGAGAGCTGGGGTGGTGTTCGTCCATTTTCAGGGGCTCAAACTAAACACTTGCGCCATTGCTTCAGAAGAGGCGCTCGCCATCTTGGCTGACCTCAAGATCCTCGTGGTTGGACAAGCAGACGGGAGGCCACTTGGTAGGTCATTTGTTGTGTGGAAGCTAGTCTGTAGGCTTGCTCTTCTGTCTTTCATTCTCTCTTATGTTGCTGCTCCTCGAAATCAAGCCTGAACGTTAAGCTTACACTCACTCATCCCTGAACGTGCCGATGCACCAGAATGCATCATCCAATAATCACCATCACTCTCTCAGCATCACCATGTTTCCGGCCCCTTTTCGGCGATCACACTGCCAAGGAGTCTTCCGAACTCCAACTGCCGCAGGGAACTTCCCGTCGACGGCCAAGACCCTTCAATCGAACCCCAGCAAGCGCTCGGATGTGTCACTCTTTTCCCGCCTGTCCCTCTGATCAATCTCGTGGTTTTATGCCGCCATGCCCGGCGCAGCTTATTGCAGCTTGGCTCATCCCACACGCACCCATCCACGACCCGCAATCCTGTTTCTCGAAAAGCTTGGTATGCTCAAGGACACATAGTTTCTTTGCTGTTAGGTAACGAGAAAGGCTAGAACCACCGAGCTCAAAGAAAGAGAAGCGCCATGGGTTCGTCGCGGGTGGTCTGCTTGGGGAAAATGTCCGCATGCCCGCCGCCGAAGACAACTGGGATGGGATATGACATGTCGACGAAGTCTGCGCTTTGAGTCGTCTGGGAACATCGCAATGAGGTAATGCCGTCCTCCGCCATCGGAGTCTGGCCGTCGCAGCCAAGGTGCCCTCATCATGGCCACGAAGAATTATCCATTCTGGTTTCCGATGGGCACGACATTGCACGAAGCATTGGAAGCAATGCACTGGTGTTGGTATTTCCTTCATTTGCTACTTGCTCGACAATAGAACGCTTCTGTAAGAGGGTATTGGTGTGTTCTTATTCTATCTATATCCCAGCACCTCGGCCGAGGCCGGCCATGCTTAAATCATGTTCTCCAGGGCCTTCTCGATTGTAGCGTTGCCCCTGTTGAACTCTGCCTCAATCGACCTGAGATGCTTGATATTTTCGGGGAATACACTGTCTCGCCACCATTCAAACCAAGCCGCAATCTCTTCAAAGCTGGCCTCCTCCAGCCTGAGCCATTCACTCAGCCTATCATGCCACAAAGGCATCACCTCGGCGACAATGACCTCGCCCAGCACCTTGGGCGTAAGGATGTCAGACCACTTGAGAACGCCCTCGAGCATAGGCAGGTAGGGCTCCTGGTCGCTCGGGTCGATTCTGAAGTTCTTGCGGAGGTACCGTCCCATCGCTGGCAGCACATGGCTCATTATCAACGGACGCCATTGGTCGCCGAACACCTCGCGCCATTGTTCCAGGCCAGGGATCACGCCGCGATCAAACTCCCATACGTCGATAAGTTGTCTGTACTTTCTGCGCACCTCGGCGACCAATCCAGTGCCTTTGGGATCCAGGTGATACGAAGGCAAGTATTGCAGCCAGGGGAATAGCCATAGGTGGGGGAGCTTGTGGCTCTGGCGCTTCTTCTTCGGGTTCCATTCTGCCACGGCCGTTTCGAGCTTGCGGACGATGCCGTCGAGGAACTGGGCGCGAACAAAGGGAGGCAGCAAGTCGTTCCAGGCTTCAAGCACAGCCAAGAGGGGAGTCGGGTTGAAGACGTCCCAGTCCCGTATGGCCGACATGGCCCGCGTATACCAAAACTTGTACATCATCGTCTCGTACGGTGTTGTCGCCTTCTGGTGTTGGCGGTAGAGGTCGGTGTTGTTCAAGCCTGTAGAATTCCACTTGTCCACACTCTTTTCACCCTCTCCAGACTTCGTTAGCAGTGTCCCCAGCCCCTTCAACTCTGTGGCAAACCGCGTCGGCTGTTCCAACAGATCCCAGTCAGGCTCGCGGAGGAATGGATGGATGGCTGCGACGGCAAGGTCCGCTATCTCTTCCGTGGACGACCCGATCTGCTCAACTGCCTTATTCAGACAGCGAATAACATCTGACCACTCAGTAGCAGCAGGGAGCTCGTGCGTGACAATCTTGGAAAACAGCTGGAGTCTTCCCAGGTCTGTTGCCAGGTCGGCCATCTCCTGTTCCCGCTCTCGAAGCTCGAGGTCGACCCAGGTCTTCCGCTCCTCCAGATTCCTCCATTCCTCGGAAAACGCTGCGAGATCAGCATGCGCCCTCTTCACCAATTTCCGAGCTGCTGCCACTTCAGGCGATTCGACCACCGCAGCGGAGGTGGGCGTCAAGAGTCCAGAGGCGGTGGTCAAGAGTTTGTTGCCGGGACCCGTCATGTCCAGGATGGGGGCGAAAGCCTCGGGGATGTGTAGTCCTGGGGCAGACTTCTTGATCTCCTCCGCGGTCATGTACTTCGGCTTCTGACGCTTCGGGGTGCTGGCACTGCTGTCGCCTGCACTCCCAAGCTTCTTCTTCCTCTCACGTTTCTTCTTCTTTTCCTCCTCGTCCGAGTCAACAACAACCTCGCCTCGGAGTTTCGCTTGCCGTTTTTCTTCCTTTCGCTCGTGTTCTGACTTCTCCTTGACGGCACCCAGACCGATACCTTGAGGTCGCAGATGTGCTTCGATGATCACACTTCGACCTTTGCCGTCCGCGCCGAGACCTTCTCCTTCCTTGTATCCCATCTTTGCCATCATCCTGGCACCAAAAGATTTCGGGTTCGGTTTGCCCTTGGCTCCATTCGCGCCGAAAGCGCTCGGTCGGGCCATCTTGGGCATCGAGGGTGTGTCGGGGAGATCGGGATTCAGGACTGGTGCGTTCGCAGATGAGGGCACGAAGCCTCGACCGAGTGGGTTCTTGCCGTCGAACTTTGTCTTTGCGAAGGGTCGCAAGGGAGCACCGGCTGTGTCTTCGCCGTCACTCTCGTCTTTTGAGGCAGACATGAAGCCTAGGCCGCGCTGTGCACCGCCGAATCCCAGGCCGACTCCTCCGCCCCCATCTTCTTCGTCATCTTCTTCGTCTTCGTCTTCGTCGTCGGAGTACTCCTTGGTGTTCGCCTCGTTTGCGTCTTCTTCGTCTTGGTCGAGTGTCGTTGCGCCGGTCGAGACAAAGTTCATGCCCCTGTCTCGCAGCGTCTTCTTCTTCCATCTTCGATTCGGACCGTCATCTTCGCTGTCGGATGCAAAAATGCCCAAAGCAGCGCGCTCTTTCGTGTCGCCGACGCGCCGGCGTTTGCGCGGGTTGAGGTCGCTGAAATCGTCTTGCGACGGGTCGGCGACTGGCGCGAGGAAGTCGTCATCGTCCTCCTCTTCAGATTCAGAAGAGTAGTGCGCGGCGGTCTTCTTCGTAAGACGTGAAGGGTCGAATGTAGGAAAGCTGGCCATTGTTTTTGCTGCGCATGGAGGCGCAAAATTGCGATGGCTACTGTTTTGGCAGAGAAGACAACCCAGGCACCCTTCTAGAAATGCATCATTCAAAGAAGTATGGACGGCAAGGTACCAACATTTGGAGATTCATGGTGGGTCTCGTCTTATCTTATCTCCACGTGATATCAAAAGCACGGACTCTCCTCAACAACGGCTTGAGGCCTCACCCGACAACACCATGAACCTCAGATGAATAATTCCAAGTGGACAACTTGTCACGGGAAGGTAATTGTATGGGCAAGCGCGAGCCACTGTTTATGAGTTCATCGCCATTTTTCTGCTTGTTTCTCCGGCGCAACTGACACAATCTGTTCCACACGGCGAGCAGCACCCGATCTACCTAAATTTCCGCTGACTTGCTGAGGATAGTACAGCCAAGTCTTCAATTTCTGTCAGAATTCTCTAGACTCGAAACCCGGAAATATTCATGCTATCTTTCATTGCCATCTCATCGGAACGCTAAAGTCTACAAGCCCCGAATGCCAGCTTCCAAGCTCTCCTTATATCCAACCCAACCCTTTTGGCCGTAGTAATCTTTCAAAAGCTGCTCTGCCTTCTTCGCCGGCAGAACTTCAGTCAAATCCCGTCCTTCGTTCTCATCGGGCTCGGGAATATTCTTGTTGTCTGGTCTGAGTGCGCGCAGAGTTTTGAACACATCGGATCTGTTCACCTGCTCGGCAAACCCGAAAAGCCTCTCTGACCCGACGCCGTCTCCCAGCAAAGCGATGGCGTGGAGACGTGCTACGTCCACGACATCGACGAAGTACTGCGGGATGTAATAGTTGAACGGTGCCGGGTTGCCCTTGAGCAGGTCGCGAACCCAGCCCATGGTCGAGCCGTAGATTTCGGGATGCAGGATCTCTCCCCACTAGCAACGGTCAGCTCTGATATCACAGAGAAGCAGAAATAACAGTTGGAGCACGTACGTTGCAGTTGGGTGCGACGGCGCTAAAGACGAAGCCCGGCTTGTTCTCTTCAACCCATTTCCACGCAGCACGCTCCCCTTCGGTCTTGGATGCTGCGTAGATGTAGTATGGCTTCTTTTCCTCCGACAAGTCGGGGTCCCAAGCCGACTTCACGGCAAAGTCGTTCCACGTGTCTGGGCCGCCGTTAGTTTATCAAACTCGAGAGCTTGCCAAGGGGAAGGAGTTCGGAGGCGAGAGCTCACTTTCGTCAACGCGAACGCCAGTCTTGTTGGTCTCGGGGATCAAAACCGCAGAAGATGACGATGTCAGGACCACGCGCTTGATGGCCGGGAACTTGGCCGCGGTAGCCAGTACTGTCTCCGTCGCCTTGATGACCCAGGGGATGACGGCGTTTGGATCCTTTGTGAAGCTCACATCGGAAGCCTTTTTAAAGAGTTAGGCGGCTCGAACTTCCACGCGCGAAATAGAAATGCAGCACTCACCACGTGCGCGACGCCGGAGACTCCGTCAAAAGCCTTGGAGAGCGCTGCCTCATCCTCAAAGTTGGACAAGATGATGGACTCGTAGTTTTCCTTTCCAAACTTGCTCTGGAAGAACTCGTCCAGCCATGGCTTGGCCGAGCGGACTGTGCCGCGGACACGGATGCCCTGCTCGAGGAGGCTATTTGCGACATGAGAGCCAATGTAGCCATTGGCGCCGGTCACGAGAACCACAGAGCCTTTGGGGAGGGCGTTGAGCTTGGCCATGATGCTACTTGGGTATACGATGCTCCTTGTTTAAAGTGTTTGCGATGGAATATGACCTGTGCGGATGCGAGAGGATGAAGCTGAATTGCAAGATCCAGATATTGGACAAGAGCCCGGGACAGTGACCATCTTATATCTGCTGAAACTCATGGTATTACCTTCTCGAACCCAAAACAACAATGGAACGGACGAATTAGTCGACCGCGTAGTGTATTTCCGTAGCCTGCTTCTTCCATCGATACCACCTGCGAGTTGCTGCTAAGTCGGTGGAGTTCATGCAGTAAGAAAAAAGACTGAATGCAAGAAAGGCTGTGGATTACAAACACGGAATCGTAATCCGATTCCCTGTGCATCCGCCATACAGAAGCCAATGTATGGTATCATTCTGTGAGCTCGGGATTTTGCCGTGGTATTCCACGGAATATGGTTCATACAGTGAGTGGCCTTGATGCTGACAAATGACGTATTACGACAGTTGAGATGAAGAACTTGGTAATGTTCGGCGTAATATGTAAGCACGCTCACGCTCGAGACTTGACTCCTGTTTTCTGCGGCTTGAAAGATGGCCTGGCTCGTTGATTGTCTAATTTCTCGAGGGTAGAACCTCATCGTCTGGGCTTGCTGTTCGGTGAAACAAATGGGCGAGGTGAATAAGCTGATATTGGCTAGGGAATGACGCGATACGCATGCATGAGATGTTGGGAACATCCGTCACCGTTATCGAGGGGACTATGAGTTTCCATCGGTTGTGAAGCGGGTGATGAGTGGACGGAGAGTTCTTGGAGATGGTTGCTTGAGATATCGGTATTTGAGATGAGCCACATAGACGCTCAGTCTCATTTCGCGAATTTACACAGAACAGCGTTTCTAGCGGCTTCACGTGCTCACCTTATTTTTAGAGGCGGGCGGGCAGCCACGGCCCACGGGTCGCTTGGGCCATCCGTCGGAGGAAATGTTAGGCGGGTGACATGCGGCACGAGGGAAACTCTGTTTTGGGGAGACAGATGGGGGGGTTTATTTGGGGTTAGAAGCCTACCTAGATTGGCTGGATGACAACGTGGGAGGGTTCTGGTTTTGCAGGGAGGATGGGCAACGTGGCAGGCCAGGGGTCGCAGAAAACACGGTGGGTTGAGGATGCTGATTTGTGGACGTGATTGTGAGTTTGTCCCGACATCACGAGACTCACCAGACAGAGTGTCTGCGAGGACGTTGACAGTCTTGTTGTTGCGTGTTATGCATGCAAAGCAGAGTCGGCAATTGAACAGAGATGAAGTGGCTCACATGCCATCGGCAGCCCAGCAGATAAGCACATGATGGGTGGTCCAACTGGAATGGAGCGAGTGAGAAGTCAGACGGGAGGAGGGGATAAGATTCAGGGAGAACATGAGATGAACAAGGCAGCTGGTCCCTGAGACGAGGGGAGGAAAGTGTTTGGCAAAGAGAAAACGACATAGCAAGATTAAAAACACTGGCGACTGACGACTGCTCGACTCCGGTGGTGTTCTCTTCCCCGGCTTGAGGCATCAAATGCGTAAGTTGACATTTGTTAGTGGTCTTGTACTGAATACCAGCGGCTTAGCTAATGTATCCTGTGGCCGAGATACTCCCGAAAACACCTACCGCCAGATTGCAAGCAGCCGGGCGAGACTACGATATCAAGCCTGATAGCTCAAGGCAGAGTCTCAAGATTTTGATTGTGTCACTGTCACTACGCAACTCGTGAGAAACCACACTTCAGGACGTGTTATAGTAGGAGATGTTACTAGTTTCAATTGAGGATCCAACAAAACCCTTGCCGGCGCAGCACACACACAGTCATGCACAGAACGAAACCAAGATGGAGACGCGAGCAGGAAGGAAGCGAGAAAAAGAGCAAGAAAAGCCAGGCACAGACAGGGTTTGAGGACCAGCCAATCCAGTCACAACTCGACGCGGGTCTTCGGAGTCTGGCGCCCACATGCCCATTTTTTCCAGAGCCTGTATGTACGAAAGGTAGCTACTTGAACTCGTGGAGGGAGGGAGGGGGCGGGGCTTCCACGTTGAATGTGCCTGACGCGAGGCCATTCGCAACTTGAAGATGAGAAAAAGACGCTCTTGACTGATGGCGCACCATCAGTGTGACGAGATAAGAAGAAAGAGAGCAACGTGCACAAAAGCAGCAGAGAGGAAATGGTCTGGTCTCAGCATGAGTTGCTTTTTGTTGTGGTTGCATCAGGGTCTTGGTCTCGGTCTTGGTCTGCGATCGGAATACTACAATGCCAGGCCTCGAATGGACGCGGCCTTGCCCTGTGCCTCGAAAGAATCAAGATCTAGGGAAATAAGGAAGATTTCTAACTGCCGGAACTGATTGAGGCGGCGCCACCATCGTCTACGTCCGTGGTTTCCGTTTGCCTCAATCCAAGTCCAGGTCGGCCATTTTCTTTAGGTGCTGGGCTTTACCCATGCTTACATCATCCACTCGGGGCCAGAGTACATGGTACTTTCAGTTTGGTGTGAATAACGACCTATCCAGAGTACCTCTACAGTAAAGGGTATTTTGGCTCGCCCTCGGGAGCCAATGGAACCGCCCAAGAGCCCAGCTTGAGGCTAGAAGCGAGCGGGAAGCGACGCAACCCAACCGAAGGCACCTTCCTACGACCATTTCATGTACCTGCCTAGGTACCTATTATCTGCTTTCATTTTTAATTCGAGGCAGCTGACGACGAAGAGACCGACAGCTGGCAGAAATCAGACATCACCCGGGCACAAGACCGAAAAAGAAGAGTCGACGAACTTTCGGTCGATCTCGGTTTTCGATTCTCGATTCTCGACTCAAAGTCCAGGGCATCTTGACCCAAACACTGGCGCAAGGCGTCTCCAAAGAATCAACCCAACGCACTGGACGCTCCAAGGCCCCATCACCCATCGCATCTGCCCCCTCCTCGAGTCCCGTCCTCCCCTCCTAGTCCTAGGCCCCGTCGTCGCATTTGGTACCGTGCCGCTGCAGATACGCCAGTCAGTATTCAGTATTCAGTACTCGGTACCTCCACTCGTGCGTCTCGACAGTCAATTCCCCATTCTCGACCTCCGAGGGCTACGACCAGAGAGGCCAGAGGCCAGAGACCACACAGCGACCGATACTCAGCTGAGCAAAGCTGCCCGGACGACTCGAACCCTGGAGCGACAGACCAGCAGACAACCCGACGCCCAGCACGTCAGCCTGACCATCCATCCCAATCCAAGTCCAGCCTGACGTGAGTCCGACGGGAGGTACCTACTAACCTAAGCAAGCACCTGGACACACCGAGGTGCACTGGGCTGGACTCGGAGAGAAGCAGGTAGTCTTACCTAAGGACCCAGGCAACCCGACCTGACTGGACCGATTACCTTACCTCAAACCCGCCGCCGCTGCGCAATTCCAATCTGGACGACATCCCATCCCGTTACCACCTTACCCTGCCCGTCATTTTTGCCCTCCTCTCCTCCCACCGGCGACGACGACCACCGCATCGCACCAAACTTGCGTCTTCAATCCTCGACTCCCGACCCTCGACGGCCCCGGATTGCCTCCCGTCCTCCAGTTCGCCCTCCCCATCGAGCCCTGGAGCGCCTCCGTACGACGCACCTGCGATTACGCATACGCCTTTTCCACTTTTGTACGTACGAATACCCTTGTCCTCCCCGAAGCGCTGCCTCGCATTCACTGCCACGCCGCCGCCGCCGCTGCTGCTGTGGCCCTGCTCCTCGTGTGTCCGAGGTGGTTCGCCTGCTGCTCGACACTTCTCGCAACCTGTCTCCGACAGCGTCCTGCTTCGAGAAAGCCACCTCATCTGTCGTGTGGCTGCTGTGTCGTCTCGTCGGTCGTCGATCGACGGTTCTGCTGCATCGCCAATTTTCCCGCGCCTTTTCCTATTCCTCTTCTCCCCCCTCCATTATCAATCAGCTCCTCTTTTTTTGGCCCCAATGCGCCGGCCCCTCCACTCCGCCGGCGACATCACATCCAATTCACCACCTACCTCACCCATTCATCTTCTTGTTGCCTTCGCCTTTGCCTGCCACCGCTTTCGCACTTCTCTCCGCCTGGGACGTTGCTAATCCTTCTGCCGCCGTTAGCCTATCAGTAATCCAAGCGACCGATACCCCGACGAGCTTCGCATGCATTGAGACACCTGCATAGACGGCATTTGTCCCTCTTTCGACTTCAATCGCCCGTATCGACCTGCCAGAATTTGCTTGTCCGAATAGCTCCCACATCTCGCATGATCAACCGCCGCATCACGTTTCACCCACTACTACTTCCGTTCTGTGTCCATCGTCGCCGCGATCCGTCCGGCGCCGTGACATAGATCGCCCTCCAACACCGCCACCATGTTCTGGCGATTTGGCGGTTACGCCAACATATCCACCATCGACACCATCCTCGAGAAACCAGATTTCACCGTCGAAGACTTGCTCGACGAAAGCGACCTGATCCAAGAGCTCAAACAACACAACACAAAACTCATCGAGTACCTTCGGGAGGATAAGGTTCTCAAGACGCTGCTCGAATATGTCGTCGCCCCGAAATTAGAGCCCGTCGCGACCCCCGAGGTCGAAGAGACCACCACTACCACTGACGAGACCAAGGGAAAGGCTCGGCTGCTACCCTTCTCGAGACCCCGCGCATCCTCGCGAGCCACCGAACCCGAAAATGAAGAGGAGGAACAAGAAAAGAAGCGCAACCGGTACGCCTACGTCGCCGCCGAGGTGCTGTCATCCGATACTTGGTCCATTTACGAGGCGCTCATGGAGAACCTTCCCTTGATCCGCGAGTTCTGGCAATTTCTCAAGCGCCCTACGCCGTTGGACCCTCTCCAGGCGAGCTACTTCACAAAGGTCAACGAGGCGCTGTTCGACAAGAAGACGGAAGAAATGATCATCCTACTCAAGTCCCTCCCGGACGCCGTGCCAGATCTACTGCGCCACGTGGAGTGCCCTATGATCATGGACCTCCTTCTGAAGATCATCGCTCTGGACCGCACCGAAGGCGGTCACGGCGTCGTCGAGGTGAGCATTTCCCAGATTCTACCCACATGCAACCGTGTACTGATGCCGTCTTCGTAGTGGCTGTACTCTCAAGATGTCGTTCCCACCCTTCTCACCTGCCTAAGCCCTGACCACAGCTGGGTTGTCCAAACCGCCGCCGGCGACTTCATTAAGGCCATCATTACGATTTCAGCCAACGCGTCACAGAATGAGCAGCAGTGCATCGGTCCGAACGAGCTCACGCGCCAGTTGGTCTCGCAGCCGTGTGTCGAGCAGCTGATCAAGTACATGCTGGGAGGCGGGAATCCGCTCACGGTTGGTGTCGGCATCGTCATTGAGGTCATTAGGAAAAACAATTCGGATTACGACCCTGACGTAGGCTCGGAGGTGACCTCGGCCCCTTCAAGCAGAGATCCCATCTATCTTGGGACACTACTACGTCTTTTCGCGCAGCACGTGCCTGACTTTGTCAACCTGATCATGCACGTACCTGCGCCCAAAGAGCGTCTGGGGTCGACATTTGGCGAGAAGATCGAGCCTTTGGGATTTGATCGCTTCAAGACTTGCGAGTTAATGGCCGAACTATTGCACTGCAGTAACATGGGCTTGCTCAACGAGGTTGGCTCAGAGGATGTTATCGCGACACGCGACGCCGAGCGCCAACGCCTTAGGACGGAGGGAAAGCTATCTCCTAACCGTGGCGAGGAAGCCCCATCCACCGACGACCTGACCATGCGTATTGGACACTCATCCCCCGAAGAGGGACGCCGGCTGGAAGTTACCAACATCTCCGACGATGATGGTTTCGAGGAAGTGGAGCCGAGCCGCGAGATGAACGAGGATACTTCGCACGAGTTTGTCAAGGCCGAAGAAGAGATTCCTGCTGCCGCGCCGGCATCGTCGTTTTTGGACCGAGATGAGGACGACTTTGTGGACGAACCCCTGAGCTCCCCCAGGCTCAACGTTGCGGACGACAAGATCAAAGAGCAGCGATTTGACGATCCCGACCTGGTCGTTGCGCCACTCTCACCGAGCAAGAACAAACCCGCCCGTGTCGAGGAGACTCCTGTCGCAGCCAAGGCGGAGCCTGAGAAGCCAGCAGACGGCGAAGCCAAGACCGACACACAGGACGTTGAGGAGAAGACAGCACAAATCACGGAGGATTCCAAGGCAGACACCAAGGAAAACGAGGCAGAAGACTCCCCCGCCACAAAGGTTGGAGAACTGTCCTTGGATGAGAAGCCTGACCAAAGCAGTCTCTCCGAGGATTCCAGCCAGAAGGGTGACGAGTCGGATTCCTCTGTGGTCTACACCCCGAGCGCTACCGAATCAGACGCCAAGACGGAGCCTGCGGATGCAGCTTCAGCAGCTCCGGATGCCTCCAAATTCTCCCCGCGTCCGGAGGACATGCCGGCGCCTCTCTTCGCCAAGTCTGCTCCCGCTAAGAGCGAGGTTAAGGAGCTTGAGTCAGATGGCGCGCCAGCCCCGGAAGTCCCCGTGGCTCCTTCAGCCCCAGAGGCACCTGAGGCGCCAGCACCTCCCGGAGCGGAGTCCGGTAGAGACCAGCCACCCCCGGTCCCAGAACGACCCGATCCCAGCACCGTGAAGCCGGTAGTCGGCGATTACCTCAAGCAGCAGTTTGTAGAATACCGCGTTGTTCCCACGATTCTGGTGAGTCCCTAGATCACGGACGGTGAGGACCTCGACTGACACAAACACAGTCCTTTTTCTTCGCCTACCCGTGGAACAACTTTCTCCATAATGTGGTATATGATATCGTTCAGCAGGTCTTCAATGGCCCAATGGACAGGGGCTTCAACCCGACTTTGGCTGTATCACTATTCGAGGCCGCAGACATCACGACGGCCATTATCAACGGTCAGCTCGCTAGCGACGAGTCACAGGCCAAGATCAAGACTCGCATGGGTTACATGGGCCACCTAACTCTGATCGCTGAAGAGGTGGTCAAGTTTACGGAACGACACCCACCCGAGCTGCTGTCGGAGACGGTCCTTGAGCGTGTTATGGACCCGCGATGGATCAACTACGTGGAAGGAGCACTTGCGGAGACCCGCGAGCGTGATAACGCCATTCTCGGAGGAGTTCGCCCCGAGGTCGCCCTTGGGAACCGTGCCGGCATGTCCGGCAACGGCCTTGCGGCCGTCGGCCTGTCTGGTCTTGGATCATCCTTTTCCAACTCGGGAGGAAACACCGGATCGAGTGCCCTCGCCGAGGCCGGCCTAAACGGCAACATGGATCTCCAGGAGAACAGCGGCAACGGCATCGGCCCCTTTGCCATCAGCTCCGGTACTCTCATGTCTGGTTTCGGCAGTTCTAGTGACGAAGAGGACGAAGGCGAAGAAGAGAACGAAGAGGATGTCAACAATGAGGTGAGTAATATGCTCTCAGAGCTCCGTGAGATGGAACCGCCCGCGTTGGACCCCTGGACGCAGTCACTTCTAGACAACCACCCCGATTCGGATGAGGAGAAAGACCGGAAAGATGCGTAGTACGCAGATGATGATTCACGGCCACTTCGCGTTCGGTTCGCTAGAGAGGATCGCTTTCACGGGCTTGGGATTCTAGGCCAAGATGTCGATGATGGCGAAACGGTTCTCGTGTATCGGGGTGGAGACGCAAGGAGCAGAGAGGAACCAGACGAGGAAATGAGCATGATCCGGCCTTCGATCGACATCATGGCTTGGCTTAGACGAAGGTTAAACAGAGATGATGTGGACGAGACAACGGAGGACTAGGTTAGACATGTCAAAGCCCGCGAGGTGTTTGGGCGCGGTTTTCATCATGTACTGGGGCGGCGAGTAGTGTAGGATTACATCCCTCCCCCCGTCCGTACCGGCGTCGATTCCTTGGGATACCAGGCAACTGTTGGACTTTTTATCCATTCGATCTTTTGGGGCCTACGACAATGACTTGCATCTGGGGATTCGTTTTACATGCGCCTTGCCAGGACCGCCCAGCTAATATCGTCTAATAGTTCCGGGCCTACACCGATCCACTGAACAACTCGTCATCGTCTCTTAACCCACCATCCATTCCACCACCTCCGCCTCCTCCGCCGCCGCTGAATATTCCTCCTTCCAGGGCTCGTCTCCAGCTGGCCGCTCGTCTCGCCATGCACCAGAAGAACAATGCCGCCGCGGCGGCGTCGCGCGGGGAAAATGGCGAGGACGGCAACGACGGCAAGACGGAGGAGGGCGAGCAGCTCAAAGACCCCTTCGCGGACGATGAAGAAGATGAAGATGCCGACAGCGACGATGGCGGCGACGAACACCACGGCTCGGGCGCGGCGGCGGCGGTGACGGGGGCTTGGGGCGCGTCCGGCAGGGGATCGTGGTGGCGTGGAATGTCACGGCCGGGCGGCAGTCAACGATTTGACGGACAGGACGACTCTGACGAAGAAGACGACGACGATGACGATGAGGAATTTGGAGACTTTGCCATGCCTGAAGTCGAGCCGGCGCCCGGATCCGACGACCCCGACAACGTCATCTTGAAACCACTTGCCGTGCATCCACCTCAAGGCTCCGGCGGCAAGGCGTTCAGCGGTCTGTGGCCTTTTGGGAACAAGGATGAGAAGGGAGACAAGGAGGGCGAGGAGACAATTACGGGGGACGACGAGAAGCCCGTCCAGGCGGCTGTGGAGGCGGCTCGGAGGACGAGCATCGAAGACCCCGACGATGACGAGGAGGTTGTCGTCCAGAAGCCGTCAAGCCTCTAAAATGAATAGACGTGTTCATGTCATGACGGGGCGGTAGACGGGCTGCTTGTACTATACGTGTTTGGTTTACGCTGCATCGTTGTAGAATATGATCGAATGAGAAGGCATTGGACATGAACCCTGTTTAGAATGCAATCTTGCCCCTGATTCTTCCCGACCACACAAAAACATGTGGAGTTTTCGGGCACTTTGCTGAGTTTCTACAATTGCGCGGTATGAGATGCCGTGGATCCGGGGTTGTCTCCGAGGAGGGCAGACCGGAGCTCCGGGCATGGTCCGGGCCCGAGTCTGGTGACTGTGTTTCCTGTTCTCAAAGACCTTCACGAAAACACGAAAAGGACTAGATCAAGCAGCTATATTCAATAAGAACCCCGAGGCAGGTTGACTGCTATCCTTCGGACGAATTACGAAGAAGCTGATGGTGTCGCCACGGCATGAAATGCCATGTTTGATGTCTTCCAGGGGTCCAGTAAGGGAGCTTGGGCGCAACCGGGTCATCAAGGGTCCCTGTAATTCCCCGATGCCGATAACGCTGCGATAAGCAGAGCACCAGCCCGCCTGACGCACGAGGGGCAACCGTCTCCAAGGTCCGGAAGCATCCTTACCAAGAAAGCACATGCGCCCAAAAACGATGCGCACGTCTGGTGTTTTGACAGCAGCAGCATGAACTGCTCCCACCCAGCCCCCTGCTCATAACACGCCAGAGAGCAAGAATAAGCAACGAGGAACGAGGATGAATCAGGCGGCGAGTGCCGTACGGCCATACTGCGGTAGCGGTTCCTCGTCGTTGCTGTGGTTGTCAGACAAGCTCCAGGACATCGTCTGTGGCATCGTCTCTGTCGTCGCATTGGGATTCTACGTCGCCATCTATCTTCCAGTGAGTCGTATTTTCTTGGTAACTCTATCTATCTCGTCATCGACACCAAGCGAAGCGATACGGAGGCACGGAAATACGGCGTCTTGAAGCTGCCCGTCCTTGCTCCGCCGCCGAGCTCACTCGTGAAACCGACGAAGCCTCCTGCAAGACTCCTTTCTCTCCCTTGCTCTCTGTCTCTGCTCTGCCCTCAACGCACGATGACGCGGACAGCCTCGCGTGGCTCACTTACATAGCCTGCGTCTGAACTCGCCCCTAAGGAAGAACTACCTCAGCTAATGCGCACCTCATTCGAGCAGCTTCTCTCTCGGAACCGTCCACCTCTCCGACTCCGTACCAAGCCTTCGCGCATTCCGTCCGAGGACTGCATTTCGCATACGCCATCTCCTCTTTTCTTCCGCTGTCTTCAACATTGCCGACGTTCGATATAACATCACCACACATCGCTAGGAAAAGTGGTTTCTGTTGAAGCAAACCACAATATAGAGAGGGAAATGGCAGAAGCAGAGATGATAACGCAATCCCCGCGACCGGACAAGGACGAGGTCTGCCGCCAGTCTCCGCCCTTCATGTCCCGGCTCGTCTACGGCACGAAGCTGTCGTGGCTGCAGTCATGGTTCTATCAGCGCGCGAGCTTCCACTTTTGGAAGATGTACTGGTTTCCCCAGGGACAGCGACCGGACTTGATTAAGCAGTACGATTGCCGTCCGAATCTCCTCATCCGGTATGTCCTACCTGCCATTTCTTGGATTGGAATTGGTTGCTGACGTGTCCGGGAACAGCATCTTCTTCCCCTCAGACTACGACCAAACATCCCCCCAAACCCTGCCGACGCTGTTCACCATCCACGGTGGTGGCTTTTCGATCGGCGTCCCGGACGACGACGACGCTTGGAACCGCACATTCGCAGATCTCAATGGTGCCCTCGTTGTCGCACTCAACTACTGGAAAGCCCCCTACGCTCCATGGCCTACAGGCCTCCACGACCTCGAGGCGCTGTACCTCGCCGCCGTCGACGACGCCTCGCTCCCGATCGACAAGTCGCGCATCGCCATCGGCGGTTTCAGCGCCGGCGGCAACCTGAGCTTGTGCCTAAGCCAGCTGAAATCCGTAAAGGAGCACCCAACTGCGAGGCCCAAGGCCGTGATGCCCATATATCCGGCCGTCGACTTCGTCACGCCCTGTGAGGAGAAGAGACACCGCAGGCCTTACAAGATCGGCCAATTGTCGGGGATCAGAGGCCAACAGAGGGATTTCGTGCTCGAGTTCGCGCCCGTCTTTGACTGGGCATATGTTCCCTACGGCAAGAACCTCAAGGACCCCCTGCTCTCGCCTGCCTACGCCGCACGCGAGGACCTGCCGGCGAACATTTGCATCGTCGGCGCGGAGCTCGACTACCTCGCGTGGGAGGCGTGGGACATGGCTTGCAAGCTCGGCGGAAAGAAGGTGACGTCCGAGGTGGTCGGGCGGAAGGAGGTCGCGAAGACGCAGGAGTTGGAGGTCGGGGACGAGAGGTTCGGGTGGGAGGTGACTGACGAGAGGGGCAGCGTCAAGTGGATGCTTGTGCCGGACGTCATCCATGCGTTTGATATGCACGAGATGGGAGCCATGGTCTCCGATCCCGAGACCATCAGGGATGGGAATGCCAAGGCTGTCAAGGTAATCAAGGTGCTTGGGGAGTGGTTGAGAGGGAATGCCTGGGCGGTTTGAGGGTATGATTGGGGGAGGGAGTTTCTTGACTTTCGTTAACTTCTATTGGGTGTCTGATGGAAAGGCACAAGGGGCACGTTATCAAATCTTCAACTTGTCAACCTTGCATCTCGCGTGTCAAAATGGAGTCAGGATACCTGAGGGGGCTGTGACTGTGATAGTACCCATGCTTTTGTTGGTTGGTACGGATGTGACATGAACCAACTGCTGAAGAACCAACGGATGGCTGTGTTCGTGATTGGAGATGATGTCCCGCGTGACGAGCGGGTCGTACCCGGGGGCTCAGCCTTGTAGTTCGATCTACTTGTTGGCAGAGTCTGTTGGTTCCATCGTTAGATGATGTTTTATTCGGCCTCTCTTCTTCGTCAAGTTACATGGGACCTGTGACGAGGCAGTCACAAAGACCAAGTCGCCACCGCCTCGGTTTCGGTTGAATGCGAGGCGGACTGATTGCAAGTTGAATTGGATAATTACTCGTCTGGCGGTCATTCTGTTGCGAAACCACGTGTGGTTAGACGGACTTTGCTGCTTTCAATCCAGGTAATGATTTGGACGTTGAGCCGTGGAATTCCAGAAAGGATCGCTGACGAAGCGAGGAGTTCCCGGTTACAAAGACTTGACAGTGAAATAGCGAAGGCCGAGATGAAGAAAAGACCGGGGTAACTATACGATGGAAATAATCCGTTGCATAAAAAGGGCAATTGCATTCCCTCATAAGACTGTGCAGGTAGTAAAACGGTAACTTGAAGAGATTTTGGGTCTTGGTCGAGAAAGAATCCATCTGAGTGCGGCAGTATCGAGACTAGAGTGGGTTACCAACGTGGTCTTTCGGCCACAATGTCCGTCTCGGCATACTCTGTGGTGTCTGCTGGCTGCTGGCTGCTGTCATTAAAGAATGCAAATGGTTCTAGTCTTCTTCATTATAAACATCATGGCGATGTCTCACGGGGGAAGGTAGCACCACGCCTCGCTTTAATTTGTACGAGAAACACGACGGCCTGCCCAGGCAGAGAAAATTGATTATCCCAATACCAGCAGACGGACTCAAGGTGTCAGACTTCTGAAAGCCATGCCCATTTGAGGACGTAATATCGCGGAGCTCTTTTGGCATTCCGGTGCTGATGACAATGATGAGAGACTTGGTAAAATGCTCTTGACGTTGTCCTCATATATACCATGAACCCTCGGTTTAGGACAGCAGGCATAGGCAAAACCACGAAAGACTGTAGAGGTTATGACTTTTGAAAGTCAGGTGATATTTGTATCAACTACATCAATCTGCCTTGTCGGGAGGAACAACGACAGAGTTGAGCTTGCCACTACATATAGAGAAGCTGATCGGCATACGCAACGACGCTTTGCTTCCGTCGCCTATTCTGCTGAAACCGTCGTTGAATAGACCAAAAGCTCGTTCGAGTATGTGTACGACGTTGCAAAATAGATTCATGTTGGTTTATATGGTGATGTTTCCTGCTGCCAAGTTTGATCGGTACTCGTCCGGAATGATGAAGGTAGCTGGCCTCACTTACAGCATCTAGCAAGAGGTTTGGCTTGCTGCGGCTTGAATATTGCATCTTCTGCTGTCAAGTAAAAGTCGTTTATTGTTGAAATGGACTCGCTGATGATGCGAGCAGGTACTCTCGATGAACGAAGGGTATTGAAGGGACTTTCTCTACGACAAAGGCTACCGAGGAAGTGATATGCCGATGGATTCAAAATTGATTGAAGTCCGCCGGGGCGCACGTAGTTCAAAGCCATGTTGGGGCGACTCTAGTCATTCTCCATCTGCTCGAAAGCATTCATATGTTGGTGTCAAAGCCTTTGGCGAAAGCGTCTTGGCTGTTGGCTAAGCCTTGTCACCTTTTCAACACTGGTGGCCAAAATCAACAACCACAAACGTATCACCCAGAACTCATACTCGGGGCTCGCAGATTCCTAGACATACATATCTAGTGGATCTCAAGTCCGACCAGAAAAACTCATGTGCACCTTGTTCATCGACAAAATCCTGCTTGTGAGGTTGAGTCCTGCCTGAGACCAGTCACTGACGACACTCCATTTGCCCAATGACATGGCCAACGCCAAGTCGTAGGAACCGAGCTGGTTAGACCAACCCGAGACTTACATTCAAAGATGCTCAAATCCGATTGAACAGACCCGATAAAGAGCATCCATTGCCGAGCCGTCTGACTGCGTTCCCTTCGGGTCCTCGGGCTGCCAGCACAGGCATCAGCTTTTGACGCGGAGTGAATCTGGTGCTCGTCTAGCAATACGCCACTCTCAATTCGATGCCAGGCAATGCCAATAACCATCGCGCTCGCTGCCGCCTGAATTAGACGCAGCCCGTTGCGGCTACCAAGCCAATACTCATCTCGCTTCAACTTTTCTTCACCGATCTGTGAAGTGAGCGAAATGACAGCTTACCTCCCCTACCGCTGCATCTCAAATGCCTATTCTGTACCCTAGGGCTGACATGGTGTGGGGTGAACGCTGTACAGCCCCCAAATGGCCCCCGTTGAAGCGACGATGCGGGAACAATTGGCGCGACGAGCGCTAGGCAGCGGTTTTAGACGCCCCTTGCCGACGGCTCTCAAAGGAACGTATACGACCTGTGAAACGGTCAAACGAGACTTGTTTGCTTGGTCATTCAGGACTTGATATCACGGTGGCACGATGACCGCCTCGAAAAGGCCTGCTGCAGGGGTTTGCTGAGGTTCAGGTTGTACGTGGGTGGTGAACAGACTCGACTGAGTTGTCCCGGAGTTCCGGACGGGCGCGGGTGCCGGTGAGTTATTGGAGTACGGGGGAAACCAGAAGGTAGATAAGCGGAAGATCGTCGGGGCAATGACATGAGTGACGAGGGAAGGATTTTGAGGGCGTACAATTTTGTGTCCATCAATTGACGTGTGTTTGTATCCTGTACAACTTCACAGGGTTCGCATATACGCTTCAATGTCAGAAGGAACGGTTTGCTGTCAACCACGGGATGATCTAGGCCGCGAAGTTTAGATGTGCTGCTACCCCCAGGATCGATTTCATTTCCAAGTCTTGCTTACCCTCTTGTCAAACGAAGCACTTGCAGAGATTGTATTGGCTGTCTCATGGTTATCACGGCATTGGTATCCGGAATCCGGGGTCCTGAAGCTGCCCACGGCAGCATCTTCACTTACACGCTGGCGATAGGATGCAAGGTTTGTTTGGCCTGAGGGTCAAGGGATTTGGACCAGGCTCGGCCGAGAGCTAGCAGAGAAGAGTACGTCTTACGCAGTAGAAAAGAATGCGGTTGATTACGAGAGACCCCATGATCTCCAATGGGTAATTTCTAAGGTGGTGGCGGGCATGTGTCAACGGTGAGTTCGCGGTGAGTTTATGTCGGCGGCGAGTTTTAAGGTTAGCCGACCGTGACCGAGACGGCTCCGAGCGTAGATTTGGGAACCACGAACTTGAACCCCTCCACACATTTGACAGCAAGAGAGATAGAGAGTAAAGAGGGTCCATTGCACCTACTCCCCTCCATCTCCGCGGGGAAAAGCAAGGGTAAGAGGCAAACAGAGGTGATGAGCTCAGGGGAATGACAAAGGTAGATAGGTATGCGGGGGAGCGTCCCGAAGCCGTCGGTTGCGGAGCGAGAGGCGAGGGCGTCTGGTCCGTGAGTTGACATATGCTTGGTCGGATCCCCGTCGTGCAAGATGCGCAGCAGCTCAGTCACCCCAGTATCAATGTCGATGTTTGTGAAACTTTTTGGTCAGACGGAGTGGACTCTGGTGTTTCGTGGCCGAGTCTCTTTGTCATTCCCGCCACTTGGCAGTCATATGGCCAGGAAGCTTACCAGGGCCTGGCGTGTTGGTTCGGCCTGGATTCGTTTGCGGTGAGTTCTGCTGCGAGGGGCAGCTTTGTAAGCTCACCGAGCTCGACACCAACCAGCACTACCAGCATTATCACATTAAGCATGTTCAGACCGTGGTGGTGGTGGATGGCGGTCGCGGCCGAATGGCCGCTGAGCGAGGGGGCTGCTGCCGGCCGCGTACTATGCGTACGTCCCGAGGACGTGATGGTGGGACAGGAAACATATCGAAATTTGGGAATCAGCAACCGGGGACCAAGCGGACCGTTGAGTGCTGTAGTCATGAGCTTCGTGGACATTGCCTCGAGCTACAGGGTTGGACCTGACGGGTGATGCTGGGCCTGGAAGGGATTGGCATGAAAGTTGTGCTGACTGCGCATCATTAGCTATGAGTGCGAGCTTTCGTCCGAGCATGTGCAGAGGGGCACTGAAGTCGGTGAAGAGTGTGTTTTGTTTAGGTGTAGGATGGTGGTGGTGTTTACGAGACTTTAAACTTCTGTGATGGGATCCCCGTACTCGGTCCAAGTCATATTCAATGAGTTGGCCAGTCCTTCAGAATTGAGGCCGGTGGACGAGGAGGAGTGAGGATTGCGGGGGAAATGTCTGGAGCTTGACTATATGAAATCCTTGAATGCGAACAGCAGTGGATGATGTGGTGATATCCCTGATCTATTGCAATGATAGTGTCTTCTGAAAACGAGATTGACATCGAAAGAGAGTCTGGACTGTGATGTTAAGTTTCGGTGAGCTGAGTGGGAAGTTAACACAAGCCGATGTTACAGCTTTGAGTTTCGTACTGACAGCCCGTTTGAGTAGGTACACGCACATCACCTGAAAATGGGGACGACTGCTGTGATTGTTATGCCGATGAAGCTGCTGCTGACTGTGTATGAATATGAAAAGTATGCCAATTTTGGTTTTTGGAGGGACGGGAATGCGTTGAAGCTTCTATTGTGCTGTTGTCTAGCCCGCCCTCTGCCACGGCGCGCCGGGAAGAACCTCGCCAAGTAATGGCGTCGCCTTGAAGAAAGGCTGCGATGCGCTAACATAATTAGGTAGGGAGCAAGGGGACGATGCTGGTCGGTGGTGAGAGGCCATCTGTATTGCTTCAGTACGCAGGGACAGCTGACAGGGGGTGCCTATTGGGCGGGCCGTTTCTATTATCACAGCTGCACAGTTGCACAGCTTTGGAACTCAGCCCCCTCCGCTTGAGGTAAGGCACGAGAGACATAGCCGCCCTGTGGTGACACTGATGAGTGAGTGAGTGCCTGAGAGGTGAGCGAGTGAGCGAGTGACGGGCCGCGCTTGTTTGATTTAGCACGTCCAATGGAAACGGCACTCATCAGCTGGCGACACGCGCCTGTGCAGGTGCTGGCTGCTGAACACCTCACAGCCCGGCCCTGTCTAAATAAGATGTGGCCGATGAAACATCTCTGCTGTATGTGGCTGGACAAGATGCTGTTCTTCATCCGCTCCATCTCATTGGCTCCAAACTGTCAGTCAGTGTGGCGTTTCCTCGACATGTTTCTTAAAAGAGGAATGATACGTGCTGTATCTTTCTGATGCCATGTGTTTTTCACTCAACGAGGTGATGCCGCTCCGCTTCTCAATCCTCCCTCCGTCATTTTCTCTCGTCTACGGATACTCATAGTCCTCCTGCAGACGCGATGGGCTTGAGGATGCGCAATGTCGCGGCAATCACATCTCACCTGCCAGGCAGCGCCATCTATCTATCCACTCCACCACAGCAGACCGCTTCCCGGCACCATCCTTGCTCGTTGGCAGTGCCGCGCTTCTCAGTCTGGCGAGGACGACGGCTAGATCGTCGCCCGCGTGGCTCAGAGCGTCGCTGTCGTCCTCGCCGTCGTCGTCAACAATGTCACACTCGACAACCTCGACAACACGCTGGAAAAGAACAGGTTACTCCCGCCGAGGGGGCCAAGTCCCCGTCGGGTCCTCGCCTGTTTTTTGGTCTGTCAATTGTTCCCAACTTCATGTCCCCTTTCTTTGACCCCAAAAAGTCGCCGTCCGCTATGCCTACCTGCAGTGGCATAATCTGCGCCGATCCAAGGTATCTTATCCATCTCAGCCATGAGGCATTCTTCACTGCCGAGTGTACGAATACAGTAATTATTAGCTGCTTGCCTGAAGACATCCCGGCCTCTCCATTCCTCCTCGGCCCCCAGCAGAACGCGGGTATGCATGTCCAGGCCGCGGCAGGCCGTGACATGGCGTGGCGTGGCGCGGCATACCTCAGCACCATGAGGTGAGGTAGGTTGCCAAAGACGCTGCTCTCTTTGCTCCCTCGCCATCCCATCAACTTTCATCTCGTTGGCACTCCTTCACACCTCCTGTCCACCCAATCCAAGCCTGCCTCCCCCACCCTTCTGCCTCTCCAAGCTGGACCCCAGGACGTCAGAGGGGCCGGGCCCAGGAAGTTCGATCTACACCATGCCGGTTCCTGGTCGTTTGCTACCTGCACCTGGCCCTACCCTGTCGTACCGGGTACCTACCCTGGTCGGCCTTCTTGAGTGGGTAGGTAAGCAAAACCTCCGTCCCATTACTCTTACTCCTGCTCGAGTGAGGAAGAGAATACCTTACTTGGAGCTTCTGGGGTGGGAAGCTGCTGCGCATTCCGTATTATTTCATCACTTCACCGCCCGCTCTCCTCGTCTTCATTGTTGATTTTACTTCTCCTTGCTTTCCTTCCGCAACCTCGCAACTTGCTTGTGTGACAAGAGTCAACGGTTCTTCAAAGACATCGTACCAGCAAACGGCCCCCGGAAGCGTCGCCCCCAAACTCGACTGTTCGTCCCGTCCAACCAACACCGCTCGGCATCTTTGACCTTCACCCAAGTCTACCTTTAAAGACCAACAACGTCTGATCTGTGTTGTGGCCACCCGCACCCGGCCGTCACCTTTTATTTGTGTTTTATGTGTTATTGAGATACCCCCCGACGCTGTTCTGCAGCCTCTTCTCTCTTCTTCAGACCAGATCTCGACTCGGTCCACTTACACCATGGCCGACTCCGTCAGCACCAAAATTCTCCCCAGAATCGACACTACAATGTCGTCATTACACACAGAGTCCGTCGAGGACAGGCTGCTCTCAGCAACAGCCGCCGTGCTGAGCTTGCCGCGCAATAGCATTGAGCTGTTTGACTCGTTCGGTGACCTTGGAGGAGACCGCGCTGCCGCCATCGAGCTAAGAAAAAGGTGCATGAGCCTCGGACTCGGGGTCAGGACGAGCGACATTCTGCGCTGTCACACCTTGGCGGAGCTTCAGACCTGCATCACCCCCTTCGGTCAGACCGCGCCCGTATCCAAGGAGGAGTCCGACGAAGACAGCCCGTCATCCTCCGATGTCTTCAGCTCAAGTCCCAGACGAAGCAGCGGCAGCGGTTACTCGACATCATCGTACGAATCCAGCAACAGCGCCGAAGTAGCACCCCTGAGACCACCGCAGCTTGCCATTGAGGAGTTCATCGAGTCAACGCCCCAGGTCACGAGCGCCGCAGTAATCAGGCCAAAGGCTGGCTACTTGGAGGGCAAGCTCGTGGCGTTTGTCACCTTGGCTTCTGGTCGCGTTTCTCAATCCAGCCTCTCCAGCATCCGCTTGATTCCCCAGTCGCAAATGCATTTTGCGGGCAGCCAGGTCGCAGCGGTCCGCCTTGCTCTCGAAACCTCAGAGGGAGCTCATTCAGTACCGAACTCATGGATTGTGCTCGACCAGATGCCTTCAGACGGTGAGGGCTCCGTCGACCGAAGGCGACTTCAGACGTGGATTCAGAACATCAACGAAGATATGTATCACCAAATCTCAAGCCTCGAGTCTCATGAGCTCTTTCAGGAGCCTCTGAGCGACATGGAACGGACTTTACAAAAGGCCGTGAGCAATGTACTCAGGATACCGCAAAAGCAGGTTGGCATGAACTTCTCGTTCAGCCAACTCGGCGGCGACGACATCTCTGCGATGATGCTGGTCGCTGCGTGCCGGACGGAACACATCATTGTGAAGCCAGAGGACGTACATCAATGCTCATCACTTGGCCAACTGGCCTCACTCGCCATCCGGCAGAACAAACGGAACACCACCTGGAACGAGGAGTCTCTCGAAGGCTTCAAGCTGTCACCGATGCAGCAGCTTTACTTTGACACGGGAATTGGTGGTCGACTGGAACCGCGTTTGACAGCCAACGCCGGCTACCGCTTCAACCAGAGCATCCTTCTTCGCGTCAAGAACAACTCCACCCTCGAAGACGTCCACGCCGCCATCGCAACAGTCGTCGGTCACCACTCCATGTTGCGCGCCCGTTTCCGCTCTGGAGCAGACGGCTGGACGCAGCGTATTATTCCCACAGTTGATGGATCTTACGGGTTCCGCTACCATTCGGTGAGCACGACGGAAGAGGTCCTTGGGAGTATCGCGCAGACGCAAGCCGGCATCAACATCGAAACCGGTCCCGTTTTCGCGGTGGACCATTTCCGAACCCACGACGGTCAACAGCTCGTTTACCTCCTCGCTCATCATCTGGTCGTGGACATGATGTCATGGCGTATCATCATTCACGACCTCGATGAGTTGCTGCGAGCGGGAACACTGTTCTCTGAGCGCTCAATGCCCTTCCAGAGGTGGAACGAGCTTCAGGAGGAATACATCTGCAACAACCCGGATCAACTGGCGCTTCCTTATCAACTTCCCAGCGGCCAGTACAACTACTGGGGTCTGGAAGACTCCTTCAACACTTACAACGACATCGCGACAGCGAGCTTCACCCTCACTCCTGAGCTGACCGCCATTCTCCACACAGCATGCAACCAGGTATTCAGGACTGACATGTCCGACATCTACATGGCAGCCCTGATGCTCTCTTTCAGCCAAACATTCCATGACCGTCGAGCCCCAGTGGTATGGAACCAAGAGCACGGACGAGAACCCTGGAGCCAGGAAATCGACATCACCGAGACCGTCGGCTGGTTCACCTCTCTTTGCCCTGTCTCTCTTCAAGTTGACATGGGGGATGACTTCCTCCACATCTTGCGCAAGATGAAGGACACGAGACGATCCATCACCCGTCGCGGCTGGAACTATTTCGCCTCACGGTATTTCGGCCCCGAAGCGTCCGCCCGCAATGCTGAGGGCTGGCCCTTTGAGGTCATGTTCACATATGCCGGCTCTGTCCAACAATTGGAGCGAGAGAAGGGCGTATTGGAGCAGCTCACCATCCCTGGGAGACTACTTTCGACCGATGCCTCTGACATTGGCCCGGACGTCTGCAGAATTGCACTTTTCGAGGTCTCGGCCATGGTCGACCAAGGCGCTGCATCGGTCCAGATCATTTACAACCGCAACTGCAAGCACCAGGACAAGATTGCCGAATGGATCCAAGCTTATGAACACCTTCTCTACGAGGCCATTGGTCGGCTCAGGTACCGAGGACAAGAGCTTACTTTATCTGATGTTCCCATGCTGGACACAAGCTACGAGGGTCTTGCAAAGCTCAATACCGACCGCTTGGTTGCTCTCGGCCTTACCAGCGCCAAGGATATCGAGGATGTTTTCCCGGTCACGGCGCTGCAGCAAGAGATTCTCATCAGCCAAACCCAAAACATGGAAACATGCCACAACCATGCCATCTATGAGCTCTCCTCCCCCAATGGCCTCCTCGCCGACCAGGCTCAGATCTGTTCCGTCTGGCAGCAGATCGTCGCCAGGTACCCGGCACTTCGGACGGTTTTCATCGACAGCATCTCTGACAACGGGCTCTTCGACCAGGTCGTGCTGCGGAAGTGCTCGCCCGAGATGCTCTTCGTCGATGCTGAAGTTGGCACAGACCCCATTGCCGTCCTCAATGCGTTGCCGCCGATGAGCGCTACACCATACAATCCCCGCCACCGGGTATCAGTTTGCAAGTCTCACGCTAGTACCTTCTTGAGGCTCGACATCAGTCATGCGCTTTGTGATGTAAGAGACTTTCGTCCCATCAAACCCGATACACAGTACTGACCTGTTGTTAGGCTTTGAGTCTGCAAAACATCATGTGGGATCTGAAGCGCATGTATAACTCCAGCAAGCTACCTATGAAGATTCTCGACCCGCCGCACGCCGCCTGCCTCGAATACATCTCCTCAGCGCGCCAGGAAAACAGCCTCAGCTTCTGGGTCGGCCGGCTTCAGGAGACCACGCCATGCCTCTTCCCGCGACTGACGACCATAACTGAGGGCACCATGCAGCACACCAACTTCTTTATCGACCTGCCGACGGTCCAGATTGACGAGTTTTGCCGATGCCAGGGAATCAGCCGGGCGACTGTTATGCGCATGGCGTGGGCGCTTGTCTTACGCGCTTTCACCGGATCAAGTCGTGTCTGTTTTGGTTACCGCGCCTCGGGTCGAGATGGCGAGGGTGCTCCTGAAGGGCTGAGCCTGTCTGTTGGTGCCTTCGAGAACACCACGACTTGCGCGATCGGGCTTGAGAATTACAAGACTGTCGCAGAGGTCCTCAAAACCGTGGAGGAAGACGCTGTTGCTTTTCGCCCCCATCAGAGCGTCTGCATCTCCGAGATTCAACATGCCTTGGGCCTCAAGGGGGACAAGCTCTTCAACACATGCCTGTCTTACCAGGAGGAGCCTCACGAGCTGAAGAGCAGGTTCAGTTCGTCACGGCCGCCAATGAGCCTCGCATGCGTCCAATCATTTAATACGCCCGATCACGATGTTACCTTTTCGTTGACTCTTGTCAACGGGCAGCTTGTCACTGGTGTCTCTCACAGAGTCATGAATGCGTCCCAGGCCCAAAACTTGACTAATACCTTTGGTCGCGCCGTTCTCTCCATAATCGGCAACCCCAGCGGTCCTGTCAGCAGCATCGATCTCTTCACTGACAGAGACTACGCCCAGCTACTGATCAGCGATTGGGAGACTGACAAGGCCAATGAGGCGTCGCATGGATGCGTTCACGCACTCATCTCCCAGCAGGCCAGGCTTCGGCCTGATGCTCAGGCCATCTGTGCTTGGGATGGCCATCTATCATACGGGCAAGTTGGCCGCCTTGTCTCTCGTCTTGCCACATACCTCGTGCAATGGGGTGTGCGACCAGGAGTAGCAGTCCCGGTGATCATGGACAAGAACAAGTGGGCAGTGGTCAGCATTCTGGCAGTTCTGAAGTAAGTAGCTTGCATCGGTTGAGACTTTCAAGACTGACGATGTCCCAGGGCTGGTGGCTGCTTCGTGCCCATCGATGCGGAAGACAGAACTAATGTCGAGACATTCATTCGCCAACTCAGTCCCAAGGTTGTGATCTCCACTGACATGGATTGGAAGCATCTCGAGTCCATTGTCGATGGTGTCATCGTTGTCGACGATACCCTTTTTACCGTCAACTTCCCGCTCGAATCACCTCTCCCAATGGCTGCACCCAACGACGCCGCGTGCATTCTTCTTTCTCCTGGATCGTCTCGCGGACGAGAAGCAAAGGGGATCATCTTTCACCACGCTGCTTTGTCCGCGGCGTTTGTCACCCAAGGCCGCGCTCTCCACCTTGACCCCAACAGTCGTGTCATGCAACTGTCATCGTTCAACGTCGACACAGCGTTGATTGAGTTGCTGTCGACTCTTGTACATGGCGGCTGCGTCTGCATGCCATCGAGTGTAGAGAGAACTAGCGATATTGTTGCCGCCGCACGCAGGATGGACGTCAACTGGACCTACATGACACCCGTTTTGGCCAGAAAGATGACTCCCGCCGCCATTCCTACCTTGCAGACTGTTTGCTTCCGGACGCGACGCTTGGACGAGGATACATGCGCTCCTTGGCTCGACAAAACCAGGGTTCTCCTCGCATATGGCGCTCCTGATATCTGCCCTCTCGGTATCTCTGTGCTTGAGGTCACCAAAGCCGAAGATCTTACCCGAGTCGCACGTCCCTTCCTTGGAAGATTCTGGATTGTCAACCCTGAAGACCATCGCAGACTCATGCCCATCGGAGCAATTGGTGAGCTCATCATTGAGAGTCCAACTCTTGCCCATAGATTCGTCCCCGGGCAGCCACTGGCACACCTACCTCAGGATTCGGAAGTCTCGCTTGAGGACGGCAAGCCGAAGACGCGATACTTCAAGACAGGACACCGCGTTCGCTATATGGAAGATGGCACTCTCGACTTCGTCTCAAGCGGTCGTGATGATGTTGAAATCAACGGCCAGATTATCCCAGTCGCTCAGGTCGAACAAAAGCTACGGCGTTGTCTGGGCCAAGGGATCGACCTCGCGGTTGATTCCATCATCACACGTGATGCGCAACCTGCGCTGGCTGCTTTCGTCGAGCTCGGCGAAAAGCTCTTCGAGGGCTCGGAGGATCTGACCAGAATCACCATCACAACTCGGGAGCGTACTTACATCGCCAAGAAGCTGATCGAGTCGTCCCTGGGCACCGGTCTGCCTGCGCAGATGATGCCAACCATCTTTATTCCCGTCAGGCATCTCCCAGTCACCCCGTCGTTGAAGGTGAACCGTCGAAAGCTTCAAAAGATGGCCAACTGGCTGTCGCGAGAACAGTTACTGGCACTCTCTTCCGTCCCGTCTCCAGACGAGGTGCAAACGGTCGGCATCAAGCCCCTCCCGATGACCCAAGTCGAAGAGCGCATGCGATCGATTTGGTCCACTCTCCTGGGAGTTGAGCCTTATTGTATCCACGGCAACCAGAGTTTCATCTCACTTGGAGGCGAGACCTTCCTTGCAGCCCAGCTGGTCATCGAATGCCGTAAGCTTGGTCTCATCATCTCCCTGTCCGATGTTCTTCGTGGCGCCACTCTCACCGATCTCTGCCAAGGCATCACCCTCAGCGCTGAGTATACTCTGGACACTGCCGAGCTCCAGTCTGGCCCCTCTTCTTCAGCGGGCACGTCGGAAATGCTCTTTGAAGAGCAATTCATCCAAGACGTCATAGCTCCCAAGCTGGGAATCTCCCGAGATGCCATCGATGACGTTGCCGAAGCCTCCGCAGTCCAGCTCAAGTTCCTCGAGACGGGCTTGTTGAAGGGTGCTTCGAGTCTCAGCTACTTTACCTTCAGCTTCAGCGGTGCCGTGCATCCTAAGAAGCTCGAGGCTGTTTGTTTCTGCCTTGCGAAGATTCATCCCATTCTCAGAACCGCCTTCGTCACACATGAGAGACGTGTTTACCAGGTCGCCCTTAAGTCATTCATTCCCGAATTCAGAAGAATCGAAGTACCGACATGGAGAGTTGCGAACATGACTGAGAAGCTGATCAAGAAGGATCAAGCTGCATCGTTCGCTCTCGAAACACCAATGACCAAATTCTTCTTCGTCGACGCGGGCAAGCAGTCCAACCTTGTCCTGCGATTATCTGGAGCCCAGTACGACGATGCATCGATCTCACTTCTCTTGCAGCACTTGAAGAGTATCTACATTGCTCCATCATGTCCGCCACGAAGAGCAACATACTTCGATTTCGTTCGCTCCGCGCAGCTTTCTCATGTGGCGGGCGCCTTGGAGCACTGGACTTCGCTACTTGACGGCGCCAAAATGACTCAGGTCGTCGCACACAACAAACCTCCCGCTCTGAGCAATAATGTCAGGACGATCTCCCAAAACGTCGCCGTCATGTCGCTCGCCAACTTGGGTATCTCATTCGACACAGTTGTCAAGTCAGCTTGGGCAATGGTCCTGGCCAATCTCTCCGGCTCAGGCGACGTGCTCTTCGGCGAAATCGTCGAAGGAAGACACCTTCGACTTGCCGATGGGTCTGATATTTCTGGCACCCTCGGGCCTGTTTCAAATGCGATCCCAGTCCGTGTGCGTTTCGCCGAAACGCTCAGCAGTCCCCTTGAGCTCTTGAAGTATGTCCACGGTCAGCGCGTCATGAGCATCCCGTTCGAGAACATGGGATGGCTTGAGGTCGTCGAAAAGTGCACCAAGCTCCCCTACTGGACACGGTTCAGTACCATCATCGAGCACCGTCACCAAGACGCGGCCAAGGAATCTGCAGTGTTCAACATGGGAACTATCAAATGCAAATTCAACATCCAGGAACCGACCAGTCGAGACGTCTACGATATGCATGTCATCTCTACACAGGAGAACTCGAGCTGTGCAGAGATCTCCCTAATGTTTTGCGAGAACCGCATCCCAAACATGTTTGCCAACGAGACGCTCAAAGCACTCTGCTCAACCATCGAGCTACTTACATCCGTCTCCATGCTTCACCCATTGATTCCCTCGACTGCGGACTACTGTGCTGTCCCGCCGCAAATTCCACTCCCCCAAATCGATATGGAGCCAAAGGCAACCAACGTCGGCGCGAGCATGCCCGAAGACCACCGCACCTCGATTCAAAAGACCATTTCCAAGGTCTGGACAGAGATTCTTGATCCACGATCACTCGGTGTACCTGAGTCACAGCTGCCAAACGCTGCATTCTACGATCTTTGGGGCAGCATGATGCCCGCCTCCCAACTTTCACTGGCTCTTTCTCAAGAGCTGCCGAAACTGGGTATCCCAGGCTCTCACAACTTAACCATCACTATGGAAGAGATCATGGCCCATCCCACCATGGCAGAGCAATTCGAGCTGGCGGCGCGCAAGATGCGCGATGCGAAGCGGAGGACTATCTCTGAGTTCATCTCACCCAAGACAAATCCCGGCTGGGGTCGAGGCCTCCGTCGCCTGAGCACTGCCGTTATTCCTACCAAAACACCAGAGCGAGGTTTGAGCAGCACAAGCGCCAGTTCTTCCAGTTCGGTGGATGTATACCGCAGCTCTACCACAGCAAAGCAACCTTTCATGAACTCCATCGCAGAAATGACGAACGGCTCTGCCTCGGTGGGCACGGCGATAACAACTACTGCACCCGTGGAGTTGGAGACGCCGCAAACCCGAAGACCCAGGCTCAGTCTTGCCGTTCAGCACGACGGGAGCAGTATGGAGAGCATGACTGATGGCAGCAGTCGCGAGGATGAAGAGGCCGATCGGGAGAATGAGAGCGAGGATGTTGTGAGTCCCATGAGCGCTAGCACTCTGGCCGCGCCGGCTGTGAGTACGCCTGCCGAGGGAAACAAGATTCGGAGGAAGGCTGGGAGCGTGCTTTCTCGAATGAGCAGGATCGGCATAGTGAGCCCTATCAGTGCAGGTTCCAAGGTTAGTTAAGTAATGTATCTATATGTGTACTGAGTGCTGGAGTATGGCCATCCAGTAAGATGGAAAAGAAAAGGCGTACGGCGATTTCTTTTGTTCAGTAAACATCCTTCGCGAGAGGAAAACTATCACGGCGGCGTATGATATCCAATAAATTGTCTGTCTCGTTCAAGCCCGCTCCGAGCACCTCGATCTGGTGTCTGTCATCCCACTGCTACCTACGCTTTGTCCGTCTCGACAGTGACGGTGAAAGCGTCGGTTCTGACAATTCTTCCATCGGAGTCGTACTTCTCCAAGATGCTCTCCTGGCTTCCCTTTGTGACAATGGTGGTCTTGAGACTGTTGAAACTGTCCGCGCCGAACCGTTGGGGCTCTTTCTTTCCTTGATGACCGAACATGCCCATGCTCTTCCCGCCAGAATTCTGGTGTGTATACCTGCGACTGCTGGAGGAGAAGATGCGCTTGCCAAAGACGATTTCGGCCAGAGGCTGAAGCACTGGGACGCAAGCGGCAATGATGATGATGCTACCTTCGACACTGTCAAGAACGGGTTAGCTACAGCTAGAAAGCTGGGGAGGATCATGAAGTGATCTTACATTGTCCATATAACGAGTTCGACCGCATCGTCTGGATTAAAATTGAGGTGTCAGTGAGTTGTCCAGGTTCTAAGGCAGTATCAGCTACGTACACGTTGGGTCAGGGCTGGCAAGCAACGGCAGCCTTGTGCATTTGTAGATGACAACGATTGATGAGCTAGGTAGTTATTAATCAGGCAGGTTTCCAAGAATAACCGCAAATCAACATCACTCACATCGATCCAAAGCCGAGGGCAATGCTTAAAGCCACCTTCTTCCGTATATGCATCTGCAATTTCGAAAGGATCACAGCAGGGTATATCGAAAGATAGACGTCGGCAAATGCACAAAACGCTGCATCCATTAGCGGAGGTTTTCTCAAACGGAGGGACAATTGAATCTTGGCTTACCTCCAGAGTAAGTAGCGAAAGACACGAGGACCCATTTGCTCCAACATGTTCCTTCTACAGAAGAATCCCATTGAGACCGCGCTGGCTGGCACTGTGCAAAAATGATCGTGATGAATCCAAGTAGGTTAACGACGCAGAGGATTGCCAACGCCCAAAGAAACCTTCTGTGCCACTTGCTTGGGTTCAAGACTCGAGTGAGTAAAGCGACAACTGCGGGCTTAGGTAGGCCAAATGACAGGAGACCGGGGGGATAGCCGGCGATACTCCAGAGCATGGCGTTCGACTTTTGTTCGGGGGATAGAGTATCGACATGGCGGCCGTACCCGTTTGATACGGCAGCAGCGAGAGTTGCGACATTCATCCAACCACAAACCTAGAAAAGACAACAGATCAATGTGTGTTATTAGGAGTGAATCAAGTAATCTCAAGACTTACCACGGATGCAATGATCAGATAGTCATCTAAATGGATCTTTCCCATAATCTTCCCTCTGGTGAAAAGCCTCGCTGCTGCGAAAAGTGTACTGATTGCCGAAACGACGGAGACCACTACGAGGGCCTCCGGTCCTCTGTTTTCGGCATCTCGAGCCGAAAGAGAAGTTGTCGACATTACAAACCAATTGGCAGTTCCGGAAACCCGAAACAGAGACAGAAGAAAGAGAGGAATAATCAGATTATCCAAACAACAGAAAGGAGTTGAACTTCGTAGTTCTATGGCAAGGAGACATAGCGACAGATACTTTAGGGACGGACCGCACATCGGACGGTCTCATCGGACAGTCTGATCGTCCGCACGACATGTGTCAGTTGCGAACCGTGCATAGCGGAAGCCCACTCCGTAGCCGCCAGCTAGTCAGACCATGACCTAGAAAGGCAATATGAATAAAGTCAAATAGATTGATCGACAGCATTCCAGCGATTAGAGTAGCATGGCAGACAGGGATGACTGAAAATACGTCAGTTTAGGGTAGCACCTCGTTGATTGATCCCCGTCCATCTCACGATAGTTCGCTTATGTCGTGCCTCATTTGGTGACGCCGCAGGGGCCGTTGACCACGGTTATGATTCAAGCATCGCGCTGTGACCGCCCTCTCCGGGGTGACGAACAGGTGTTTGCTCAGTAATTACTTGTTTTCATTCGTCTGCAGGATCCAGATCCAAGGGAAGTGGTTCTTTGTTGACTCGCTTGTAGAGCGGACTTCGGATGTCGTCCGCTCGTACACGTGGTCTTGGCATGGGGCTCTTGTGAGGACTGCCTGCCGCCATTGCCTCGGCTCTAAAAGGGTTGGGAACCCGCGTACCGGCGGTTGGAAGTGTAATTGAACTGGTTTGAGAGATTCTCGTCAAGAAAGTAAGCGGAGGAGAGCCGGCACTTGTTTGCAGCCGATAAGCGCCGCAGACGGAGACAACCCCGAGTAGTCAGACGTATCTGTTCATATTCTGCATTGGCGAAAAGCTAGTGCGATTTTCAATTAGGGCTCGTTGCGAGACAACTTAGCTGATAGCAAGCCCCCGACTGTTTGTATCGAGGATTTTATCTCCTGAGAAGGCACACAAGTTGCTGGTCGCTGAATCGGCGCGGCCATCCGCATTTAAGCCAGCACAATACAGAAGAACTTGACTTCGCGAAAGGCTGACTTCAAACGCCCTGAGAGGCAGAGAAGAGCTGATTTGATATATTCCAACTCAAAATTGTCGAACGACATGCCCAGATATCGGGAATTGATGAGTTGCATTCTTCATTTAATATCAGGTGGCAAGCAGGGGGTAATGACCATGTCTCAGGCCTGAGTGGGCCTCCGCAGAGCCTGATCATATCACCAAGCTTCTTTCCGAGAACCCTGACCCCATGGCGTCAACTTCCCCGGAATGAATATCCCTGCGATGTTCGGCGGCGCAGCACTAATAGTAACCACTTTAGATGATGTGATGAAAGCCTTGTGCTTAAGTTTGCTCTACTCGTCTTGAGACGTGTTCGCCTTGAGAGGTTTCTTTCCGAAGGTGGAGTATCTGCGGCTCCAGTATCAGTTCCGGAGATCAAGAGGATTAGTTGCTTACTTGCTTAACTCACATGTTCCAGTAGGCGTGGATGCCAGTGTTGTTAAGGTCCCGTCTCACACCGCTGCAAAACACCAGAACCTCCTCGCGAGTCCAGCCGAGCACGTTGGTAAAGAGCGCAAGAGCCGACGCCTCACATCCTTTCAAGCTACAGGCCTGGGACCAGCTGCCAAGTTCCCGAAGCTTCTCATTCTTAGTCCATCCGTTCATGGGCCAGATACGTTTCACTTCGACTACCTCTTCAAAGCCTGCGTTCACAAGCAGGTCCTTAAATCGGCTGGGGGTGTCAACTGGTCTCCCCATCAAAGCAGTTGATTCCATCAACAGGGAGGACCATTCATTGACTGGACTGGTCTCGGGCATGGTGCCATCTCTGCATTGGATGGGAAAGGTATTATCTTGCAATTCGATGTATCCCCCGGGTTCAAGATTGCTTTTTTCCACTCATCAGCACTTGATACATTCTCGCTTTCTATGCCGTTGGGCTAACGCCGGGTGTCTTATCCTACCTATAGGCCTGGGCGATAACTTTCTCCCAACTCGCGAAGCTGGAGTTCATGTGTCGAAGGAAGACAAAGTCAAATGGAGCCGACCACGTCCATTCTTTCTCAACATCATCGATTTCAAAAACACAGTTGGAGGGAACACTAGTTGCAAGGTTCATGTTACTATGTATTCGTGACAATATTCTCGACCAGATGGTAAAAACTCACTAGCCTGATTGAATCGGCGTTAAGTCGACTCCAATTACCTACTAAGTCATCAGCGACTGTTGAGACAGATTTCAAGGAGACAACCTTTGCTTCTGGGTGTTCTTCGGCTATATTCCATCAGTCGTGATTAACAATTAGTGGGTTGAGAAACTAACCATAGTCCATCGCCCAGATACCAGTACCAGTGCCGATATCGAGAACCCTGTTCGCTCCGTTCTTTTTGGGGCACATGCACAGTTCGCCGTCCCAAGTCAACTGCCAGAGATGATGCTGCATGTCTGCGTTGGGTGTTCAGGAAAGTCTCCACTGTGAATAATGCATACATTCTGAAACTCACCCAGTCGGTCTTGCTCTAACTGAGGTACGTCGACTCAGTGAGCACGAGGTCAAAAAGAAACCTAAAGGGAGAGTGATATACTTCATCATCAGGCAAGATGTATTCTGTAAAAAGAATGGATTCGCATTAAGATCTCGGTTCAGGTACGGCGTTGCTGCACGCTGACGATTGGAGAACCTACTTCCTTCGCCGAGAGTGGCATATCTGCGGCCATTCTCCCTGCGATGCTTTATAATGCTCGAGTTCAGTGTGTCGAGGGATGAACGGAGTGACTTGAACATTAGCTCCTACTCATACGGCATAGATTATGGTGGTGGCCGGCGAATCGCTTACTGCACCACTCAAAGAGGAGGTTTCCGAGAGCTCCCCCGCAGCTGCCTAGACACACAGGGGTTGTTAACTCAGGATATGAAGAGAAAGGGCACATAAAAACGCACAGCCTCGAGAGGGTCGGCATTTTGAGCGTCAGCCATGTTGTCTCGATCGGTGGCACCAGTATGAGAAAACCAGCTCGCAAGCAGGCGGTCGTGTTACGGTGACAAAGTTGAGGAGGAGAGAAGGAGGGGAAACGAGCAATGAGATTCAATCGGTGCAAAGTTCCTCCTCGCTCTGTTTCCCCCTTGCCAATCACCCTCCAACGGATGGCAGCTAAACGGATATCAGCCATGAGCGCAGATCCAGTTGTGATTGGACTGCGCCGCTTCAGCCGAGTCATAGTGGATCTTTATCGGTTGCTTCAAAGGAACATATGGAAATCGTGGGGGATAGACTATGAACATTTGTCAATACTAGTCAGAGTCCTAAACACAAGATAAGGATGTTTTGTGTAAGAAGAAAATTAGTCTCTCGACTGCGCCTTCTCTTCACGACCGTTGTACCAACCATCATTGAGATCAGGGGGAAGAAACACTTTACCGCTTGTTCATCCCAAGCTGTGAAGTTCTTCCCCGGACTGGCGCACTTGGCATCATCTTGGCCCTATGTGCGATCGCAGCACCTTTGCAGGGTATCGCCACCCCTGGGAGTTGCTGAGTCAACCCTTTCGCAACAAGGATACCAACCTCTGATGCCGAGGTTGATGTGCTTGCATGCATGATGCTAAGCGAGCGGTGACGGCGATAAATGCTCATTCGATGATTGCTGGATTTTCATCATCGGGTTTTCGGGCAGCGTCTGCTCCTTAGGTTTAGAATCCCACGATCAGAAACTATGGAGTCCCGACGATTCGCCATTGAGGACTGCATCTCCGTTATCCCATCAATAGATGCCGGAGCGGATGTTTTCATGAACGAGAAGTGAGTTGTAAATATGCGTTTTTGGGTTGGTGAAATCAGGAAAGTGGTGCGCTAACGCGAACAAACAGTCGCCCTTGGGACCCCCCATCAGAGGCTCGAGGTATCTTTGGGGGTTTCTTACTCGGCCAGTCGGTAACCGCTGCTCAAAAAACGTTGCCGTCCGCAGATTACTCTGTCCATTCTCTCCAGTCAACCTTCTTGCGGCAAGGGACAACCAAGTTCAAACTTCTACACCATGTCGATCGTGTCGCAGACGGGCGTACCTTTGCGACGCGGCTCGTTCGCACCATGCAGAATGACAGCTGTGTCTTCATGGCAATCATAGGCTTTCAGAAAGGCATAATAGGGGGCGACTCGGCGAACATATTTCGACATGACCTGCAAATGCCTTCAATGGATGGGAAGTCCCCCAACGAAATCCAATCCGGGTACGAAGGAATCAAGCATCACATGGGTGTCCCACAAGATCTCGTGGACGCGTTGCCGAGCCAGTTTGATTGGCGCTTTCTTCCGTATGAGCCCACCAGCGATCCGGCAAGGTTTGAGCTGCGTGCGTTCGTAAGAGCGCCAAAGCTATCATCGAATGACAACGGCGTCCATTTGTCAGCACTCGCGTACTTCACTGACATCTGGCTGCTCTCGGTCCCCCATTTGGCTTCGCACATAAAATACGACAAGATGAAGCGCAAGCCCGGTATTCAAATCACTCTGAATCACTCCATCGTGTTTCACCATCCGGACGCTAAGGTGGATGAGTGGATGGTCTGTCTTCGAAGCACCGAGTGGTCCGGCGGAGGAAGAGTTGTGATTACGCAAAGACTTTGGGAAGCCAAGAGCGGGATTCTTCTGTTGTCCAATTCTCAGGAGGCATTGATGCGGTATGCCAGACAAGATGCAAAGATCTAATCGAGATTTGTTCCATCAAGGGAATCTTCTGCGGCCTATGAGAGTTAAACAGCAGTCCAAGACCTTGCTTTCCTCACATACTTTCCTTGACGCTGTCAGTCAGGCTGAAAGGGTCAATTAATTGAGCTATTGGATGCCTACTTATTACTCAGCAACAAGTAACCATATTCAACCAGAGGTGGACCCCATATCGTAACCGTCCCAATCTGTTCAAAGCCCCAATCATCTTCACCAAACAAGTCAAGAGTCAGACCAATAGACAGAAGGGCCATTTGGGATGCAAGACAGGCGACAAGTTATTTTTGTCAGCCGAAACGCAACAGAAGTTACATGGTTCAAACTTATCCTCTTGGATGATCCGGAAGACGTTATCTGATTGTTTCCTTCGTGTGGCGGCGCAGCTCTGAGTCGACGTTCCCTCTTTCGCGCCCACGTTTTGGTGGAAAGAATGACCGAAAGAACTGCAGTTGAGATGCTCCAAGCAACGGGAGGTATATGCCAAAGAATATTAAGTGCGGTGCAGGCCTTCTCCCTGCCCATCCTCGGATGTTCCGGGTAGACCGTAAGGGCGGAATAGCTTCCACATGCGTCGATGTGGGAGAGCTCGTACATGTATGTAGAAAAATTGTTGCATGATATCCCATAGCTATTGGTGAATGGTATAAGGTTCGCGTAGAGAATCCAGAACGCCGTAGTTGATATTGTATAAACGCTGAAAATGAGAAATGTGATGGTTGAAAAGAAGAGCTAGTAATAGAACATCATGAGATACACAACCGATCAAAATGCCCATGGAAGCCATTTCGTTGGCTTAAGAGCTTGAGTCACGAACAGGAGTAACACGAGGTATATTGTCAGGTTTGTCAATAATCAGCGACATCGGTGTATAACCTGCGCAATGATAGCAGCAGCCGTCTCAAGGCGTAGACTTGGAGTCAAGTCATTGGATTTTCACTCTCTGAAAAGGCAATTTTGCGGTAACACCAAAAGGCTGCAATTCATCACCGGGGAATGAGACGCAGCCTAAGCTGGAAATTAGCGCGATCATTGATGTACTGCAGCTCAGCTTGCCTGACGACACGCAGAGTTTTGACGTTATTGATACACAATGTTGAAAATTATAGACTTCGGAGATGGATCACAAGAAACCATGTTGCATTCTCTTACACCACGAACGAAGACGAGGACAAACCCGCTCGTCCGAGGCCAGCCGGTGCACTCGGGCCTAAGTGGGTCCCGCAGCCGGGCCTGTATGGCCGGTTACCGGATGGTTCCCGTCGGAGGGACTGGAAAGTTCGGAGATAAAACCACAAGTCGGAGCAGGAGCAGCACGACTCAATCAAGTCGCGAATTCGGACGGTGACATCCATGCCTGCCACCATTGAGAAGGATTGGACGACCAACCATTTGTACCGCGAGCGGCGAAGCATCGAATGACTTCACCGAAGGCTTGATAGGATCACCAAAGAAGACAATTAATGTCCAGATGTACAGTTTCCAACTAAATTTCTAATGACGAAAACATTATTTTCAAGTATGTCCAGCACAAGGGAGTCGAGTCATAGTGATGTCCGGAATGATCTCCTCAATGGTCACGTCATGAGTGATGTCTAAGCATATCATGTCAACTGCAGCCTTAGCCCATGAGTTTGGGAACTGTGCACGTTGAGCGAAGATTCTTTGCGATGAATTGAATTGTATCAATTTCGCATTCTGCAACGCGCGAGTATCTCGGTTGAAACAGCCGAATCATAAAATTGTGGGAAACTGTCATAATGGCATCGATGCGCAGAGTATCTGCCCTAGCGAATACTTGCTAGCAACGCATACGTACGACTATGCCCATTGGATAGAACAGAAACTCCAATCGGCTGATGCCCAGCCAACTTGCTGACCAAAGTGTTGACAGGAGGACATGAGTACCACGGAGCATCGTGCTCAAAAGTAACCATGAACTTCTTACTGCCCGGACCATGGGTATCTACGGCAACTCTGACCTCTCAGACTTTTCCCGAATCGCAGGCATTTCGTACATGACCCTCGCATCCTCTGATAGCTCGGCATGTGATCCGTAAGGTCCTTGCGCTGCATAGCCCCCTTGTGGATAGTGCGATGAGGCCTGGGGCCTCGGAGATCCCATGGGAGTCGGAGACAGAGTACTCATGCTCATGTCTGATACAGGCCGCTGGATCGCCACGCCGTCCGAAAGATTAGAGGGTGAGCTTGGATAAGCCATGTTCTGTTTATCGTAAAGGTATGGGTCGTGTGAGGCGGCGGCTGGAGTGTGATGATCTGGGGCGGCTGGAGGAGGCACGTAGACTGCTTGTCCTGCACGTTTGGCCCGGCGTCGGCGCCACATGAATGAAATACCTGCGAGTATCGCAACAACACCCAAAGTTGATCCTACTGCAATACCTGCAATAGCACCCCCGCCTAGCGTCGCGGCGCCTCCGTTTGACTCAGCCGTCGCAGTTGGACTGCTCGTCAACGTGCCGAGCCTGCTTCTTATCGGCACTCGTGTAGCTGACGGCTTCGTAGTACCCGTGTATGTAAGAGCAACGCTGCCCTGATTCGGAATACTGGTTGGAGCGTGTGTGGCAAAGACAGTGCGGTTGAGATCAGCGCATCGACTGGGGAGCTCCGGTAGCCTTATTAGATCGAAAGGCCACCTTGAAAGCGTGACATCTGCGTTTTCCGGATCCGTGGGACACTTTGTTCCGCAGCTTTCAGGATGAACG